AACCAATTGAATTTAAATGAAATTTACCAAATTGAACTGAAAAAAAATTAAATTTCCAATTTAAAAATGACGACGAGATGATGATGATGATGATGGAAACCTTTTTCTATGGATTCAAATCCGATCATGATTACAGATTTCATTCTCAGGTCAATCAGTTCTGCATCTTCTTTTGCGATCAATCAGTTGATGATATTATTATTGTCGATGATGATCTGTATTATAGATATTTAGGACATGTTGATGACGACCACGCATCAGAAAATTAATGTTTTCATCATCATCATCATCATCATGATGATAATGATGATAACATGATGACGATTTATTTTTGAAATGATGGTAAAATGGTGATACTAAATTTGTAAAAAAAATGTCTATGTCTATGTCTGTGTGTGTGTAATCCACCTGTCTTTCGATTCAGATATCGATTTTCATTCAGATATCATTATCATCATCATCATCTTGTCTTGGGCATTGTTTTTTTTCATCATCATCATCATAATCATCATCGTGTTGTCGTTGTCGTCGTAGTCGTCATTATTATTGATCCAAATCGATTTCGTCAGCATTTTTCTTTTTTTTTCTTATGATACAAATATAGAATTGAATCAATTTGAATCAAAAAAAAATTTTTTTTTTTTGTTTTTCACTCTTTTTGATAACCATATCAATTGCCGTTTATTATAATAATAATAACAATAATCATGTTTAATGGTGACAATTGATCAATCGATTGATTGAATGAGATTAGCTTGTCAATAGTGTAGTTGTGGGAGTTTTACATTAAATATAGGGCGTGTTTCTCAGTGTGTCATTCTGTCATTGTTGTTGTTTGTTGTTGTTGTTGTTGTTACAGAATCAATCTCAATCCAAATTGTGTAATGGAAAACAAAAATTTTTCTTTTGACATTTTCATTTTGATTGACTTATTGAACGATTGATTTTGAATGTTTTTGTTTGTGTGATTAGGCGTCATTAGAATGTGACATTTATTTTTATAATATATGGTTGCCATTTTGTTATTAACATTCCTGTTGCTGTGTGCAAAAATAAATTTTCTGTTGTTCATGATTAATTTGGACAAGTTCCAATTTTTCATCAAAAAGATTTGATGGTAAATTGCCGATGATAATGATGATGATGATGATGATGATTGGTTTAGCTTCATTCATATACCAAACAAACATTTATTTGAATTGTTTGCATCAATGATGAAATTTTGATCCATTTTGATCTACCAGATTGGTCATGAACAAATAAATTGAACACACACACACAATGTTGTCGATGAATGAATGATGAGGTTTATTACCCATTCACTAAAGCACGAATATTATTTTTAAAAAAACCGGGCATTACATTCATTCATAAAATATGGTCAAAATAAAAATAAAAAAAGTAAATCAAAACATTTGCTGTGTAATTATAGTAAAATAGTGTGTGTGTGTGTGTGTGTGTGTGTGGTGATTTTCGCTTTTTATTTTTATTTTTTATTTCACTACAAATGATAATTGATGCAATTTTTACTCTTGAAAAAAATTTTTCTTGAATTTGCGCTATGAATAAAAAAAAAAGAAAACTTTTTCTTTTCTTTTATATCATCTACCTGGCTAGGCTAGCCATTAATTAAGAATAGAAATCATGATGATGATGGCTATTTTTATATCCATAGGTAAATCTATGGTCAATGTATATATAAATATAGAAAACCCCGCTTTGATGATCATCATGATGATGATGATGATATATGTCGGCCATTCATTCATTCAGTTTTTTTTCTGTGTTATCCATAACTAGAAAAAAAATTCATTCTTTTGATCATCGAAAGTCAAAAAAATATAAATTTCTAGTTTGTGCCACTGAAAATACAACAAGACAACAACAACAACAACAACAAAACCTCTTCATTACATTTGATGTATGGGGAATGAATGAATTGAATAGTTCGATTCGATCGATTACCGGCATGTTCATCTTTTTTTTTTTGTTGTTGTTGTTGTTGTTCACGGTTTTGAATAGAGGATGATGATGATGACGATGATCACATCATCAGCATTATTATCAAGAAAGATAAAAGTTTCAAGCTAACTTTCTTGATTTAGCTGCTTACAAGAGAGAGAGAGAGAGAGAGTGAGAGAAATGATTACTATCGATACTATTTATTTGACAATTGACCATGATCCAAACTTGGATATATGGAAAAGTCATAAAAAATTTAAAAAAAAAAAAATTTCGAAATTTTCCACTTTCCACAACAATGATGATGATGATGATGATGATGATAATTTTGTCGTCAAAAATAAAACCCCTGACCGGATTTTCAACTGTGTTTGGTCATTGGCCAGTGTCCATTATTCCCTATATTTATATCTATTTAAATATCAAAAAATCGTCAAAAAATGAAAAAAAAAAAAAAAAAAATCATCGAGAGAGAAAGTTATCAGTCATTCGTTGTTTTTTTTTTCATTGTCTGGTTGTTCTGTTGGCCTAAAATGAAATGGAAAAATAAACAACAACGACAACCGGATAAACACACACACACACAGACAAATCCATCCATTGTTTTTAAAGCCAAGAAAAAGAAGAAAAAAAAGTGAAAATGAAATGGAAAAAAAAAAAAAAATAATCCACTTTGCAAGATTTTGAGAATTTCAAATGTTCAAAAAAAAAAAAAAAAAAAAATGAATTTTATTTTTGTTGTTGTTGTTGTTGACCATTTATGCCCCGGTGTTGATATATATGTTATTAATATCAGCGAATTTGTGAAGAAAAAAAAATACAACCGGAAAATGAGGACAACAACAGATAATATTAATAATATCTTGTGAATCAGATTAGAAAAATGTGTGGATAACAAGACGACAACAATATTTGGCTTCCGGAATCTGTTGTCTATTTCGTTTTCATTTTCATTTTCATTTTGAGTAAGATAAATAGATCTCAAAATTTGGCTACCATTTTAACACCGGTTAAAATACGAAACGAAACGAAACGAAACAAAGTCGTAAAGTTCCAAATTATTCAACTTGATGATGATGATGACACGATTTGAGATGTGAATCAAGTATTTCTTTTTCCATACTTCGAAACAAAACAAAACAAAAAATTCACATGATTAAAATTGATGCTATCATAGACCTGAAAAAAAGATGGACATCATCATAATCATAATCATGATAATCATGATAATAATCATGTCATGTTTGTATGACATAATTTACAACGAAACGAATTATCATCATCATCATGGTATAGTTGATGATTGGTTGGTTGGAAAACAAAAACACTATTTCTACTGTCAGTGACTTTTTTCTGTGTAAATAGAATTTTCGAATTTTGAATCTGAATTTGATTTCTATTTTTTTCATCTGCATACATCACATGTGGTGGTTGATGATGATTTGTTTGACTGTTTAAATCCTGAAATGAATGAATGAATGATTTTTGTCTGTCCAATTGTTCCACAATTTATCATCATTCACAATCTACCAACTTTTTATAATCATCATTGCAAAAAAAAAGGAAAAAAATCTCGATAAATCAAGATAATAATTTCACAACGGGCAGACAAAAAAAAAAATGGTCTGTTCATTTAATATTTAAATTTTTCATTTTTCAATTTCACTTTTTTTCCGTTTTTTTTTCATCATCATAGCGGAGGCGAAACTTTTTCAATCAAATTTTTTATCTGAAAAAATTTCTTTCTCTTTGTTTGCGTGTGTGTGTGTGAAAAGAAATCTATTTTTTTTTCATTGTCATTTTTCGTCGTCGTCGTCGTCGTTGTTCATTGATGATGATGATGCTCAATTATCGATGTCACATGATGTGTTTATGTTTCTCATAGTGTGTTATGGATCGATTACATCGATCATTTTCCACCATTTGCCTTTGCCAAAAGCCACCATCAACACACAAATGGTGGCCATGATACGAATAAACATCCTACGAAATTCGTTCATCATTATTGATCACAACAACAACAACAACAACCGTAATGATTGAACAGCAATCATTTCCTATCTGGTCAGTTGATGATTGTTATGTTATCATCATCATCATCATCATCATCATCAACGTCTCTTTGAAGTCAAGTCGATTTAAATCAAATCACACACACACACACACACACACAATTTTCATCTTTTTTGGAACACTTACATTTGAATATATATATCAGACAGAAGAAAAAGAAAAATTGTCACAAAACATTGTCCGACATTTTTTTTTGAATACAATGCGGTCAAAACTAAATGGACTATTTGCCAGCAAAAAAAAAAAATATTCACATTCATTGTTTTTATGACGATGATGATGATGATGGCCAAATAAAAATGCTGTAGCGATACATTTTATCAAGATTCAAATTTCATTCAAATTGTATTGTTGTCTATCCATCATTGAAAAACATCCATATCATCGAATTGTGTTGCTGTTGTTGTTGTTGTTGTTGCTGTGACAACAATAAGTGACTGATTGATGGAAATGAAAATGAAAATGATGATGGTTCCCACTGGTTTTCTATTCACCATTGACTTTTCTCAATGATTGTTGTTGTTGATGATAGTATCATTGTTTTGTTTTTTCCACTTCATTTTCATTTGAACGAAAAAAAACCGGATGTTACCATTTTATACCCGAATGATTTATTATTTTGATTTCTCATCATCATCATCATCTATCTATCTTCGCTTTGTTGTTGCTGTTGTTGACATAAATATTTTGTCATCAAGTTTGTTCCACCATCTTCATTTGATTCATCATTTTGGACATTGTCAAAAAAAAATTTCGGTTCCGGGTTCGAGATGTATTTGTATGTGGTTGGTTGATTGTGTTGATTGAAAAGAGAAGAAAAAAACCAAATTTATCGCTCTATTTGTAATTTGGATGCACACACACACACAACACACACACATTTCCCGAAAAGTTTTTTTTTGAAATTCGAACAATTCAAATTAACAAAAACTTTTTTCGTTTTTTTTTAATCATCACCGATTTAGGTATTCAATTTATTGGCCATATTTATACCGGGATTATGGACACCATTTCATGATCTAATATTGGTGGCACTTTCATTATTTGAAGCATTATTATTACCATTGATTATATTTATTTCGAATGAAACATTTCGTGATGCTTTCACACGATCATGTTGCCATTGCCATAGTTCATCATCACATCATCATCATCATAATCGCCATCGTCCTCATCATCATCATCATCATCATCATCATCATTCAATTCATGATAAAATATCATCAATTTGTTCAAGTAATAAATCATCATTGACATTTACCGTTACATCGAATGCAACCGCAACAACAACAAATGATATTAGTACTGTTGAACGGAATGCAATACAATCACAGATGCAACCACCAGCATTATATCCGGTGTCATCATCTAATACATCGTCGAAAACATCATCATCTACATCATCATCATCATCAGCTGCATCTACATCATCAGCTGATAAAAAACAACAAACAACACGAATCAATTCATTTTTAACATCATATCATTCTGATTTAGATTTAGTGAAAAAATATTCTAAAAACGGTATGGTCCATTTATTTTTATTGATTGATTGATGATTCATTTTTTCTTTTCTTTGCTTTTCCAGATCAATCTACAAATAAATTAAATGCTTGTAATGGTGGTGGTGGTGGTGGTAAAATAACATTTCAAAAATATTCCCATAACAATGGCGATATGAATCGTCATAAACTGAATCATGCAACATCAATGCTCGACCTTTCTTTAAGTTCACGAAATGCAAATCATCATAACAACTATTATTCACATCATCATCATCTGAACAATCGACAACAACAACAACAACAACGAAATTCCCATTACCAACAACAACAATCTCAAAATTATTATCATCATCATCACGCATCACGGTCTCGTTATTCGTTAGCATTAACATCTCAACAACAACAACAACAACAATCGAATAACTATGATCCATTGTTATTGTTAACGCCCAAACTATCATCATTTAATCAACGTCGACAACAACAACAACAACAACAACAACGTCCACCATCAGTTGCTTCATGTCATTATTTATTTTCTTCTAATCAATCAGCCAATCAATCGCAACAACAGCAACAACAACAATCGAAATATGGCCGATATTATGGACAATTTATGTTTGGAGCATCATCATCATCAATTTTAATGCCAAAATCAGAATCAACATTAAGTGTACCATTGAATGTATCATCATCTGGATCATTTAATAATAATCGTTTCGATTCATCATCAACACCATATAAGAAAGAATTCATTGCCGTTGGTGATGGCAATGGTAATAGTAATAATAATAATAAACTATTCAATCATGGAAAATGTAGTCCAATTTCAATCAATATAAATCAATTTGATTCATCTACCGCTGCCGCTATTGCTATTAATAATATGCCCATAAGCAATAATAATGATGTTGATGATGATGATGATGAAATAACTACCGATATCGGTTATAATAATAATAATGAAAATGATGATGATGATTGTCATAATGAAAAAATCAATGAACAATCAAAATCAGTACGTAAATCGACAACAAAATTAATTGATAACATAATACAAGGAATAACTGGACGTTCACGTTGTTCTTCCATACGGAAAAGTGATTCAGATGCATCAACATTTTATAATCGTGTCCACAATAATAATATGAAACGGTCACAAATTGCAAGGAATCAATTGTCGAATATTTTATATAATAATTTTTATAATAAAAAATTATCACCATCTGCATTTGGTAGTGAAATCATTTTGTTATCAGAAAATGAACACGGAAAACATTGTGTAAAATCATCATCCAACAAACAACAACAACAACAACAGCAACAATCTGGCCAATTTCCACGTCCACATGTTTATCTGCCAAGTGTTTCATCGTCATCATCATTATTACTACAAGAATCGAATACATCGAGATCAAATTCTTGTCAACAAATAGCAATATTAAATGGTGAAAATACTGATCATTATCATAATCATTTATTGTTGAAGAAACAAAATCTATCATCATCATTGATGTTGGATGAATCATCGCCATTGATTGGTAATGATGAACAACTACAACAACAACAACAGCAGCAGCATCAGCAGCCATACAATGGTGAAAATCACATCATTAGGAATGGTGGTATGCCATTTTCCATTATTTTATTTTATTTTTCAAGTTTGAATTTAAAAAATTTTTTTTTCTTCCGTTTAAATTACATTTAGATTTCAACAACAAAAACAATTTGATTATGGATGACGAGCCTATTTATGCTTCATTACCCAATGATGAACAAGACGAAGAAGAAGAACATGAAAAACATGATGATGATGATGATGATGACGATGAAATCAAAGCTTCTGGATCGTTTAGTGCCCGATCTACATTACCCGATGATTGTCAGCTTATCTCGGTGTATGCACATGCCGGCAACCATGGTGATGAACAACAACAACAGCAACAAAAGTCGAATATTTTGCAAATCAACAGCAGCAATGTTAATGGAAAAAATATTCGAAATTTAAATTTAAAATGTTTTCCAGATACCGATAACAATAACAATGGTGACAATGGCAACAGTAATAGCAGTAGCCATACTACTAGTAGTAGTAGTACTAGTACTGTTGATGAATCAAGTGAAGATATCTATGAAGAAGTTGGCCATTTAGTGGTTCGATCATCGGTTATTCGTCCGAATGATGATGGTGAACTAAATAATTTTGACAGCAGTAATAATAAAAGACAACGTTCAGCTAGCCAAGATACATTGATTGAACAGAATAATAATGATCCATTTGATGATTCAGAACAATCCAATGTATCAAATTTAAATGCAAATCATAGCAACAACAACATCAGCGATGATGATCAAACATCATTGCATACAGCCAATGATGATGATGATGATGATGATGATGAAGATTTGGATGAAGATCAAATCTCGATATTAAGTGAAACATCATCATCAACATTTTCATCATTCACCACTTGTGCAAATCAAGATTTTGAATTTATTGTATCACAACAACAACATTTGACCGATATGACAACAGCAACAACAACAACACCAACAACAACAAAACAGACATCAATGGAATCATCAAATATCAGCCAAAATCAAAATATCAAATCGGCCATTAAATCAAATGCCACTAATCAATTGGCTTTACGGTATTTGAAATCGGATCTGGAAAATTTCCTTATTGAAAAACCATCATCATCATCGTCGTCATCATTAGAGCCATCAACATTATCAATGGCTGCAATGTATTATAATCGATTGATTTTGGATTCTGATTCAAATCGTAAAAATGCTAAAAAATCTGGCCATCGTCAACGTTCCAAATTGAATCGTCGGCAATCATTTTCCACTGCACATGAATTACGACAACGTATACTATATAATCAAGTGAATAATAATAATAAAAATGATCACGAAACAAATAAAATGGGACTTATCGAAGAAGAAGAGATTGAAAATCATCATCATAATAATGATAATGGTTCAATCAATGAATATTCAATGTTTCAAACGACAAATTTCAATGAAATGAATTTTCCATTCAATAAATTGGATCGTAGAATCAGTAGTAGTGAAGATAATTTACTTTCAATCATTTCTACTATTGCCAATTGTGGTGATGATGATGATTATGATAATAATCAAGAATTGTTGTTGGAATCACCAAATAAAATTCCATGTACAAATGTAGAAAAAGACAATTTTGCCCAGATTTCAAATGATGCAAACATTACATCATCAAATGGAACATTTGTATTGAAAAAAGATGTAAACCAACGAAATAATAAATCGGCTATACCTAGAGCTACATCTAATTCAAATAACGTTATTGGCGCTACTGCAGTTGGTGGTTTTTCATCGAATGAAACATTGAAAATAACGATAAAAGAGCTAAAATCAAAAAAACAGGCACAAAAACGATCAACAACAACAACGAATAATTTAAATTCAAATCTAAAATCTAAATCATCATTGATGGCCAATTGTAATAATCGTATTTATGAGCTTGGTTCATTATGGGAAAGACAATCGTCATCATCGTCATCATCATCATCATCGAAATATGGTAAAGAATCGCTAATAAAATCTTCATCCAATATTTCCTCTTCATCATCCGAATCGAAAGTGAAACAAGATTTCAATCAAAATAAATTTAAATCAACAAAAACAACAACAACATCTCCATCATCATCATCTAGTCGCGTTTCAACATTCATAACGGTATCACCTTCACCACTTCGACAACAACAACAACCAAAAAAACCACAGACAAATTTTACCTCGAAATTATTACCACCTTCAGATTATGTAGTCAAACAACAACACAACAGCAGCAGCCAAAACAAGATGCAAGACAGAATGCCATATTGGCTAAAAATGCATTGCTTATGAGTGGAATTCAACGAACGCCAATCAACAAACTGCCATTACAACAACAACAACAAACAACAATAAGCACAATATAATCGCCACCGACAATGACGATGGCAAAAAAAAATGCCAAAAATTCAAATTTTTTTTTCAATTGTAAATTTCTTTAAACGCACGTATCATGTCATTTGTTTGTTTGTTTTTTTTTTTTTTTGCTAAAAATCCAATCAATTTCTATCTCTCTTTTTCGATCACAATTGCCAATTTTGTCTGTCTTTTTTTTTGATAAATGTAATTTTTATATTTTGTAAATAAAATTTTTAAAGTTTTTTTCGAAAAAATTATTTCAAAAAGATGAAAATGTGAAAAAGTGAATCATGGGTTTTATCTCCGTCAACAGATGGCAACACTTTATAATCAAATCATGGTAATTCAGGAAAAAAATTTCGAAAATGCAAAGAAAAAAGAACAAAATGATGATGATTCGGCCATGACGATGGCTACATTTCACCACATTGAGATATGATTACTGGTATTTTTGGTTTATTATTCGGTCCAGTAGGTACGTTTTCAATTTTTCTCACCACTAACATACCATCAATGACACGTCCTTTATAGATGTGTGGAAAAAATCGTTTTAGAAGTTTTTTTTACTTAAATTCATATATTTACCAAACACAACATGTTTTCCGTCAAGAAAATCACAATTTGCACATGTAATGAAAAATTGACATCCATTTGTATCTTTGCCACTGTTGGCCATTGAAAGTAGACCAGGTTGATCGTGTTTAAGTTTGAAATTTTCATCGGAAAATTTTGTGCCACCAAAAATTGACATTAAACCTGTACCATCATGCTTTTTTTTATTAGAAAAAAGAATATTATTGATTTGATTTGATCCGTTATTTAATCATTTCAAAATTACTTACATTAACAAAATCACCACCTTGACACATGAAATCTTTGATTACACGATGAAATGATGATCCTTTATAACCGATCGGCACACCATCTTTTTTATATTCGCCAGTACAGAATTGTCTAATTATTAATAAATGGAAAAGATTAAATATTGAACAATGGATTCTTTCTGAGATTACCGAAAATTTTCTGCTGTTTTTGGCACAATATCTGCAAAAAGTTCCATTTTCATGCGGCCAACTTCAGTGTTTCCAATCATAATGTCAAAAAATACGACTGGATTTGATGGATGGCGAAGTTGTTGTTGAATTTGAGTCCAGGTAGACATTTTTTTTGTCGCAAAAAACTCAATTTATTTCAGATTTAAAAAAACTGAGAAATTCAACATAAAAATTGTCAAAATCATGTGACCAAAAAAGTGATGTACGAAACTATCGATATAAACGATATTTTTTTTTACAATTTTATTCCATTCAAAAAGTTTTCATCATCATCATCATCATCATCGACAACTTGTCCATCGTTTTTTATATCGATTTGGATTGGTGGTTCATATTGAAAACAGGAAACGGATTCACGAATCGATGGATCATTTGTCAAGTGATAAAGAAAGAAATGAAATTCATTGCCTAATTGTTCGATATTTTTAATTTTTAAATTATTATCAAACATTTTTCCAAATAATGGATGACGAAAATGTGGTGCCGAAAATGTAATGGAAAAAAATTGGCCCGAATTCTTTCGCAAAACTCTATAGATTTCATGACCAATTGGTCGAAGTGATTGTAAAGCTTCATTCGATATATTCCATGAGGATTTTTCCTGCACCAAAAACACATCTAATGTAGCTTTTTCGATAACAACATCGAATGTTTCATCAATGAAATCAAGACGTCGACAATCCATTGTTGACCATTTCATTTGTTTACATTTATCACAATGTTCACTCATGGTTTTTATTACCGTTGATGATATATCGATATTATGAATATTTTCATAACCATCTTGGAATAATTGTTCGGATAGTAAACTATTACCGCAACCTGAATTATAATCAAATTAGAATGATCATTATTAATTACTATAGAATGCATACCCAGAATCAAAATTGACAAAGATTTGCTGACATTTTGACGGAAATAATCACAAAACAATGAATAATCACCAAGCCATTCACGTGTCACATGGTTATTATCATTGTTTGTATATCTTTTTTCCCAAAAATTTTTGTCCAAATATTGGACATTATCAGACGGAATCATCAGGTTCAAATTATTATGTTTGATCCATTCAAATTTAAACACGTGGTGGTATTTGATTGATTAAAAAAAAAATTATCATAAAAATGTACCGTAAGTGTTTAGTGTACATAATCGATACTAGATGTCGATATGAATTGGATCTCCTAAATGTATCGGTTTTTTTCCACAATAATAAATTGTGTATGGGTAAAATGAAATGGTATAATTTAACGTAATTTTTTTAGTGATATCGAAAGTGATGATAGAAGAAAGAAAAATTGCACAAGAGAAGTGGCCAACAACCGAACTGCCTCTTTTTTTCTGGTAATTCTTTTTGCGCATGTTCAATTCATCATTGTACATAATGGCTGTTGTCACAATAACCATTTGGATTCAATAGATAACGATTTCAGTGAATCTATGAATATTCAATATTCGATTCGTTTATAAATTGAGACTATAGCCCTGTTTTTTGTTGACCACCACCACCACCACCATCACCTCACTTGCATAAAACATTTGGATTCGGAATCCATTGTCGGCTCACTTACAACAACTGTGTGTGTGTGTGTGTGTATCTGTATGTCGCGCTGTTTTTTATGTTCATTCGTTTCATATCATCATCATCTCTCAATATACTTGTCCCTCAGCAAAGAAAAACCAGTATCCTTAAAGCCGATATCACAAATCTTAAGTTGTCGTTGGAAAAACTAATCCATTTTGGATCTCTGGTTCATCAATTAATCAATTGGATTTGGAATCATCATATTCTTTTAACATTTTCATCGGTATTCATTTTGATTGTCAATCTCTCTTTATTTGACAGTTTCATCATCACTTCACACACACACACACACACATTCATTCATTGTTTTTTCCTTTTTTTTCTTCACCAAACAGTTTCGATCTATTTGCATTTTCTTCCAATCAATTTTCGAAGATTCTTGTCATTTCAACAATTTCAACAACAAATATGTCTGAAACGGCCCTCGATACAGGCTCCAGTACGGATAAAACGATCAAAGAGATGAAATCGGATGCACAATCAAACAACAATAATCAGGTAAGATATATGAAGCCATCTGTCTGTCAATCAAACATGGACGATTTATCTATGAAAAATTAATGATTACATTTCATTGTTGATTATCTGCCATCCATCTATCTATTGATTAGTTTCCAGGACATTTTTTTGTTAGTTTTCCCTCCAAAAATGCATGACATTGATCATATCCACTATTTGATTGATTATTTATCAATCAAACTGTCTAGAAATCATAGTCCTAACATGCATAGAATCTTGGATTGAATATTAATCCAATTTTATCATATAATTAATGAGAGCGAAAGAAAAAAAAATCGAATATTTATCATCATGCCAATTGTCTTGCACGTCACGTACTATATGGATGGCACATTTCTGTGGCCAAACAAAATTATGCGCGCGGTTTTTCAATACTCTTCATCAATGCTTACTAATAATGTTTTTATTTTTGTTTGAATTATTTCTATACAGGTTTCTACCAATAATGTTGCTAATGATTCCAAAGCTCAAGTGACAAATGATGCTGTAAGTTTGGATATTTTTTTTTATAATTTTTAAATTTTAATTCATTTATGATTTTAAATCAATTCAAGAAGAAAGACAACGAAAGTACCAATACTCCGGGACGTAAACGTAAACGACTCAGTGAGGTAACCGATTCATCATTGGTTTTGGAAACACCACCCGGTGTTGATAGCAATCGTCGGCAAACACGTTCACAAACACGTGGAACACCTGCACCACCACCAGCGCCGGTTCAAACATCGGTTAAAAAAGCTGCATTGGCTAATAGTAATGGTAGTAGTGCTAATAAAGGTCGTCGTGGTCGGCCACCAAAGAGTGCCACTTCATCAAGTGATTCGGAAGAACCGATTAAAATGGAAACAACAACAACAACTGCAGCTGTTGATGAAAAGATGAAAGAGGAAGGGAAATCCGAACAAAAGGATGCTGAAACCAAACCTGTTGTCACTGATTCCGCCGAGGCTACTGCTTCTACTAAAACTGAAGGCAACAAAAATACGATATCTGAGAGTCCTGCTGCTAAAGAAATTAAAAAATCCGAAGATGAAGTTAAAAAACAGCCATCAACAGAAAAATCTAAACAGCCAGCTTCGAAACCTGCATCGGTAGCCATTTCAAATACGGATAAACAAACAGAATCATCATCTGAAAATAAAACAATCACAACCAATAAAACCACAACGGTTAATGAGGTTGTCAATAATTCTACAACATCATCGACAACAACAGCAACAAACAAACCAGAATCGGCCACTACTAATAATCATGAAAAATAGTCAACAAAAGCAACAACAAAAAATAAGACAAAGATATAATGATGGTGATGAAAAATACCATTTCGAAAATCACACATAGGTATTGTATAATTTAATGAATGAATATCTTTATTTATAGATTTTTAATCTTTTTTCAATATCATTTACAGAATTTCTTCATTTATCTCTTTCTCGCATTTTTTTTCTCGTTTTCTAATCTCACATCATATGATGATTGAAATTCATCGACGAATTTTGGAAGATACATAATCCATTTTTTTGTGTTTATCTCTCTTTTTTTTGAATACAACGATTTGATACCGTTTTTTTTCTAGACATAGATAATCAAACAAAAGTTACAAAAAAAAAATTTGCACACACACACACACAAACACAACAATATAAGGAATATTGATGATCATCATCATTTCCACCGTATAGCCGCCCTTCAACAAACGAAACAAAATGAAACAACAAAAAAATTTCAAAACACACAATTCAAATCTTCCATACATTGAATTTTCGTTTGTCTGTTTTTTTCTGGAAAAGTATTCCTTTGATTTCAACAACAACAACAACCACTAATCAATTTTTATTGATTTTATTTTTTTTATGTTTTTCTTCTGTTTTTTTTTTTGGTTATTTTAAATCTTTTGAAAAAAATATTTAGATATACCAGAATCAATACACACACACACACACACAGAGAATCCATTATTATCATCATTGTCGTCGCCATTATCATCATCATTATTATCATAAATGATCATTTTCATCATCGTTATCATCAATATAATCTACCATTTAATGTGTACTGCTATCTTTTTGTCATTCAACAACAACAACAACAAAAAAGACAAAAAATTCTAATCCATCTCTTTATATACAGAATTCACACACACACGCCTATCAGAACAAAAAATTTGATCTTTTTTTTCGTTTTTTCTTTTAAAAATTTTTTTTTTAAATATAAATATATCACAGATACACACACACACACACATCGATTTATGAATATTTAATTATTAATTATAATGAATAAAACAAAACAAAAATCTAAATTTGACGTTTTTCATACATGTTGAACATGTGATCGAATGATTCAAGTTGTTTTTCTCTTTTTTTTCAATTTTATTTTTCTCATGTGACGATTTAAGATTTTCAATTTGTTTTTTTTATTTTTATTGCTACCGCATTTTTTAAATGCAGGTCATTTCTCTTTCTCACTATCTTTTTTCTTGGTGATTTTTTTTCAGATCCGCATGTTTATCATATTTGTGCCTGTTTTGTTGTTGTTGTTGTTTCCACCATAATCCATGACATTGAACTTGGATATACATTTCGCCCATTCATGATCCATTTTTGTCACTTTAAATATGTCATCATCATTATCATCATCATCATCATCGTTTTTTAGTTATTTTTAATTTCCAAGGTTTGAAAATTTTCTGACCAAAAATATTGGAATTTTTTTCAAAAATTAATTAATTTTTTAATCTCATTATGTGATGAATGTTCGAATCTTCTTGTGTACCAGATGTGTGTGTGTGTGTGTGTGAATGAATGTAGTTTTGTTAGCCCGAAAAAAGGAGAAGAAGTGGTAAAATTGGAATTTTTTTTTGTATGTGAAAAAATGTGTTCTATATAGCTCGTGTGTGTGTGTGCATTCTATCCGTATCCGTATTTTTCATCTCTATGTATGTGTGTGTGTTTCGAGAATAGAATTTTCGATTCATTAAATTGAAATGAAATGGAAAGAAATGAATTGAATGAATGAATGTGAAAAATAAACGGGTCATCATCCTATTTGTTAATGTTGTTGTTGTTATTGACACTACACCATATATACTGTATATGTGTATGTAAACTTTTTTTTTGTTTTCCACAAAAATGAAAATCAACCATAGTTAACGGTTTTTTCTTCTCTTGATTCGTGTTTGTTTTCACCAATCAATGATTTTTGAAAATTAACAAAAATTTTTTCCTTGTGTAATAAATTATCCATTATCAGTTTTCTGCCAAGTCATCCAAAACTCTACAATAAGAGAATTTTTTTTGTTGTCGAATATAATCTTTAGTCAACAAATATTACCTCGTAATAAAATTAAAAAAATAATAGAAAAGTTCTTGTTTTGTACCCAACCACAGATGAATTTGTATTTTTTTTTCTTCATCTGTGATGATTCGAAATTCCTTATGAATGGTGTATTCATCATCATCGTCATATATTCTATTCTTAGTGTTGTGTTGTTCATCATTGATAATTCTGTTGTGTTTGAATGACATCAAATAAAAAAAAACGTCATCCACATACACACCTAACATACAGATTTACTCATACGGATGTGCAATATATCATCATCATCATCATCATTATCATTGAATCAGTGAAAGAAAAGAAAAATTCTAACCATCGTCATGAACAACAACAACAACAACAAAAGTTGAAGGGGGAAAGAAAAGTAGGTGAATCTTAACCGTATAACAAATAGACACAAATAAACATGGCAAACAATCGTATATATCTTGATCATGTGTTTAAATAATTTTTGTTTGGTTTTATTTTTTTTTTTTCTTGGTCGATTTCGGTATCTAGGTACATTCGTTACCGACACAGAATCGTTTGTTTTTTTTCAATCATTCAGTGATGTGAATTCAATTTAAGGAAAAAATTTTTTTATTTTGACCATAAAAAAGCAATAATTTAAATAATCGTTTTGATTCGATTACAAAAAACAAAATATTACCAACGACTATTCAAGATGATGTCAAAAATTCTTATGAATATAACATTATTCCATACAAAATTGATTGTAAATACATATACGGCATTATCATTACCATTTTATGCTATTTATCAAAAACCATGGCAACGTCTCAAGATTTCCAATCAAATATATTCACAAATGATATCGAAAACATCCGATTCCGTTGTATGGACACGTAACGGACCACCAGGTACTAAACCTATAACACAATGTTCAACGTATTTGGAAGCATTCAAATTTATGGATCGTTCAAGACCATCGATTGGTGTTCGTGAAATTTTGGATGAAAAAATTTCATTCGATGAAGAAGGTAATTGAAATAAAAAATTACAAGAAATAATCAAATCAAACACAAATTTTAATTTTTCCATTTTCAAATCTATTTGGTACACCCATCATTGACGACATTAATAGGTTTACCAATCACGATTGATGGTAAAATTTTAAAGAAAATTGTTCTTGATGATAAATATAAATGGATGACCATTGGTGAAGTATTGGATCAAATTGATGTGATTGCCAAAGGTTTACATGATATTGGTGTTCGAAAAGGTGATAATGTTGTCATCTATGCGGATACATCTCCGAATTGGTTTTTTACATCAATGGCATTGGCTAAATTAAGTGCCATTACTGTAACATTGTTTGCCAATCTTGGTGATTCCGGCGTTATTTATGGTATCAACCAAACAAAAGCAAAACATGTGATTACATCGGAAGAATTGAAAGAAAAAATGCTCACTTATATTGATCGATTATCAGATGTTCAACATATTATTTATTATCCACGTCCGAAAAATGCACCACCGATACCACGTATCGATGAAATTGAAATGCCAGAAAATCTTAAAATTACATCCTTTGATGATATGACCGATAAAGGTGCTAAAATGCCTCCAATTGAATTTAAGCTGCCCGAACCAGATGATCTAGTATTAATAATGTATACATCTGGAACGACCAGTCTTCCTAAAGCTGTGATGATCAATCATCGAATGTTATTGTCAAGTATAAATAGTGTCACCACCTATTTCGAACATTTAGATGTCAATGTAGAAGATTTAACTATGGCATCGTTTTTACCTTTAAGTCATATTTATGGTTATGTGTTCAATATTCTCTTATTCATCAGTAAGTACATTTGTCACAATGAAAAAAAAATTCCTCAATCAATGTTGATTATTTTTTTTTTTTTTTTTTTAGATGGAACAAAAATTGGTTTTGCCACACCATTTACATTGTTAAATTCATCACCGGCTCATGTACCCGGACAAACCGGTGATCTAAGGCTAATACAACCGGATTTTTTTGTTGTCGTACCATTAATATTGGAAAGATTTCAGAAAGAAATCTATGCACAATTAAATCGTCGTGGATTTCTTGCCTCACCATTGTTTACATATTTTATGGAATATAAAAATCGTTGGCTCGCTCGTGGATTCCGTACGCCCATTATTGATCGAATAATTTGTGAAAAAATTAAAGAACAATTTGGCGGTAAAATTGATATGATCGGTGTAGGTGGTGCTGCATTACATACATCGATTGAAAAATTTACTAGAGCCGCTTTAGATGTAGAAATTACTAATGGTAAATTATGATGAAACCTTTTTTTGAAAACATTTATCTTTTAATACAATTTTTTCTTTTTCTTTACATAGGTTTTGGTTGTACAGAAACATGTGGTGGTGTTTATGTCAAATCGCCAAAGGATCTAACACTTGGTACAGTTGGTACACCATGCGATAAAGTTTTTGGCAAATTGATTGATTGGCCTGAAGGTGGTTATACAACACAAGATAAACCTAATCAACGTGGTGAAATCGTTATTGGTGGTGATATGGTTGCTGTTGGTTATTTTGGAATGCCCGAAGAAACGAAAGAAAGTTTTTATCGTGATGAAAATGGTATTCAATGGTTTTATACAGGTGATATTGGTGAAATTAATCCCAAAACTGGACAATTGAAAATTATTGATCGAAAAAAAGATTTAGCCAAATTGGCCAATGGTGAATACGTGTCTCTTGGAAAGGTAATGTATTTGTTTCAACAGGAAAAAAAATTAGTAATAAATTCAATTTTCATTGATTAGATTGAGACCGGATTACGATCATCACGTTATGTGGAAAATATTTGCATTTGTACAGAAATGTTTTCCAATGATTTAGTTGCATTAATCACACCGAATCGTAAAATTGTTAAAGAATTGGCTAAAAGTTTGAATAAAAGTCAACTAAGTCATCCGGAACGATGTCAAGATGAAGAAATCATAACCATTGTACATGCATCAATAAAAGAAACCGGGCAAAGAGCTGGCCTGAAATCGAAAGAAATACCAACAAGAATTAATCTTTGTTCCGAAGAATGGACACCGGATAATAATCTATTGACAGCGGCATTTAAATTGAAACGTAAAAATGTATATCAATATTATGAGAAAGAAATTCGACAAATGTTCAATTCGATGACCAATAAATGAGAAATATCAACGAAAATTTGATAATTTTTTTTCAACAAAACAAAAAATCATATTATGACAATTTCAAGACAAACACCTCTGTCTTCTTTACAGATGAATTGTTCAATTTTTTGTATTTATTTAACACACACAACAGCGAAAAAAATGATGAGTAAATTATTTAAATAAATTTTTTTTTAATTTAAATTAATCAAAAAAAATATGGATCCTTTTTTGAGTCGGGTAATATACGCATGCGTAATTGGTTTGTATTTAAATTTTTACAACGGCCCATTCGATTTAACGGCCACATTTTTTGTTTTTTGCTATGGATTTTTATCATCACCAAAAATGCATTTGGATCAATTGTTACGATATGAAAACGGAAGAAAATTATTCATGGAATTTCTTCGTAAAGAATTTAGTGAAGAAAATCTTGAATTTTGGCTTGAATGTCAACGATTGAAGAATATGATCATCATAGATGATAAATCGGTTGGTATATAATATGTTTGCAATGGATTTCATATTTTTGTTTTTCATTTTTATTTCTAAATTAGAATAAAACATTGATTAAAGAAATTTATTCCAAATACATTTCGTTGAATGGTTCGAAAACCATTAACATTGATTGTAAAACATTGAAAACAATCCGAATGAATATAAATAATCCACCGATCAATATATACGACCAGGCAGCTAGACATGTTTTTGAATTGATGAAAAATGATTCATATGAACGTTTTTTACAGACTTCTGAATATCGAAATTTCCGATCAAATTTATCGATGAAAAATAGTGATAGATTATCATCAAATCGAAAAAGAAAATCCATCCCTATAAATCCAATTGACGATTCTATCCGATCCAATCGGTTAGAACAAACCGGTTATTATCGTGATACTGATAATCGATCACCTCAAATTCAAATTTATCAAAATTCACCAATTCTGGCACGAAGATGGACAAATCATCAATTCATCAAAGTAATCATGCCGAATGGATCACATGAATTTGTTTCCATCATACAACAATCAACGATTGGTTTAGTGATTGAAAATCTATTGATGAAAAGATCAATGAAAAATTATCGCTTCAAAATTATTGCCATCAACAATAACAAGGTAATCAAGCGATTGAATTTGATTTTTTTGGTGATATATTGATGATTATAATTTGAATTTAGGAAATTGAACCAACTAGAAACATTTCATCACTAGTCAAGACTGATATCCGTATCGAACGAGTGATAAATTTTTCCCTTCGTTTTCCTGAAGGTTATATGCTGAACATTGAAACCAATCCGAATAAATTGGCATACTATACGATTAAATCGATATTGACCAGATTCGGAATCGTCATTCATGATGTTGAATTGGTATTTGTTTTGAGTAATGTTTTTTTCCCATTCAAGTCAAATTTAACCAGAACATTTTTCTTTTCAGACAACTGAAAATGGTGTCACACTTTACGTTAATTCATTGCTGAAAACCTCTTCAATTCTTGACGAATGTGTAATCAATGTCAAATATATGAGCAGTCTTCGAACATTTTTAGATTTGAGTGATTTCAATGATCTCAATCCATTGATCGATGATGGTATCATTATCAAATCGGTTAAATTTAAAAAATATCACACTCAAAAGGAAAAACCATTTGATTTTTTCGCAATCGATTGTCGTGATGATGGTCAATCGAAAAATTTGAAAATGGTTAAATGTGAAAATTCGTTATATGAAAATGTCGACAACAATCCGATGGAAGATTTGGAAAATGTCAATCTTGAAAATTTAAGTTTTAGTAGTGAAACTAAAACCGAAGAATTTCTGCAAAATATGATGTTGAACGAACCGAATCGATTTAAATTCACCTGCTCGACAGGAGAACAAAATTATGAAAATGTACAAGTTAAAACGAAAGAAATCGGTGATAATGATAATAATGGAGTAAACAATAATCATTTACATCATGCACGTTTTGTTTATATCGATGAACCATTCTATGAAAATGATCAGATTATTAGACGAGAAGAAATTAAACGAAAAAATATTTCAAAATTACCAAGAACCAGTGAGAATCAGACCGAAAGTCCTTTTACGAAATATATTCAAAAATCAATGAAATTCTCTAAATCACAATGTTCAGAATGCCGGTCACCACCATCACAATCGAAAGATTTCTTTGATCCAAGTCAATGTCCAGATTTAATTTCCACATGTACTCCAAGAACTCGAATAAGAACGTTATCTAAATTTCATAAATTCGTTTAAATTATTGGAATTTTTAATTTGTAACTTTATCTGTGAATTGCTCCACATTTGCCACGTGATTATTGAAATTTTTCGAATAAAAAAAAAAAAAATTTGTGAAAATCAAGAAAATGTCTCTCGAATTGAATACTCTTGATCATTTGTTTAAAATTCAAAAAATCATCGATAATGATAAACTTATTGATCCACGTTTATCATCCTATTATCGTTGGCTATTTAATAATCAATGCGATCAATATGAATCTTGTTTAGCAATTCATCCAGAATCATCGAAAACTGAACCTAACAACAACAACAACAACAAAGAATTGGCAAATCTACCGGAATTATGTCCGAATTGTTGGAGCTCAATGGCTAGATTTCGATTAATACCGAAAAAAACAAAACACAAGAAACGAATGAAAAAAGGAAATAATTTCAATCATAACATCATGAATGCTAAATGTAAAAATTGTGAATCTAAATTTAAATTCAAAGCTTTAAGTCGATCACAGCAACAGAATATACAAGAATCGAAAAAAATAATTAATAGAACCAATATAACACCATCAAAATCATCGATTAGTGTCAATTCGAAGACGCAGAAAAAAGTGATCAATCAATCAACACCGACAACAAGTCAAAACAGTAAAGAGATGTTACAGAAATTTTTGATTAATTCAAAGAAGAAAAGAAATCTTGATGGTCATACAAAACTATCTACGTTTCTTCAACAATGTTTTGATAATTGAACAACAAAATCCACTAAAATAATGATGGATTCTTAATCGATCGTGAAACGTTCTCTTTACGTTTTTTTTCAATTTCGTTTGTACATCGTTTCTGAAGGTGTAACAGAAAAAAAATCATTGCATGGATACTATCATTATTGGGATTGCAACCATTTGCATCATTTGTTAATATCTCAAACAATAGTTGTGTCCTGCGCGTCAACATCACTAAATTTGGTTGATAATTATTGCGTTTGGCTCTCATCATAATCATTTCTCTGTTGATATTCGTCGAACGTGAAACAATGAGTTTAACGTTAACCGAAAATTTTTCATTGACATTCGATTCGAGCAGTGATGCTCGATTGGATTTTTTCTTCCATGTTATCGAAGGTTCAAGCTCGGAACGAACCACTGAATTATTGGAAAAATCATGGTCACAATCACCATTAGATACGATGAAAATGATAATCAATTGTCGTGATATACGTGGCGGAAAAGGAATCCGCCCACAAGCATTGATCTGTTTACAATGGCTTTACAAGAATCAATACGATAATCTTTTGCTTAATTTGGCTCATTTTGATGAATTTGGCTGCTGGAAAGATTATCTAAATCTATTGTTAATTGCTTTGTTCGATGTTCTACCTCATGATGTTGATACATCGGATAAAAAAACTAAAAAGTATGTGAAATTTAAACATTGCTTTAATTTAATAAAATTATTAATTAATTTTTCTCTTGTTTCAATTGATTACAGATACCATACACATGTTAACCGTTTCGATACTGTGATATTACGATCATTTCCAAAAATTAAACGACAAGAATTGGAAATGATACCCACTGTTGTTCGTCAAGTTGAACGTAAATTTATTGTCAATGATGAATCGCAAAAAAAAATCGTACGACAAATAATCACTGAACGTAATCTTGATGGAAAGAAATTTGAATATAAACAAGTGAACAAATATTTTCCCCAAAAGAATCCTGATGCCAAAAAATTTTTCTATAAATTCAAGACTGATAAAGCTAAATTGAAAAAATTGAATGAATATCGTCGAGAATATTTTAATAAGATTTATGAAAATGATACAAAATTTCGACAGCTTTACGATAGAATTGTTGATTTGTTTGCACAACAACTAGCCAAAGATTATGGTTATTTGAAAGAGGAAAATTTCAACAAAATATCGTTGACTTCCAAATGGCTTCCCAATCGTAATCGATTTTTTGATAAATATTTTTTCATTTTGGGACCTGTTGCTAAGAAATTTTTCGAATTACAACCAGAAATATTAATCGAAATCCAATCTACTAAACGGAATGATGAAAAACAAATGATTATATTGTTATCACGTATTTGTACCAAATTAAGACGTCAAATTCAGGTGTCAGAAATTTTTATGTCTTCAAAATCATGGGAAACAATCGATTATAAACATGTACCATCAGTGGCCATGCTACTATATCGTCAAGCATTCATTCGAAATGATCATGAACGATTCAATGAATTTATCGGTTCCAAATCATTGAATGCAGGTGCCTTGACTCCTGCTGATCTAGTCAAACAAGTTATGGATGGTACCATTCTTGGTGTTGATCTTTTCAATGCGGATATACCAGAAAATCTTGATGAACAAAAGTTGACTAGTCTGAAAGCTATCGATAACCAATGGCGATCACTTGTCAATAATGTTCGCGCAAATGGGTCATTATTGGCTACGAATACTTTGGCCGTATGTGATGTAAGCGGTTCGATGTGTTACACACCACAAGCGATTAAACCGATCCACGGTGCTATCGGTTTGACATTGTTCTTAATGGAAATCGCTGATAAAGCTTGGAATAATCGTTGCATTTCATTCTCAGAGACTCCTTCATTCCATCAAATCGATATGACAAAACCATTGGTTGAACGTTGCAAACAAATGGTCAAATGTAGTTGGGGAATGAATACCGATCTGAATCTAGTATTTGATCTGATATTGAATTATGGTAAAGAGAATAAATTGACTAGTGAACAAATGCCGAAAATATTGTTCATATTCACCGATATGGAATTCGATTGTGCCATTCGTGAAAAAACTAATTATGAAAGTTTTAAAATTCAATATGAACTAGCTGGTTATCGAACACCTTTCATTATATTCTGGAATCTTAAAGGTGAAAAAACGAGCAAATCAACTCCGGTAAAATACAATCAAGATGGTGTTCTCCTATTATCTGGTTTCTCGGCACAAACATTTAAATTTTTATTCAGCGTTAAAGATTTCTCTGAAATAACACCATTGGTTATGTTATTGAAAATAATCAATGATCCTCGATATGATTGTATCAAAGTTATTGATTGATTGATTGAATTTTAATTGATAAAAAATAAAAATAAAAATTTTATATAATCATTTCACATTTTCATTAATCGAACATTTTTGTGTTTCGTTCAATTTCTTTAAATTATAAAAAATTTTACGCCATCTGGTGATCTGAAATTGAGTTGTAATGAAATTTGAAATGTAATAAAAATAAATAGAAAGAAAATATGAATAAAAAGGTTTTTTTAATGATTGCCCAAATATGGTTGGCCATTTTTGCTGGAATTGTTTTTTGTTTTAAATAAGGTTATTTCGTTCAATATATTTATAAATATAAGATAGAAATAAATAAATGAGAAATTGATAAATCGTCTGATCGTTGAAAAATCTGAAGCAATCCCAGACTTTGTGTGTGTGTGTGTGTGTGTGAGTGTATGTCGGTGTGTATGTTTTGGTGTTATTTGATCCAGGTTTTTCCGGTATCGACTATCATTATCACATGATGAAGGAGAATAAATTCGTATCGATGCGACTGGAATATTATAAATGTTGATGACATGAAATACTTTTCATTTGTTAAGAATGTGTAGAATTATTAATTGAGTACATTGTTGAATGATGTGCATGTTGTGTTTGTTGATGCTGCCGCTGATGGTTGTTTGTAATAGTTCATTGATTTAAACTTGGTGATTGTTTCTCAGATTTTATCTGATTTGATTGATCTTGATTAGGTCCCACACCTGATCCATTTCCAGATGAAACATTCGAATTGTTCGAAAGATTTCCTGTATTCGAATTCGTTGAACTATTGCCATTATTTGGTCCATTCGGTGGCCATGAAGGTGGGCCACCACCTCCGGCGCCGCCACCATTTGCACCTGGTCCGATATTAGCTGAATTATTGCCACCATTATTTGTTGTATTAGTACCACCTGATGAGGAACCTAATGAATTAAAGTCATCGGCATCTTCTAGTCCATTCGTTCCGGCTGCAGCATTTGGATCATATTGGTTGTTTTCTGCGCGAAAAAATAGTCATTTAGAAAGTTTATTTGTTTCTAAATTGAATGTCATACCTAATCTAGTGATTAATCGTTCATCTTCGTCACCAAATTCTCCACCCATCAACGACGGTTCACCAACAACCATTACGTCCTTGATAACAAAGCAATGAGAATAGAGAAAACATTTTTAGCAGAGATGGATTGAGAAATCATGACCGACTACCTGTGTTGCCAATGTAAACGGGGGTGGAACTGGACTCATATTGTTCTGATTATTTTTCTTTTTGCTATTCGTCGTAGTTCCGGTATTGGTTGAAGATTTTCTTTTTCTTCGTTTACTCGGAGGTCTACTGGTCTCGGGTGGTGCAACCATACGTTGCCATTTTTGAAACAATGTCGTTTTAAGACAATCTCTTGGCGATAATGAATAGGCCTTATGTCTTGACATTAATTCTTGCATCGGTTCAAGAATGACACAAAGCTGAAATGTTTGAAAATTAAAAAATCGTTGTTTTTAAAATGAAAGAAATGAAAACTAACCCGTAGATAATTTAGCGTCGAATTTGTTAAGCCTTGTCGGGTGATATTCTTGGTAATCTGATCTAACATGGAAGGATCTTGTTGAGCTTGAAGTGCCAATGATTTTGGAATCAATTCATGATGCATTCGGGTGGCGAAATGCCATGATTTGATCCGTGGTAATTCATCATAAGTAAATTCCAAAACTAATCGTCCTTCGGTGCAAACAAGAACCGACGACTCTTTCATCATATGTTCTTTTATCATATCGTTCGATGCATGTGAATAAGGTCCCATCTAATTGAGTAAAAAAAATCAATCAAGTTAGTCAAGCAACAAATCAATTGTTTAACTAACTTTAAAGTTAGGTTTTCCATGGCTGGTCATTATTGTACATTGATCACAATCGACTGTAATCGTTGTATTATGAAATGATTCTTTACAGTTTCGAAGATTTATCTGAAATTCCGTGACACCACCTTCGAAAATACTACGGAAATAACGAGGAATCAAAGTTCGACCAATGGCTATATATATGAAAAAATGAATCAAATTATAGATTCAACAAATAAAATTGCATTCAATTCATAATTACTATATCGTTTAGGGCCATCTTCAAGACAGAATGTCACTGTCAATGTGGCATCATCTTCAAAGAATTCGGAAGCGAAACCATCCCACCATATGTTATCGGAATCCTGTCATTATATGTTTGAATAAACAGTCATCAATCAAATTGTGATCAAAAGTGAACACAAACCTCGCTTCTTTGCTGTAAACGTTTATTGATTTCATGGATTCGATTTTCCGGCTGTCTAATGTCGTAGAATGGCGTATGTCTTCCATGTGGATGTTGTAAATTTGGATTAGGTGGTGGTGGGGGCGGTGGACCTCCAGGATGTTGCATCAAATGTGGTGCATGATGCATAACATGTGGAATCGAATTGGCCCCCGGATTATATGGTCCCATCGTCATTGGAGGACCGTTTTGTGGTGGTATTGGTGGCGGTGGTGGTGGTCCACAAAGCATAGGAGAATGATGAGAAGAATGTGGTGGTGGCGGACCAGCAGGATTATTGTTATTATTAATGTTGATACCGTTTCCAAGATTATTCGGATGATTTGGAATACCCTGTTGATAAAATAAATCAAAAATTAATCATAATCAGATTTTAATTACAATTCTAATTCTAATTAATCATTCTTACTGGACTGCATGATGGACTTGGACCTCCAGATCTACCAGGTTGCTGCTGTTGTAATTGTGGTGGTGGTGGTTGGGGTGCACTGATCGGTCCACTAAAATTGTGGTTCACGATAGGCGTTGAACTTCGGCGCGACCACTGTTCCAGTTCCAGATTAGATTTTGAAATAAATTATAATGACAAGTAAATATTTTCTTTTCAAGAATTTACGATCGTCGTAAACTCTAAAATATCAAATTCTATATTGAACAACGAAATAACAATTTGAATTTAATTGGTCAATTGTTTTTTTTCGGCTTTTCGATGATTTCGTGATTGATTGATTGATTGATCAACACATTTTTTGTTTATATTTTCTTTCTTTTGTTCATTCAATTTAAAATTCACAATTTGATGATTGTTTCATATACAAATACAAATACAAATACAAACACACACACATACACATACAGTTATAATGGTGGTGATTTTTCATCAAAGACCAAAGATTTCCAAAAAGATTCGAATACAAAAAGATTTTTCAACGTCTTGGAACAACTTGTGATTCATTCATTCATTCTGTATATTATTACACATACACACAAGGGGAAAAAAGAGAGATAGATAGAGAGGGAAAAAAAAGAAAGATAGACAGATACAAGGATGATGATGTTGATGATAATGTTTATTGAGCAAAAAAAAGTACTACGAGCGCCACATAATAGAAAACGAGCGAAAAAAAAATAAAAAAAAAAACACTAAAATAACACACATATACAGACTATTTTAATGATGATGATGTATATATAGAAGCACAAGTATTTTGATACAGCGGGCGGAGGGAGTGAGAGTACACAGTACAGGAATTATCATTAAACCATACTACATGTACACACAACAGTCATCAAAACTACTACCACTACCACCAGTGTTACCAGTTTCTCTTTTTTTTCTTTGTTTGTTTCGGATTTTTTAGGTTTAATTTCGGGTTATACCGCTGCTGCTGCTATTAGAATTTTTTTTTTATCCATTTTGGTTCATGATGATGATGATGATGATGATGATGATGCTAGGGTCACAAATTATGCTGCAGTCTGGTGGCGATGCATGGTAATCATTTTTTTTTTTGAAAATGATAGCTATGGATTCGGTATTTTTTTTTTATACCCGACCAACAACACAAAACAAAACAATAACGGCAGTATTCAATGAACGGTCGGGAATGAAGAAGAAGAGAGAGATAAAAAAAAATATTCGATGAGCATGACTATTCTCCCGTTTTATCATCATATTATTGATTCTACAGTGGGTAATGTTTTCTCTCAATCTCTACGATCCATGAGATGAAAAAAAAAAAAATTGTGCCAATTCTGGAATGCGCATGAATTCATTGGCCGATATACAGATGAGTTCAATTCAATATATTGGATCCACGGTGGATCTCTAATACTTTTTTGGATGGTATTTCTATTTCTATTTCATTTTTTTTTTTTTTTTTTTTTTGAAAACAAGCCAACCAACCAAACGACCGATCGACGACAACAACAATGGACAGTAACAAAATTGAATTTTCATTCTAGGTGGTGGTAATGGTGATGGTGTTTTGGTGCACCATTTTATCCATTTTACGAAATATGTTGACATTCAAAATTTTCGGGTTCACAATGAATTTGGCTTTCTGGATCATTTTTTTTTTTTTATTGTCCATCTCAATGAGATTTCCGCTAGATAATCATCATCATAGTCATCAAATAAACAAAAACGAACGAAGTAGAGTAAAAATCCAAAAATGACGTGACAACAATATAAAAATGATTCGAATGTTTTGTTTTTTAGCGGGCACTTTTCATTTTTATTTATTTATTTATTTATTTATTTTATATAATTTGTTTTTTTTTTTCTCTTTTGGTTTACGGCTTTTGGGTTTCCATTTAGAATTCATTTTCAATTACAATATTCTGTTTTGTTTTTGTAGTGAATGTGTGTAATAATAATTTTCATCTTATGTAATGGTCATGGTTTTTTGTGTGTGTGTGTTGATTTATGTGTAGGCGTATATTCGGGTATTGTTTTTCATTTTGTTTGTCTGGTTTGTTGTCGTCGTTGGTGTTTTTTTTTCGTTTTGGTTTTTGGTTTTGTTTCTGGTTGGTGTTTAATGTTTTTCGTTTTCATTCAGAGATTCACTTGACTACATTACAAACAAACATGAGATATAGTGATGGAAACAAATGCATATAGAATATAAACAACAGAAACCATTGCTAAAAAAAATCGAAACAAAAAAATGAATGAATCAATCAAAACAATTGTTAAAAAAAAAACGAAAACAAAAACAACCAAAACAGCTAGCAGTAAATGGTAGCATATTGATTATTAATCAATCAATCAATCAAATTGCCAAAAGCCAATTCAGTGATTTTTTTTCTCTCTCTCTCTCTGTGTGTGTGTGTGTTGGTCATTTAAATAAACTTTTTTTTCATCTCTTTTAAGGGTTTCAAATTTTTTTTTTTGGAGGGGGTGGGGTCGGAGTTTTATTTTCTTTCTCTACCTCTCTCATTCTCATGTTTATTGGCCGGTAAGAAAGGGGTTAAATTTTTTTTTTTATATATGCTGTAAATACTGTAAACGTTGTTTATGTTTATGTGTGTTTAATTTAAAACTGGCAAATCAGGGCAAGAGAAATCATCATCATCATCATCATCAGATGACCAAAGATGATGACCACCGCAACCGCAACCGCAAACGCACACACACAAATCTGGTTTTTTTTTCACATTTTGAGAATTATATCTGGTATATCACTACTGTCATTAATTTGAAATTAATACAAAAAATTGTATGGCTGTGTGTGTGTGTGTGTATGTTAGTCAATTCTGTTGTTGTAGATGGTAGTTATGTTTTTTTTTTTCAGTAAGCCTATCACATTATTATATAATCAGGCATTTTTTTAAAATTTTTTTTTCTTGTTTTTCTTTTGTTTTGATCAAGGCTTTGTACCCGCGCGCGCGAAAGAGTTATGTTATGCTGTGTTTTTTTTTTTGTTCACTAAAAAGGAAAATAATGATAATGGGAAAATTGAAGACAAAGAAAATTCACAAATGAAATGAATCAAGAGTGAACCAAAAAAAAAAAAAAATGCTAAATAAATCCACTTGATATAGACTTGATATTTGGGCGATAATAACGAATAACGAATAATAACGAATAACAACGAATGACGACAACAACGAATGACGACGACAATAAACAAATATCAAGACATGAAAAAAAAACAAAACAAGAAAAGAGAAATTCTGTCATGTGATTCTGTAATTTGAATCGACTACAGGAGAATTGAAATAAAAAAAAAAAAAAATTTTCTTTGTACCATTCTTGTGTGTGTGTGTGTGTGTGAAATGTCAAGTCGATCGTTGTCAAAAATTAGTAGCACATGAATTACAGCGAATTGGAATAATTTTTTTTTGTTTTGTTTTCATTTTTTTTTTAGATTCATTCAATTAAATTAATAAAACAGAATTACATATCAAATATTATGGAGATCGAGCGATATAGATACTAAGACACGAGAGAATTTTGAAGAAAAAAAAAATTTTTTTTTTTTTTAGGTAATCATCTTGTTGTTCATCAATAATAATGGTAAGACAAAAAAAAATTGAAATGAAAATTGGAAAAATGAAAACGAAAAATTCATTCACATGATCTTTGTCTGTTTGTTTGTTTGTTGTTTGTTGTTGTTGTTGTTTTTTTTCCTATTCATCGATCCTAGATCAGATGATTTTGTTTTTTATGTTGGGTTTTTCGAAATGAACAAGAATAATAAATTCTGTTTAAGATACTTAGTTACACACACACACACAAAACACATAGAGAGAGAGATTATAAATATGGAAATGAGAATGGTAATTGAGAAAGAAATCGGAAAAAAAATTTTGAAAAACATTCAAGTTATGCGAACAACAACAACAAAAATGGCACTCACTATTCGTTCGGTTTTTTTTCATATATATATAAATCAAGTTTATGTTTCTTTTTTTTCACTGATAGAAAGATACTTGAATTTTTTTTTTTTTTTTTTTTTTGGTTTTGGTTTTTGGTTTTTGGTTTCAGTTTCACTATTCGATGAAGAAATAATGTATCAATTAATCAGCGTGTGTGTGTGTGTGTGTAATGTGTGTAATGTGTGCAATGGCGCCACATTTATTGTCATCATTGAATTGAACATTTTTCTTCAATCTGACCTTTAATATCGCTGACTTGAGTTTCAATTGAATTTTTCAATTCTTTTTTTTTCACGTCCAGTGGATAGTTTGCACAAAAGGGGGGAGAAAGCAAAGAGAAAATGAATCAATTTTGGGCGAGAAAGAAAAACCAAAGAAAAAATTTCGTCATCAACAACTTACTTGTAAAATCATCTTGATTAGCTTGTTCCTGTTCGGCGGCAATCTCTTCGGGTGTTTTCTTTTTCCTATTTATACCGGAATCGGTAGCTGCACCGCCCATCAATGCTTCTTGTTTCTTTTTCATTTCAGCTTCTTTTTCTTCTTTCTTTTTGATACCATACTGTTTATATGTTTGTGTATGTGTGAGCGTGTGTTTAGTTAACAACAAATGACGAGAGACAAGAGAGAGAGAGAGAGAAAAAAAAAATTAATGATAATCGTTTTGTCATTTAAAATCGATCGATGAACGATTGTTGTTGTTGTTGTTATGAATGGAAAAAAATGGTTGCAATGAAAAGAGAAATAGAAAAAAAATCGAAAAATATGAAAAAAAAATTCAAATGAAAAATGCACGAAAAAAAAAAATTTTTTTTTAGCTGGAAAAAAATTTGTCACTAGAAAAAAACAACAACAAAATTTGAGAAATAAAAATTTCACCTTGTCACGAATTCCTTGTCGCATACATTCACGTTCTTCTTCCATTTTTCGATGTTTTTCCTGTCTACGTTCTTCCGCTTCTCGTAATGCTTCTAAACGTTCACGTTCCAATTGTTCCATTTTTTCTTTTTCCTCGGGCGATGGACCATCTCCTCCGCCGATTTCTATACACAAACACGGACACACACGTACACACAGTGTTGTAATTTTTTATGGTTGCGTTTTGTTTTTTTTTTGGCAAAAAAAAAGACAACAATTTAAAGAATCCAGAATTATCAGCCAGAAAAATACAGAATAATTAATTAATTCGCAACTATAGAAACAACAAAGAAACAAAAAAGAAAGAAAGAATAAATACCTTTAACGGCGTTCAATTGATTGCCCATCATTTGTTTGGCAATGAAAGCAGCCATTTTTTTTGTTTTTATTTTTCAAGGGGATATAGATCTCAACAAATTTTAAATTTGAAAAATTTAAGTGTCGATTTCAAATAATGAATCTTGAATCTTGAAGCTTGTTGCTTGTTTGTTTGTCGTTTTTTGTTTGATAAATTTGCAATTCAAGTGTTTAATATTTGGTTTTAGGCTATTCAAATAATACCCAAAATTATGGTGATAATGATGAATAAATTAAGATAACGGTGTAATTAATAAAAGATACTATTTTTTTTTTTTGGTGATGATAAAGAAGTGATGATGGTGATTAAAGTGGAGATAGTGACAATTAGTAGGTGCGAAATTAGTGTCAACGGTGAAGGTGATAGTGAGTGGTGGTGAAGGGTGTGTGAGTGTGTGCGTGTGTGCTATGCTTTTCTACATGCACACCCCTAAATTTGTTTCAATGTTTTTTGTTTTTGTTTTGTTTGTTGATATCAATCGTTATCGTTATTAACGATTGTCATTGATTTTATGCTAGGCGGATTTGTCGTCTTATTTGTTGTCGTTGGTGTTGTATTCGTAATCGTAAGCGACATAATCTTGACAGATCAATGAAAAAACAAAAAACACAAACAGTCTAAAATATTGATGTTGATGGTGTTAATTTATCAAATGATTTCAATGATGATGATGATGATTGAAAAAAATGTCACTTATTCATATGTTTATGGATTCTGTCTGTGTTTACGTGTGTGTGTGTGTGTGGTGTGTGAATGCGTGGATCTCTGCAGAATAATTATTCTAAAATGGAAAAGAATTGTGTGCTATGCAATCAAAGAAAGAAAGAAAAAAAAATTTTGACTGCATTTTTGGTCGGCACTAGCAGAATATTGGACCATGAACATAGCAACAGCAAACACATACACGATGAAAGATTTTTTCATTCAACCAAAAGAAAAAAAATAACGATACACACAGACACTTAACTTAGACACATGCAAAGAGTCAAACCAAAATGAAAAACAAAATTTGATATCCAGTACTCTGAAACACATATACACACAGTTTGGATGCGCATAATTTTTTTTTTTTTATTTTTGGGTTCCAAAATTCCATTCTGACAAACAATATAGAATATTTGAACAATATCAGCATTCATTTTGTTCCAACAACGACGACGATCACACACACACTCACACTATATAGATATATAGAAATGATGATGATTGGCAAAAACAAAGAAAATCATCATTGCTGTTAGCATCGATTGACCAAGGCTACACAGACTCACACACAAATACACGAAGAAAAATTTTTTTTTTTTTTTTTTTTTGGTGCAATTCTATAGATTCTTTATGTTTACTTTCAAATACGATAGATGTCATTGAATCATAGTGATTCTGGATCGATTCAAAAAAAAAAAAAAAAAAAAATTCAATGTCAATGATATGAACATGGTGCACACACACATACACACACACAAACACACACAGTTTGCAATTATCATGCTCGAGACGATCAATTTCGATCAAATCGATTAAAATTGAAAAGAAAATTTTTTTCTTTTTTTTCCATTGTCAAAGCCACCATTCGATTATAATCATTGATCCATTACTAATCATTAAATGTCGATCAATAGATCACAATCGATGGACCAACTTATCGTTGATCCCAAAAGGCTAAAGAAACGAATGCAAAAAAAAATGCAATGCAGTAAAGCTTCAATTTTTCATTTCATTGGATTTTTTTTTTCGTAAATGAATTATATTTGACAACAAAACAAAACAAAACAGAACAAAAAAAAAATCAATTATTGGATTCTCTGTATGTGTTATTTGGCATCATCATTGATAGATAGATTGGATTGGATTTGATATGGTGCATTGATATGCCAGAGTTTGCAAAATTTTGTCAGTATATTGTGTACTGTGATAAATATATAGGGTAACAAAAATGGATGATGGAATGCAAAAAGAAATTCAGGTAAAGAATCTATTTATCATTTTGTGGAATCCGATTCCTTTTTGTTAATAATAACAATTTGATTTGATATGCATCGATATGTTTCGTGTTTTGATAATAATAATAAGCTTTTTTTGTGTTATATATCATCATCATGGTCATCATTGTGATTGTGCTGAGCATCGTTTTTTTTTTTTTTGATTTTGATTTTCGTCCATCTGTTCTTTTAATCATTCATCGATGACCAATTATGATGATGATGAGGATGATAATTTAATTGAATAACAATGACAAAGAAAAAAATAATAAGAAAAACGGAAACGGAAATCATTTGATTGGGATATAAATTAAACTAAAGCTCTGATTTTATAAGCAATACACGATAAATGAGTCAGTGTGTCAGTCTGTAATTCAATTGATGATCAAATTTCATTTGTTCACTGTGTGTGTATTATGATGAGGGTTTTTTGCATTTTGATTGAATAATAATTGAAATGAAATGATTGCAGTGTTCGTGTGTGTGTGTGTGTGTGTATGATATATAAATATACCCGAAATGATAAAAATCATCATGATGGGCGAAACAAAAAAAAAAAAAAAAATACCGAAGCTCATACAAATCAAATGGATCAACACAACAACAACATCAACAACAAAAAATGTGTGGGGAAAAAATTCTTGATTGATTCATTTTGAAATCGAATGGCAATTTTGCAAAAAAAAAAATTTGGTTGATGAGCAGTAGTAGCACCCTTTCTTTCAAAAATGTTGTCGTTGTCGTTGTTTGTTTGTTTGTTGTTGTTGTTCATATAATCAAACATCGTGATTCAATTGTTGTTCTTATATCATTGATACGTTGTTCAATTGTGTTTCTTAATTTAGTAAATTCATCATCATCATCATTTTGGCCACTAGCACCACCACCACCATCGGTCATCATATTATTACCACCATCGATTGATTGTCGATTCATCAGTTGATCATCACCTTTATCCATGCTTGGTTGATTTTCTTTCTTTTTGATTTGATACTGTATATATAAAACAAACCAAACAAACAAACAAAAAACGAAAAAACGAAAAAAATAAATTAACAAATCACGACAAAACTGACATGTTAAAATCAGCAAAAAAAAAATCTGAAAAACTTTTTTCCATCTTGTTAACCAAAAAAAAAAAAAAAAACAATGAAAATGACAAAAGTTCACACACACACATACCTTATCACGAATACCTTTGCGTATTTTTTCTCTTTCTTCTTCCATTTTTCTATGTTTTTCTTTTCGTCTATCTTCTTGTTCTCTGATTACAATGATGATGATGATGATGTTTGCGTGTGAAAAAAATAAAAATTTCAAAAATTCAAACAGAAAAAAACAAAAATCGTGAGTAAAATTGGATTAAATTCATAATCAGAATCATATATAATTTACGATTAATATCATCAAATCGACTTACTTTAATGCTTCAAGTCTTTCCTGATTACAATGAAAATTGAAGATGAATGATGATGATGATGTGTTTGCGTGTGAAAAAAATAAAAATTTCAAAAATTCAAACAGAAAAAAATAAAAATCGTGAGTAAAATTGGATTAAATTCATAATCAGAATCATATATAATTTACGATTAATATCATCAAATCGACTTACTTTAATGCTTCAAGTCTTTCCTGTTCTAATTGTGCTAGTCTTTCTTTTTCTTCAGCACTAAGATTGTCACCAACGCTAATCTCTTTAATCATCATACAATTTTCAGCGTAAAAAAAATGATAATTAGTGTTTTGTTCGATTGTGTTTATCTATATATCTACCTTTTACAGCTGAAAGCTGATTGCCCATCATTTGTTTAGCAATAAATGCCGCCATTTTTTCTTCTTCTTATTTTTCTTCGTCGTCAATTATGTGTGCTATATATAATTGATTTAAATCGGATTAACGAAAAAAAAAATTCCGGAAGTTTCCACAGAATTTCTGATAAAAAAAAAAAAAAATGTTGAATAAGTTTGTATTCGTGGAATAAGTTTTGGATGAAAAGAAAAATTTATCAAAACATTCATTCACTACTTCACATAAACAATGAAATGAACAATCTCTCTATTGTGTTGAGATTATCATTTGTTCGGTTGTACGTTTCACATGATGATTCACAAGATTCTTTCGATTCTTTGCTTTATAGCAGTGTGTGCGTGTGTGTGAATGTGTCTGTCTGTCTTTCTGTGTTTGTGTGTGTGTGTTTCGGATGAATGTTTTAAAAAACTGCTGGTTGTTTTGTATTAATTATGATAATGATGATCAATTTTTTTCGTTGTTTTGTTGTTGTTTTCAATCAATCGTTAACCTTATGTTGTAACACGTTTCGATATTGACACACACACACACAGAGAGACGAAAACAGACACACACCTAGAATAAGTGAAACATTGATTGTCGAAAAAGGAAATGAATAAAAGAAAAAAAACCCAGATGATTATACAAAACGACGACGACGACAACAACCAACAAATAACCATAATTTTCATTGCTCGATTCTCAATTTTTATTCGTGCGATTCTTTCGTTTGAATCACGGTGTGTTTATATCAACAACTAACTCTCCATCCATTGAAGATGATGATGAGCTGACGGCAATGTGTGTGTGTGTGTGGTTTTTTTTCTACAACAACAACAAAAAAAATTTGGGTCCCTCTTCAAGTCAAATCTATAGATAATGAAACAGCAAACACAAACACACACACACACACACATAGACCAAAATGACCAAAATGTACACACACGCACGTATACACAAACAAACACCAAAGAAAGATACCGGAATAGAGCAGCGCCTGAGTTATTTTTTTTTCTCTCTCTTCTTTTGGATCACATTATTATGGTTTTTGGATACTATAGTCGATTATTATCATCATCGACGACGACGACGACGACAACGACAACGACAACACACACACACAGGGCAACCATTAGAATCAAAATCGAAAAAATCGTACCTTGTGTGTCTAAACATATTACCAAAATTTTAAATGACAAGCACTCTCTCACACACAGAATCGAATCTTCTTTTTTTTTTTGCTTGCATGCTGAGAATCACTCACACACACACGCACTGGAAAAAACAATACAGACAAAATATAAAAGATTCACAAAGGTAGAAGAACAAGAATTTTTTTTTTATTTTTGCAAACACATCAATGACCATGGCCTATAAAATAAAATAAAAAAATTTTTCGTTTGTTTGTTTGTTTGTTTGTTGAAAATTATATCCACCTTGATAATAATAACAATAATAAATAACCAGAATCATTCAATTCGAGCTCTCAACGAAAAAAAAAAAGAAAACAAATGGTTACGACCACGCAAAAAAAAAACAGAATTTCAATTCTTTTTTTTGTGTGTGTGTGTGTGTGTATGGTGCGTTTGAAACAATCTCGCCGCTGGTGGTGGTGGCAAGAATGTTGATGATGATGGTTTGTCATCACTATCGTAACGACTACTTGTGTTTTTGATTATAATGACAACAACAACAACAACAACGACAACCTGAATAACCTGAAAATCTTTTGTTCCATACACAAACAAAAAAAGCAAATAGAAAAAAAATAACATGTTACCCAACACCAGAACAAAGATGAAAAAAAAAATCGAATGAATGATGATGGTCCATTGTGTTTTATTATGATTATTATCACACACACACACACAAACACATGGATAGATTGTATTACATGAATGATGATGATGATAAAGCGAACTTGTAAATAGATTACATTTTTTTTTCTTCTTTTTCTATTAATTTTTTTTTCTGGTACAAAAAATCATCATCATCATCATCATCACACACGAACATATACATTTGATGGTCATCTCTTGAAAGTACTTTATTTATTGTTTACGTTGACCATTTCCATTATAAATGGTCTTTTCCTTTTTCCGTTTTCGTTATTGTTGTTGTTGTTGTTGTTGTTGGACAACCTTGTCGTTTTAAACACTCATTAATCATCCAACAACAGCAGCATCACCAGCAGCAGTAGTGGAAATTAAACCAAAAAGTAGAATTATAAAGACCAAAACATTGAAACCAGGCATAATGATGATGATGATCATGATGGTGTGATCATTCTACAACCAGAAACACGCATAGGCATAGGTGTGTGTGTGTGTGTATTTGATGCTATGTGAAAGTGAATGAATGAATGAAGGGGAAAAAAAAGAATGACTTTCATTAATATATACGTGGTTTATCGTTGTTTGTTGTCTTGTCTTGTTTCGTTGTTTTTTTTGTTTTTGTTTTTGTTTTTGACATAAAACGAAAACAAAAAAAAAAAATGTCTTTTTTGTCACTTTTTTTTGCAAGAATAATGACAAACCAAATGATGGTCGATGTGGTTGGTGTTGATTAAATGTATGGGGTGTTGTTTTTTTGTTGTGGTTGGGCGGTTCGTTCATCTTGATGATGATGATGATGATGATCGGATAAATTCTATTTTGAAAACACACAAAAACATACACGGACACGCAACATAATGGAATGTGTATAAAACCGGTGAATAAAAATGTTAATATATGGTAATATAGCCAGAACAGAATATTCTATTATTTTTTTTTGTTCTGGTATTGCTGGAATAATTTAAATGCAAATGACAAATTCATGTGTGTGTGTGTGTGTGCGTAACAACAATAATAAAAAGTTTTACATTCTTCAATATAATAATATCGAAAACAACAACAAATCGATTGATCTGGATTCCATAGATTCTATTGGATCATATTTATTCTTGTTCACCGATTGTTGTTTTGTTTCAATTCAATAGATCAAATAGAGCTAAACGAAAAAAAAATCTGATTGTAAATTGAAAATTGATTAAAAAAACTAACCAGAAACTGATTCATTTCAAGGTTCAATTACCTATACAAGCAATATGCCAGTATATCGATTAATTGGAAGAATCGATCCACGATGATGAAAAACATTGGAAACAATCAATGGAATGAAAATGAAAATGAATAAAACCTGGAAATATAATGAGAAAAACTTTTTATTATTTTTTTTTGGGAATAAAATAAAAAAATAAATAAATAACACCTGTGTTTCCAAGGTTTCGATCGATGGTGGTGGTGGTGGTGGTGGAAACACAAGAATATAAGAATAGAAATGGTCAGAAAAAAAGAACGACGTTGACAACAACAACAACAACAACAAACAACGATGAATAAAGTAAGAATAACGGAAAAACAAAACGGAGAAAAAAAACAATTTTTCGATTTCACGAACCAGCAAATTCTTTCAGTTCGTTAAACTGGAAGAATCGTTTGTTTTTTTTCCATAAATAGAGATTGAATTGATTTGTCACCAGTGAAATAATTGAACAAGAAAAAAAAACAGCAAGATTCGCAAATCACAGCAAAAAAAAACAAAACAAACAGCGATCATCATTTGAAAAAACAACAACAACAAACATCGTGTTTGAATCATTGAATTTTTTTAAAAAATCAAAAAAATGTGCTGTTCATGTTCAACGTGTACATTTCTCACATTATTCATATCATCAGTCATTTTGACCACGGTAGTTATTTGCTATTATGAAGGAGCTCGAATGCAAACATTTCTTAGGGATATGGTCGATTCAATTTACTATAATAACGATGATTATTATGATGGAGGGGATTATTCATGAATCGAGAAGAGAAAAAAAAATTTTAACCTTTTCTTTTGCTTTAAAACAAAATAAAAAACAACACACTGTCAACACAAAACTTTTTGTTTTATCGGCTCAAATTTTATTCGTGCGTGCATTGAATTTTTTCTGTTTTTTTTTTTTTTTTTTTGATCTTTTTCCATGTGTGTGTGTGTGTATGTGTCTCATTGCTTTACCCCATCATTTACCATTTTTTCATTTTGTTTTTCATTTATTCCTATTTTGTTTAGATTACCGTTTCCGGTGTTTATATGTTTCAAAATGATCCAAATAGTTTGATTATGACGGAAAATTTCTTGGGCAAATTATTTGCCATTATCAATATGGCAAGTGAACAGTCCTTTAGTTATTTGATACGTACAATTGACCAAAACAATTTGAATAACAACAACAACAACAACAATGATGATATAATGATGATGGCCGATAATCCACGTAATAAAAAACAACAATTGATCACTAATATTGAAAATTTAGATCCATTACAATCATCATCATTAATGTTGGATGAATTGGATGCTGAAATGGAATCAACACCAACACCAGCACCAGCAACAACAACAACAACAATGAGAATTCAAACAAAAGTCAAAAATAGACAAAAAAATAAATCAAAACCAAAAAATGAATGATCGATTAATGGGTTACCGATGGACAAAACGAGAAACAAAAACGAAAATCGAACGTTCATTGTTTTTTTTTTCATCCAGAAATCGCACAACAATTTTGGGCGCACAAAAAACGATCAACGAACAACAAAAAAAACCATAATAATAATCAGAGCGAAACGAACCATGTATTATTCTTTTTTTTTATATACAAAAAAAACATCATCATTTTTTTTATTTTTCTTTTATTATATGAACCAGAAAAAAAAATTTCGACCAAAAAAAAGTTGTCTCAATTTGTTATTCATTCATGATGAATTATTTACAACGATGAGAAAAAAAAGGTGTGTGTGTGTGTATATGATGGTCATCATCATCATTTTTTTTCCATATTTCAAACAGGCTTCGATGACAAACTATATGAATGACCGGTATAGTGATGATTATTATTATTATTATGTGGGTGAGAAAAGCTTGCATGATGATGATGTTGTTTTCGAAATTCATAATCTATGAATGAATGAATGAACGGAAAAGAAAAGTTTTTTTTTTAAATTTCGTTTGTTTGCACATACATACCTTGTATGGATGTTTCGTTATATAATGATGTTCCCGTGGGACGATCATGAAACAGATATTGTGAACGATGATGTGAAATGGGTGCCAATTCCATATTATATTCGGCAATTGGTTGCCATGCAATGAAATCTTCACGACATTTATTCAAACATCGAAACCATTCATTATGTTGATCATTGATTGATTCGAATGTAAATGTTATATCATTATTGATTAGTTGTATCAAAGCTGTTTGGTCTTTTTGTTGGCTAATTTTTGTTTGATTATTTATTGGTATTATTAAATCCGGTGTACGTTTACTGGCCGTATGTTTCAGATATGCTGGTTCATCTTTCAATTCGGTTTTCATATGCCATAGATTTAGTTTGAATTTTGCCAATACTGACCAAAACATTTCATTGGAATCTATTGATCTAACAATACCTGAATGATAATCTTTTAGTAAACATTCTGGTTGTACGGCTAATCGACAACAAAAATGACCAAATAATGGTAATTGTAGATTTTTATCCAATTCTTCTTCAATGTCTAGATCATATGTTTTGATTAGATCAGCAGAATCTTTTAGATTCAATGTAGAACGAGCAATCAGATAGAATTTCGGTCCACTTGATTATAGAGAAAAAATTAAAAATCAACCAACCAATAACCAACAAACTTACGTTTCAGGATCAAAATCATCTTTATAGTTGATCATTTTACGACCAAAACTTCTTGAAAGTGAATTGGATATTTTATGTGTTAATTTTTTATGTGTAGATGCCATCGATAAATCATCATGTAAAATTCGTGCATAAATATATAGATCGAATGTAAAATTAGGTTCCACACAATTGAAATGAAATGTATCATCAAAACATATATCAGTGATATTACGATCTACATTCACCATGATTGTATCATAAATTTCTGTACCAATTTTAAGCAAACAAAATACAGCAAAACGACGATAATCGCCTTTGTTTTTAAAATAATCACTATCTTTCCATATTAATGGTATTCGAATGTCTGTAAAAAAAATAAAATAAAATAAAAATATTTGATCATCACAACATAGACAAAAAAATCTTTTTTTACCTGAAACTGATGATTTTGCTTTGAAAACCGGTTCCATTCTTGAAAGCCTATTATATCCAAATGAGAAAAAAAACGGATATAATGAATCAATGTCTTTATGATTGATGCGCATTTTTTTTGTTGTTGTTGTTGGAACTTACTTTTGATGATGATTATTATTATTATTACGTTGTTTACGTTTTTGGAGTTCATTACGAAATTCAGCCAAACGCATATCGGATGTAAGCAATGATTTTGCTGCCTCTAAACTTTGATTCATATGTTTACAAGCTGCCAATAATTTTGCCGTACCTTCACGCATTTTGATTTCCAGATCAATTTTTTGCTGTAAATCATATTCCTATATGTGTGTGTTTGTACAAATGATAAATGTCAAAGAAAAAAAAAACATTAGAAAAAACAATGTCATGACATAGAAAAAATCTACTCTGTCAAAATAATTGAAAACAACAACAGTAATAATTTCAAAAAAAAAAAAAATTAAACAAAACATTGACAATGTTTGTGAAACACCCTGAACATTCAATCGAACAAATATGGAGCGGCAAATAAATCGAATAACCGACATTCTTTTTTTTCGTCTTCTTACATGATAATTATCGGCAATTTGCCGAAGAAAATAGGCACCATTATTAATGATACGAAATGATGGTGTAGATGATTGGGTAGATGGTGATGATGATGATGATGATCGACGATTTCTATGATGATATGATAATGATGTTAATCTTAATGATGATGAAGCAAAACGAGGCCTTTTCAAAAAAAATGATGATGATGATGTTGAATTCTTTCTAGCTGCTACCGATGATAATGATACGGATAATTTGGATGATGATGATGATTTTGGAACACCATCACTACCAATAATGATTGGTTTATCTAAACGGATACCCATAACTATCTTGTTGTCGTTTTTTTTTGCATATATCAACCGGATCAAATATCAAATGAATTGATTATTCATTCAACACACACACACAAAAAAAAATGCGAATGTCAATTGCCGATAACCACATATATCCATGATGATGATTCACATTATCAATCATTTGTGAGTGCAATTTCATGGAAAAATGAATGGCGCGCAACAACAACAATGATAACAATGTGACACAAACTAAACATGAACAACAACAACAACAACAATTCAACTTGAATAAATGTTGCCAATCTAAATGTGAATCAAATGATTTATTCATCCATATCAATTCCCATCATCATCATCATCCCACTATTTATTCATTCATCAATCTATATTCTATTTTCACACAATAAGACTAGATGTCTTGTGTGTGTGTTATGTCACCCATACATCAAATAAACAATCACAAAATAGAAACAAACAAACAAACAAACAAAAACACTGTGGTGATAAATTCATAAAATGAATGAATGAATTGAATGAAAAAACAAGTAGCCTGGAGAGAAAAATGTGATCATCAACGATATATGTTCGTAAAAGAAAACACTGGAAAATTGAAAACCATAAACCATCAAAATGGTATATATGATGATTATTATTATGAGTTGGGTTGGTTCGATATTTCAATTTCAATGTGTGTGTGTGTTACCCCGACAATTAAATTGAGTCATCATACACACACACACACACAAGAGACAAATATTTTTGATGATGATGATGATGATATGAAACTTAATGTCGATTATTGCTGTCGTTACTGATGATAGTGGTGGTGGTGGTGGTGGTGGCACAAAAAAAAACATTAAGAATATTTATATTTGTCACAATGTTTTAAGTGTCTGTATATGATTTTGTGTAAGTATAGAGTAATATTAATAATTGTTCATCATCATCATCATCAATACAATAAATCTATATCCATCCATTCAACCGATGCAACAAATCGTATCAAAATATATCATCATCACCATCAAATGAATGGTTTTCAAAAAAAGTTTTTTTCACTGTGTAACGAATGGATTGGGACTCGTCCATTGACATATCATACACACACAAACATAAATCAAAAAATTTCATTAAATTTTAGCAATAATCAATCGACGAGTTTCCAAACATTTTTTCTTCTTCTGGCTTATTCATCATCATCATCATCATAATCAAGTAAAGTTTTTACAAATGAAAAAAAAACCTATGAGCCATAATTATTATATTACAAAAGCTGAGAGTGAGAAAAACAGAGCGCACGAGAGAGAGAGAGAGTTGGCAATGTTTTTTCGTTTGTTGTTTTCTATTCTTTTCTTTTCTTTTCTTTCAACCAACCAAGCACACACACACTGATGATGGTAAATGAATGAATGGCAGAATGTATCACATAACAACAACAAAAACACTGATTCAATGAATGAGAATTGTATGTATTTCATCATGGCAAAAAGAAAACAGGAATTCAAAAAAAAAAAAAAAAAAAACACAAAAGCTCAACCAACCACCATCAATACAATCAACAGATTGACAGAAGACAAACGAACATACACACACACTATTTTTGAAGCTTCTTCTTCGTCTTGTTTTTTTTTGTTCTTGTTCTTCTTCTCGAACTTGATGATGATGATGATGATCGTTTGTAGGATTTTTTTTTTATTTTACAAGACCCAATTGTATATCACAACACACCACAAACTTAATGTGTAGGTGTTTGTGTTACAGGTTCATTCATTCATCACACAACAAAAAAAAATACTGCGAAAGAATGAAATAGAGATGTATGTTAATAATGTTATCAATGATTTGGCCGATACATGTCCAATTTAATGAATATGATGATACCTGATGAATTGAATCAAACCATTGACCATTCAACTAATGATGATTCAATGAATTGAATATATAATGGTCATCATCATCAATGATGATGTTCTTGAAGTAGAAGAAGAATAAATGATTTTTTTTTTGAAAAACGATCAATCCCATATTGAATATCATATAGTGTGGTGATCCATCGATCAATCAATCATTCAATCAAAAAAAAAAAAAAAAAATTTCAATGAACTAATGTGAACAATAAATTTTCATATACTGGACAAGTTTTGAAATGTGGAATGAATAATAAAATGCCTATAGGCGGACATGTCACATTCATATCATTTGTGTGTATGTGATCCAATGATCCAATGATCATAATGATGGAAATCAAAAGAAAAAGAAAACGATTCAAAAATTGACATAAATATAAAAACGATGACAACATCAACATTTCAATTTCAACTATACCATTGTATATACACTAAGCAAGTGGAAAATAAGGATCTATTCTTGCGTTCGGCCAAGTCCATCTGATTGAGGTGTATAGGCAGTGGTTGTTACGTGAATAATTCCTTGGAACGAAAATAATTATTAACAATTTCATTAACGAACTCACCGCCCTGATGAATTGAATCAAACCATTGACCATTCAACTAATGATGATTCAATGAATTGAATATATAATGGTCATCATCATCAATGATGATGTTCTTGAAGTAGAAGAAGAATAAATAAATGATTTTTTGAAAAACGATCAATCCCATATTGAATATCATATAGTGTGGTGATCCATGGTGTTTTCAACAACAACAAAACAACAACAAAAAAATTGGCCCAAATTCAAACACCTTGAAATGTGTGGATACAAAAAAAAAATTAAAAAATTCGAGCAGATGTGAATGTGTGTGGTTTAAGGGCCTATTAAATTAAATAGCTATATTTATTATATATCGAATGGTCATTATCATCATCATGACCAATGGTGGTCATCCATTCATTCGTAAGGCGCTAAATAATTGTGTGTGTGTGTGTGTGTGGAGAGGGAAAAACTATTCCAAGGTGATAAAGTTAAAGATATCCAATTAAAAACAAAACAAAAATCAATCGTTTGAAATCTAGAGAAAAAAATGGAATGATCTTTATGGTTCAAATTATGATTTTTGAAACAAACAAACGAAAAAAAAATTATTGTTTTCCGTCAAGAACAAGTCACTTTATTATCAGGTCACTTTTAATGATGGGTGATGATCATGAACCATTGATGATATGATGACCTGAATTTTTTTTACAACAACAACAACAACAACAATGATAATATAATATAATTGAAGAAAATTGAATTTTGAAAACGGAAAAAAATAAAAATAAAAAAAAAATATGCAATAGTTAAAATCCTCGACACTAGGTGGTGCTTTCAGCGCCAGTTTTGTTTAAAAAAAACGCTTACCATTGTATCAACATAGCAAAAGCTAGTTTTATGATCTACAATTGAATAAATATAACGATGCATATTGATGAATGAATGAATGAATGGATGTCGATGATCAATAAATGGAAATAACAAACAAATAACAAAATGCCAAAACAAACACTGGTTTTTTGTCGTATATGTTGTTGTGTGTTTTATGTTTATATAATAAATATAAATAAAATGATGATGATCACACACCCAAAACACAAACTGTATTTTTGATTATAGTAAAAAAAAGATCTAATCATTAATTTATTGATGATCGATTGATTGATTTTTCAATTGTTTTTTTAGCTGCTGCTGCTGCTGCTGTAGATGATGATGGTGATTTTTATTGTTTGATTGATTTTTGATTACACATCACGTGTGTAAACAAATTAAAAAAAATTTTTTTAAAAGGAAAATGTCAACAACACACACACACACACAAGCAAAAAAAAGTAAACTCAACGTGGACCCCACTGCCAAAAAAAACTGGACAAATTTTAAAAGATGAGCACCAAAAAGGTCAATGCTATCTGACCTAATGATGGTAAAAAAAAGGTCAAATTTCGACGACAACAAAAAACTCCATTGGATTACAAGGAAAAAAATTCCAAAACACACACACTTAAACACAGAATGAAAAAGAAAATTTCAAGTTCGCAGATGAATGCAAAAAAAATGTGTAAAACCAGCAATTATTGAAGCTATTTGATTGTCATATACAAGTAAAAACAAATTAGGCATGTGGTGGTGGTGGTGGATGAATCCTTAAATGGTTGTCGATTATTCATAAATGTCAATGATGATGATTATGATGATGATGGTGATGGAAAAAGAAGACGAAAAAAAAAAATGAAATTTGAATCGAAAAAAAAATAAAATGAATGTGTTCTATGGATTTATAACCAACTAAATATAAATACTAATCATACATACACACAAAAACAGGCAATGGGTTAAAAATATTTGAAATGGAAGGCCATCACCATCACCATCATCATCATCATAATCATAATTATAATGGTGGTGGAATAAAGGTATTCATTATTTTCATTAACTTTTTCATTGCTACAAAAACATCAACGACAACGATGAATGATGATGATGATGGTGATGGTGATGGTTAATGAAAATCATGAAAATCAAAATCAAAAAAAAAAAATTTTCAATTAACACACACACATACACATGCATACAGGCACAAACCAAAAATTGAATAAACATGGGTATGAAAAAAAAATGGTGAAATACAATAATTAAACATACACACACATAGAAAAAAAATCGAATCAATAAATGGGATTTTTTCTTTTTTTCATTCAATACGCCTATTGAAGCAGCAGCACAAGAAATTAAAAAAAAAATCAAACAGAAAATAAAAAAAACACGTACATGCGGCTGGTGTGTATAGTTTTTTTTTTAATGGAAGCAACAACAAAAAGGCAACAACCATATGGTATATCATTGACGGTGATGATGATGATGATGATTTTTCAAATCTCAATTTTTTTTTTCGTTGCTCTTTATGAATTATAAAAAAAAGGATGACGTTGTTGTTGTTGTTGTTGTTGAGATTAAATCAATGTGTAATGAAAAAATTTTTTTTTTTCATTTTAATGACAAATGTTTGTCATGGTATTTAGTTGGTTGGTTGGTTGGTGTGTGTTATTTGATGATGACCTGGAATTGAATTAAATGTAATTGATCATCATCATCATCATTCATATAGTACTGATATTGGTGTAGTTTGTTTTTTTTTTTTCACAGGATTTACATTTCGACAATGACAATCAATCCTTGTTCTGCAAATGAATTGAATATAAATTTCGACAAAAATGAATGAATGGCATTCAAAATATTTGGTTTCATTACATGGTGGTGGTGGTGGTGGTAAATAATAACGGCGGCAATACGCGCTCTTACTAACAGGTGTCAAATTTTTTTTTCTATCTGTCTGTTTGCATGCATGTGTCATCGAGTGTAAAGAACAAAACAACAACAAAAAAAATTTTCAATGTTTCTCGCATACAATAACAAAATGGTTATATTTCATTTTTAGTCCATTTAAAGAATGTTTTTTTTGTTGTTGTTGTTGTTGTTGATTTGACGCCCTAATTTGTTTCACCCAGCAAAAAAAAAAAAAAAATCCATAAATAAATGTGGTTACCATGGACCATCATCATCATCTTATTATCATTTCAATGATATATTAGGACACATCAATCAACTAAGATACCGGTGATTTTTTTTCCATCATAATAACAATGATGATGATGATGATGATTTTTGTGGTGAAATCATCATTATATTATTGGCCATTTATGAACATTTTGGATTCACTGGATTCAAACGACGACGTATACAATGATGGTGATGACATGATGATGTCATTGTTATTTGATAATGATGATGATGATAATAATATTAACATTGGAATAAAAATGTCCAAACAAGGATTAGCCGGAATATAATCATCAATGACAACAACAGCAACAACAACCTCAAATCATCATCATGAAAAACATGACATTAAGTCATATGTAACTAAATGATGTATGATGTCATCATTTCAAATACCATTTTTTTTAATTATAAAAACCGGATTTTTTTCTCCCTGTATATGTGTGTGTGTTTGCATATGTGGAATATTAAATTAGAAATCGAAAATAAAATGGAAAACAAATTGGACAGATAAAAAAAAACAAAAATTTCTTACCTGTTGTCTTTTACTATAACGTATTGATGTACGAAATGATGGTATTGGAAACCGTGTTTGTTCGTGGAAATCTCGACAAATCGTTCGATGATGTTGATGATGATGATGATGATGAAATGAACGAAATTGATGATAATGTCTACGATTCTTGAATTTTACAATCACGTTATTATTATTGGATTTATTCATTCTGGGCTGGATTTAAAGGTGAAAAAACGCCGACACAGATATTTGGCCACAAAAAGACCGTTGGGAAATTTTTTTTTACGGTTGATGGTTTCCGATTCGATAAAAAATCGCGATTTGCGCATGCGCATTATATTGAAAAATGTTTTCATTTTTTTTTATTTATTTTTAAAAAGAGAGAATAATGGAACAGAATGATTTATGATTTATAAAATATAGATAGATTAGTTGCATGTGATTACATGATTTGACATTGTTGTTGTTGTTGTTTACCATCCAAACCATTGTTCATTGCATTCAAATTATTAAACATCATCATATCACTATTATCGCCACCACCGGATACTAAAGCCGTTGGTGGTGTACCAAACGATTGCATTGTTTGCATCAATGATAATATTCTATTGAAACGTATGGATTTCATTTCATCATTGTGGCCACCACCATCATCACCATCATCGTTTTCAAATTCTTCACAAATTTTTCGAATAATTTTCAATTGACTTTCATAACGATTATAATCATCTTTCGATAATGATGATTGATTCTCGGCCAAATATGTTGGATACTAATTGATGATAATTAGAAAATTCGAAGAGACAAAAAAAAATCATCAAGCCACTCACCTTTGTTCTAAGTTCCGATAATGTTGGATAAAGAAAATCTTTGGAAAGCAAATTTTCCATTATATTCGACATCAATGGCATTATTTTATTCAATTCGGACATATTGTTTTTAATGTTTTCATCACTATCACCGGTTTTATTATCATCATCATCATAATTATGCTGTAATTCGGCCAGATTTGCCATCATTTTGGCCATTTCATCATTGGAAAACATTGTTTCATCGTTTGATATTGATTCTGCTTTATCCGATATTATTTTCAATGTTGATAACAATGATTCATGTAGATCATTGTCAACTACAAATACAAATATTATCGATCATCAATAAAATTTGTATAAAAAAACAACAATACAATACACACACACACCTGTTTGATTACAAGATTTAGCCAATTTGGACCAATTTTCTTTCAATTCATTATCCGATCCATATAATGACCGGAATGGAGAATCGATTTGAGGATTCGAATTTGATTGTCCAGATGGATTAGGTTGCATTTTATCATCATTATTATCATTATTATTGCTGCTGGATTCATTTTTATTGTAAATTTTACAGAAATCATTAAAAGTGTCTATATAGTGAACAGAATGTGTTAGATGATGATGTTGACAAAGAATCAATGACAAAAAAAGACTTACTTTCAAGTAAACTACCAAGTTCGGCTTCATTGATGTCACCATTATTATCATCATCATTATGGTTCTTATGATCATTCATTTTTTCTTTGTTTTTTGATTTAAATTGAAAAAAAAACTTCAACAACAAACAATCCACGATAATCAATGATAATAATTCGACGTAGAAAAACAAAATAAAATAAAGAAAGATTGAGTCGCGAAACAAAACAAAACAAACAAAAAAAAAAATCAGAGATAACTAAACACGACAATACACAGCTCATTTACAACAATACGCTTGGTACATTATTTGGCAACAGGTGGTCAAACCAGTCTTTTTCTTTTTCTTTTCTTCTTCTTCTTCTTCTTCGACGTTCGATGTTCGTGTCATCATTTTTTTGTGTGACCCTCAAATGATAAAATTAATCAATAAAAAAATTCAATGGAAAAAAATTTATTGAAAACAAATTGGAATTTTTTTTATTTTACAGAAACAAACAAACAAACAAAAAAAAAGAAAATCAATGGGCAATAAAATATAATATATATTGATATACACTGGGTTTGTTTTTGTTGTTGTTGCTGTTGTACATGGTCTGCGCTGTGTTGTTGATATATATATTTATTGAGATCATATTATCATTTACTAATCACGTTTTTCATGTTCATCATCTTGTTGTTCATCATGATCTGGATCAACAAGATCATCATCACGTGCATCAAGAAAATCTGAACAACATGTCATATAGACAATAATGGCCAAGAAAGAACTAGGTAAACCAAGTAATAATAATGTTAATATTGGATTTCCTTGATACATTGTCAATATTGTTGTCAGTGTATCGAAAAATAGACGAATTATTCGATGAACATAACTATCGCCACCATAATACTATGTGTTGGGAATGAATAAAAAAAAAAAAAAAAATTCAATTATTAATATAAGAGTATAGTAGACAAATTCTCTTTCAACAACAAAAAAAAATTATTGATCAGTGTTAAAAAGCTCGTACATAATATTAGCAACATCAAATGTGGTCAGACAATTGATTATTGTATGATTCATCATTTTAGTATTGTAATGGAATAAAAGAGAATTAAATGGCAAAAAAAAACAACAACTTACAATCAAAGTATCAGGTTCATGAATAATTTTGTCAAGAAATTTTTCAATATTCGCACGTATCGCTTGATAAGTGTCGCCAATTTCATCGATATTATCACTCAATAAATAATATTTCAATGTTGTTGAATTGAGAATCAAAAGATTCGGTATCGGTTGTACAGTACGAATGGCCAATGAATTCATGGTGATCAAATCGGATGAATAACCAAAAAGAAAATGATCTTCTTTATTCGAATATTCATTGGCAATTGATTCCATTATATTTTTGAATGCAACATTTTTCTGGCCAATCAATTTGCCACTAGATCGATATTCTTCTACAATTGATATGGCTAACAATTTATCTACCAAAAAAAAAAATTTACATTAACAATCAGGTTTATGATTCAGGTTTGAGGAATGAAAATCAACCCAAAAAAATCAGTGTTAAAAAGCTCGATAAAATAAATCAATCATAGAATCGACTCAGTTTCGGGATAAGTATTCATCATGACAATAGATAGAATTATCTGTGATTTCAAAAAAAAATACTTACGACTACTCAAGGCCATGTGTAGATTGGTACTAGTGAATCGAGTGAAATGAGGAAATCGATGTCGTCGTATCCAGGCAATAAGATCGCCATGTATTTGGTAGTCTATCAAATAGTCATTATTATTCAGAAATAGAAATGATTCAAATTCAAATTACATACCGAATTTGGCATAAACATTTTTCGATTTCAAAGCATAAATGCCCGGTTGAAAATCTTGACATAACATTAATGAACGAAAAAACCAATCGTATGGTTGAAATGTGGCAGCCAATCGTGTGAAATTACCATCGGCTTCTGGACCGAAATTGATGAAAATCACTCGACGGCCATCCTGAACTAGATCGTTTAGTTGATCACAACTAGATAAATACCGGATAGGCGGTCCATGGACACGTAATGCAAAATCAATGATATCATCACGAATTCTTTCGCCTTTGAATTCAATTTGTTTCTGTGAATTTATATACAGAATGGTTGGAAATCCACGAATTGTAAAATGACTAGCTGCTGTCAAGTATTTGGTACAATCAACACGACCAACCACAATATTGGCATCCAAATTGTGCAATTGTTGGGCAACCTGGGCCCATACAGGCTCTGTAATTTAATGATGAAAACAAAACATAAATTTGTGACAAAAACCAAAAGTGTGACAAAAAAAACACGTGCTGATGAAAAAGCCTGCAGGCACAGAAAAATGACTTGGCCGCTAGACGACGCTATATGGCGACGTTAATGAAATGGAAATTTAAAACAAAAAAAACTTACCCAAATCTTGGCAATGATGGCACCATGGAGCATAAAATTTTATCAAAAATGATCTTTTATCATTTGGATAAACATCAACAAGTCGATCATTCATTTCAATTACACGACTTGCTTGAACCGATTGTAAATTTGGCCATAATAATGATGATTGTTGAAATGGGCCAAAAATGATAAAACAAAAGCCAAACATATTTTTCCATTTTCTGAAAATTGTATTCATCATCATTTGAATGATGATGATGAAGCATGAAAATGAATGATTCATGTTTATCTTGCTGTAAAAAAAAAATTTTTTTTTTTTTGGCCACAATGAATTTCGAATAGAAATTTATTCAATAATTATTGGACACACCATCATACATTGTGTATTTTTTTAAAGAATAATTTCTTGAAAATTAATCCAAGAATCGGTAGAACTCAAAAACAAAATAGCAAAAAAAAAAAAAAAAAAAACAAGCCAGCCAAAGAATTTTGGTTGGCCAAATACAATTCGTCTCAATTTGCTCATCCATACAAATGGATATATTTGGATTCTAATGACAAAAAAAAAGTTGTATACTCATTGTAGCCGACGTCATACAATAGCATGTATCGACGACTATTTGGACAGTATTCGGATCACCTTTTTAACATTTTTGCCAACAACGCGCGTGGTCGTATTCTGCTGATATATACTGACTTTGTTGAGAATTTTGTATTCACAAAAATGTCCAACCAAATTGAAGAATCACAACAACAATCACCGGATTCGACTGAAAATCATCAATGCAATGATGATGGCGATTTTGTTGATCCATGGACAGTGACCAGTTCTAGTCAATCTGGACCCGATTATGATAAACTCATTGGTTTGTTTTGTTTTTTTTTCTGTTTTTGATTCAACTTTTCATTATTTTAATCACAAAATAAGCTCGTTTTGGTTCTGCAAGGGTTACCGATGATCTATTGAAAAGATTTGAATCAGCATTACCAGCCGGCACAAAGTTGCATCACTTTCTTCGTCGTGGAATATTCTTCTCTCATCGAGATTTGGAGCCCATATTGAATAAAATCGAGAAAGGTGAAAAATTCTTCTTGTACACTGGCCGTGGACCGTCATCAGCATCGCTGCATGTTGGCCATTTGATTCCATTTATTTTCACCAAATGGCTACAGGATACATTCGACGTTCCTTTGGTCATCCAATTGACTGATGATGAAAAATTCTTATGGCGCGGATTAAAAATTGAAGAGGTGAAAAAACATGCACTAGAAAACATCAAAGACATAATTGCATGTGGTTTTGATGTGAAAAAAACGTTCATTTTCACCGATACTGATTACATTTCGTAAGTGTATTTTTTTAAAGTTTTTAAATTATTAAATCTCTTGTTTTCCAGTAAATCACGAGCTTTCTACGAGAACATACTGAAAATTCAACGTTTAGTCACATTTAATCAAGTGAAAGGAATATTTGGATTTGGTGATTCAGATTGCATAGGAAAAATTGCCTTTCCAGCCATACAAGCTGCACCTTCATTTTCAACATCATTTCCTCAGATATTCGGTACAGGATCCAAATGTCAACTGTGTTTGATTCCTTGTGCTATAGATCAAGATCCATATTTTCGAATGACACGTGATGTAGCGCCTAAACTAAAATATCCAAAACCATCATTATTGCATTCAACTTTTTTGCCAGCATTAGGTGGTGCTATGTCAAAAATGTCTGCATCCGATGCAAATAATTCTATATTTCTTACCGATACGGCTAATCAAATCAAAAACAAGATAAATAAATATGCCTTCAGTGGTGGTGGCGGTAGTGTTGAAGAACATCGTGAAAAAGGTGGAAATTGTGATGTAGATGTTTCCTATCAATATTTACGATATTTTCTTGATGATGATGATCATCTTGAACAAATTCGTTGTGATTATAGTTCTGGAAAAATGTTAACAGGAGAAATTAAAAAAGAAATCATAACCGTTTTACAAGAACTAGTTGCCAAACATCAACAAGCAAGAAAAGAAATTACCACAGAAATTGTTGAACAATTTATGACACCTAGAGAATTGAATTTTGTTAATACAACAACAACAACAACAACAACAAAATGAAAATATTTACTTTTATTTAAAAAAAAAAAAACAAATTGAGCAATAATTTGAGTGAAAGTTTCATTGTTTTTTTTTGTATGATTCATGTTGTTAACGACGACGATAATATCCACCACCAATCAATCTTTTACTATATCCATATCCATGTTTAGCGTAGCCGCCACCATAATGATCATAATAATAGGATGGATAATAAGATAGTTTTGAATAGTAACGAGGATGATATTTAGGCGTATAGGAACTATAATAAACTGCTGGTACAGATTTTTTATAATAATAATGAGAATGATGATGAATTGGATAATATAGATGAGAATATTTGTAACCACCACCACCAAGACCGAATCCACCATAGCCACTATGATAAGGAATGGCCATTACTATCAAAATGGTAATGGATAAAATCATCAAGACAAAAATCATCTATAGATAGATAATAGAAAAAAAATATTCGAAAAATTTCGACAACAACATATATGAATGTGGGTAGTTGATTGATTGATTGAATATCAACACATACCAATTTAGATGACATTTTTCTTTGGTTTTTTTTTGGTTATTAAAAATTTTTTCGTCGAAACAATTGACACACACACACACACACAAAATGATTGATTGGATCGTATCATGATGAGGATACATTGTTTTTATATATGTCTATCATCATTTGAAGGTTAATTTTAATTGTCAAAAATATTGCAGCAGCCAAATCACATCTTTGTCACATTGATCATCATCTTACATTATTATTATTATTATTATTATTGAATATATTAATATTTTGTATATTTGTACATATTAATGACCAGAACATCAATCAAATGACCTCCACAGATTTGATCATATTTGGTAAAAAACAAACACACACAGACACATAAAGATGGATACGCATCGAAAGAGATCGATAGGTAAAAATCTGATGGGAAACAAAATATGAAGCAATCCTTGTGCGCGAATATAGATAATCGAATGACGAGGACAGTGTATTTATTAATTGTCACCAATCAACTGTGAAATATTTGCCATTTTAAATTTAATTATTATTATTATTATTTTAAATACATCAAGGATAGCCATTACGACAGCTGACGTTCACATCATCAATAAAATTATTGGCTCAAATTGTTTCACGATGAAGGTAATTCTTTCATTAGATTTCGTATTTTATCACGTTCACGTTTTGCTTCATTTAATTCAAGCCAATCGGTTTGTTGTAGAATTTCAGCAATTTCGGACAATTTTTCTGGCTCATCAATATCCAACGATAATATTGCTGCATACATTTGTGTGGCTGTATATGAACGAATTTTCACCGCTAATCGATGTCCTAACAATACATAGAGATAACCTTGAACCAAATTTATACGGCCAAACACTAATAATGTACAGAATATATCACATGCAAGAAAATATTTTCTTGGATTCGATGTTTTTTCCGAAGCTCGCCATGCAAATTTGGCGGCATTGTCTTGAAATTGTCGACAAGTTTCAAGTCGGATAAGAATGGTGTTCATTGAGATCAACAAAGGTATCGATAAACGTAAGCAACGTGCATTCGCCTCAGCCAATATCAAATATTGTTCAAGCAATTTTTGTCGAATGTCGTTCCGACAATCTTTGATGTAATCGATAATACATTTACAATGACGTTCAAGATTTGGATCGGCTACGATCAATACTAGTCCACGCCACAAATCAATGACAAGTTTATCACAATGAAATAAATTTAGCAACTCTTGAAAAAGTTGTAAATCTTCAATAGAATCAATTTCATTATCTAATTTTAAAATTCGATTCGATTCAAGGCCCAGCGATTGACATAGATCATGATGTCGTGAATCGTTTCGAATAAAATGGAAAATTGTAACCAATTTTTGCATTGAAAGTCTGAATGTAAATCCACGATTTGATGCCGCTTCGGATGTAATCAATCGAATCAAATTCAAAAGTTGATCTGAATCTATGCAGTGGACATAATTCAGACAGGATTGTATACACGCTCGACGTATGATAAGACCAGTGTCACCTTTTTTCGTTATAGTATGATCATCAAAACATTTCAATAGAATTGTGTAAACTAAACGTGAATTGTCACTATGGTTCTGCAACAATCGATCATAATGATAAGATGTAATGTGTAATAAACATTGAGCAATATCAGCTATTGTTTCTGGACGACGAATTTCATTTTCGAACCAATATTCTTGGAATTTAACCAGTGCAACAATAATTTCATTGACCATTGTGATCACATCTGGAAGTGATTTAATGTCACTTGAACTCATGTGACGGCCAAAAAATTGTGCCAATGTAGACATTGTGAAATGGTCACAATTAGGTTTAGCCATTGATATCAATGTATGTAAAAATCGACAACCATGATCAATTGGTATATTTTGCATAAAGCTACAGGTAGCATTCACAGCAGCTGATTGAATCAATTCATTTGAATCGATCATTTGAATAGAATCGATTAGGAATTGATCAATTTCAGATAGATCTTTTTCCACTAAAAATGGGATAGCTTTTTCCACAAAAACCAAAAGAGATTCTCGGATTAAATTGTTGCCAAATGTTGATCCAGAATGACGAAGTGTATGAAATTGTTGTGAAAATTTGTTCAACAATTGTTCAATTACATGAGATTGCTTTTGAAGTGATTCATCAGCGTTTAACAAATATGAGGCAGCCAACATTAGGCCATGTTGATGATTTAAGTCGATTTGAATCATTTGTTCAAACTGTTGCATGAATTTATCATGATAAGATTGGCCATAGAATGGACAATGATTAGCGATTTTCGCTACAGTTTTTGATGCTAAACGTCGAATAGCAGGATCCCAATGAATACATTTTTGTGACAGCAGATTGTCGACAATTGTCGGACGAAATTCTTCATAAGTGATGGCAAAATGAAAGCCAATATTCAGATAAGTGTGTTCGATTTGACTGAGCGAATGAAATTCTGTTCTTGGTATCACATCAATCCAATGAGGAAATTGTTGAGTTCTACCGGCCAATTCTTGAATAACAGCTGAAGCAGCCCGACGACAATTCAATTGACGATCAAAGCAAACTACATTTAAAAGGATCGGTGCAAGATGAGCAACAAACTGGGCGATCGATTTGCCATCATAAGCTCGTGCCATTGACCAACAAATGTAACAAGCTGCATCACGAACATTCGAACCAGAAACAAATGATCCTTTGATTTGTTCATAGAACAAAGCATCATCCACTATCCGAATTATATCCGGCATCATTGAATCAATAGATACAAGACCACGTCTTACGAATTCTGCTAATGCCATACATGAACCATGCCAATAATGATCTTCAGAATTGGAATGACAATATTGTAGGATATGTTGAACAATTTGTTCGGAATATTCGGCAGGCAATCGACTACTAATCGTAGACAGATATTTGGCCGATGAGAATCGAACCGGAGTGGATTTATAAACTAAATTTTGGAGCATTAATTGAATGAGATTCTCGAAATAATCGGGTATATCCTGATCAAAATCTTCTGTTTCTTCATTAATATTTTCCACATCGATTGATGATTGCTTTGAAGAGTTATGCAATTCTTGTATGATTCTTGTACCACATCGATATCGCCATTTAAATTCAGTGGATGGTTTCAAATGAACCAATATTGAACGACCATAAATTTTGATTGCAAGTTTAACAAATTGTTCATGATCATGATCAATTGAATCGACTATTGTTGCAACGATTTTATCCACATGCGATAGCATTCGATTACGATCCACTGATTTTAGTAACGTAGCCAATATTCTGAGTGCACATAGTTTTGAATAGGTTGAATCCGATGAACGAATAGTCGATAATAGTTTGGTGATAAAATCTGGCAAACGATTATGGCAATCATGACGAGCATAGAATGAGCCAATTAGAAGATGTAAGACTGAAAAAAGTGAATAATTTTCAAAGTTTTTCAATATAATTTTCTCCACTCTCAAAATTGTTTTCTCATCATCCGATTGATTTCGATCGAATCGTGATAGATCAAAAGGAGTTTTGATTGCAGAAGCTAGCCATATGATTAGAACATTAGCGGTAGAGAAATGAACGCTAGGATCATAATGATCGTCAAGATATAGTTCAGTCCATTTGATTACGGGAATAAGCCATTTTACATCGGTAGGCCAATATCGTGCTAATCGTTTTGGATTGATACAAATAGAAAGGGAACGTAAAATATCCATGGTCATATCGAAAATTGTTTCTTTTGGTTGGCTCATTTGTAATGTTTGCAGATATCGTTCCATCAAATATGGAACAATTGGCAATACTGATCGCCATTCTTCTTGAGCATTGTAGAACATTTTTTGAATTTTTTCTTCATGAGCTTCATGTTTTGTTAGCCATTGTCGAATATTATCTTTATTATCTGTATTATTATGATCACCATCATCCACAGAATCGATGGAAATGATTTTTGCATTCTTAAGTAAATCATCGGCAAATTTCAGGATAAATATTAAATCATTTTTTAGATATTGTTTGTCTGAAACAGAGAGAATATTGACATTAAGAATGATTAAGAATGGCCACCATTTAAATGAAGAGATTCATATACCTTTAATTGAGAATAAACTTGGATCTAAAAGATGTGACATTTTTCAATGGGATTTTTTTTTTTGATTGATAAAAAATGACATGTGATTTTTTTTTAGTTAATTGCAACAGATGGTACCGCGGTATTCTACAAAAATCGGCATCGATAATAATAACACAATGTAAGTATATTATCAGATTTCCAGTGCCCAATTTATACGATGATGTTTACGTTCGAAATGGATTTTGTTCGTAAATCACACCAATCATCATCATTTAATTTGGTGATTTGGTGATCATGTGTTAAAATTTTTATGGTTTAAAATGTAAGATGATTTGTAATCATCAAATATGATACAGAATTATTAGTGCCATTAAAGATTCTTTTTTGCTTGTCAACTCAGTCGAATCTGTGTGTGTTTGCAATTCCATTCCAATCAAGAATGATGATGATGACGGAATTAAACAGGTCAGTAATCGATCATCAATTCATATAAAATGTCAATTTGAATAGCATGAATCATCAATTCTCATTCTGTCTAATAATAGTGAATAACTAATTTGCATGAATTAGTATTATCATACTGTTACAAAAATTGAATCAATTAGATAATTATCGGTCAATCATGGGCGTGAATTTATGCGAATAGAAAAAGACATGATATAATAAAAATCCAATGTCACCCATAGAGACCCACGGTGGTTTTTATTTTATCAGTACAAACAAATAATAAATGTTATAGCCACTCTCAATCAAAACCAATCGTGATTATATATATTATCATTATAGTTTGATAAAAATCATATTCATATAAGCTTTTTTTCCCATCGGTTGTCCCTAGTTATCGAGATTAAAGATTAATAATCCCAAAAAAAAAAACAATTATATACATAATTTATAGTTCGAATGTTCAATCTTTTATCGGCAATGATGATGATTTATAATTTAGAGAGTTAGTTTTTGGCCGCTATTTTGAGTTTAATAGTTGAACGTATACTGTTATAATTTTTACCCTCATCATTGTAAAATAAAAATGAGCTAAAAATTTTTTTTTTTGTTTCGATTTTTAGAACAATCCATATACTCGATTTTGTAATATAAATGTGGATGTGTATGTTCCGACTATTTTTGTCATCGCACATTCGATTTGTGTGAGCGAAAATTATAACAAATTTAACAAGAAAAAAAATGCTTAAAGATGTTGAAGCCGATGTACATGTGTCGCTGATTTCACAACCATATACTCATCATCATCATCAGCAGCAATCATCATCGTCATCAGTGTCACAACATTCAATCACAAAATGGTTTTATCGACGATTTAGAAGATTTATTCTTCTACAGACATTATCGTGGCCTAATTTTATTCTTGTTTCTTTGGTACTATTACTCATCATTTTCTTTATATTCAGTCATTTCAATGTGCTAATACAAACATCCAATCCATCATCTGTGTCTTCAGATTCATTGGCTGTGAAAAATGAATACATCCGTTACATCGAAGAGCTGAGTTCACTAGTGGAACATCCATCGTATCGTATGCGAGCTGCTCAAATCAATGAACAATTACGTCGAATTGAATTGAGTTTAAAAGAGAATCGTGAAATATTACAATCGATTCGTAACAGTATTGTCAAATCAAATGCCACATACAACGGTCAATCTAAACTTGTTGATTTTTTTCGAAATAGCCGTATTTCAGTTGAAGATGTTTTTCAGCAAAAACTCATCTGTCCATCAGTCATTAATCGGACACTATTCGTTCCAGATATTGATATGCTTCAAGTTTATGATCAAATTCCATTCGATAATGTTGATGGCGGTGTTTGGAAACAAGGATGGCCATTAGAGATCAAACAAATAGATTTTCAAAAGCCAAAACCAAAATTAAAAGTGTTCATTGTACCGCATAGTCACAATGATCCTGGTTGGATCAAAACATTTGATGTTTATTTTTCAAAACAAACTCAGCACATTTTGACAAATGCCGTCGAATTTATGACACAGCATCCAGATATGCGATTCATATGGGCCGAAACAAGTTATCTATCTGCATGGTGGGAAACGACAAACGATGCCCATCGAGAGATGTTACGTAAATTGATAATCGAAAAACGTTTTGAAGTGGTCACCGGTGGATGGGTTATGAACGATGAAGCCAACACTCACTTCTGGTCCATCTTACAGCAAATGGTTGAAGGTCATGAATGGCTTGAAGATAATATCGACAGTGAACATGTGGAATGGCGGCCCAAACATGGCTGGGCTATTGATCCGTTTGGAATGTCACCAACGATGGCTTACCTTCTGAAATTGATGGGATTTCGAGCAATGGTTATACAACGAGTTCACTATTCGATCAAAAAACACCTTGCAAGTAATCATCAGCTTGAATTTCGCTGGCGTCAGCATTGGGAACAAACCGTCAATACAGACATAGTTTGCCATATTGAACCATTCTATTCGTATGACATTCCACATACTTGTGGTCCGGATCCAAAAGTCTGTTGTCAATTTGATTTCAAACGACTTGCAAAGCCAAAGTGTCCTTGGAAAATTAATCCTCAAATTATAACTGATGCCAATGTTGAAGAAAGGTAAATTATTTTTGCCAAATAATATTGATCATTTTAATATATCTTCAATCAACTTTTTTTTAGAGCTAAGACACTGTTAGATCAATATAGAAAGAAATCGTTATTGTATGGAACAAATTCCCTGTTAGTACCACTTGGCGATGATTTTCGTTATGATGACATTAAAGAATGGCGAAATCAATACGATAATTATCGAAGTATAATGCATTTTCTTAATACACGATCAGAATTCAATGTTGAGGTTTGTTACAAAATGTATGGAAAGTACTTGAATCATTCTGATCATTTGTTTTAAACAGATAAAATTTGCGACATTAAGCGAATATTTCGATTCAATTTTGACGACCACTACGAATAATGAACAAATATCTTCATCGGAACAGTTTCCAACATTGGTTGGCGATTTTTTTACATATGCCGATCGTGATGATCATTACTGGAGTGGTTATTATACTTCAAAACCATTTTACAAACGTTTCGAACGCATACTTGCTAGTCATTCAAGAGCTATCGAAATTCTTTTTTCCATTGGCAACATTCTCAATAACAATGTTACCGCTGGTAATGATCCATTCAAGCATTTGACATATGAATTGAAATTTGCCAGACAAAATCTAGCATTATTCCAACATCATGATGGTATTACTGGTACTGCCAAAGATACGGTTGTTGTTGATTATGCAAACAGAATGTTGCGATCATTTGAAAACTTACAAAAGATAGCTACATCATCTTTATCGGCGATAACAAATCATCCGATTCCAGAAATGGAATTCATGCACATTTTCGCCAACATTCAGACTCCTATTCGAAGGCATTCATTTTTAGTGAATCCAGATATACGAAAGTAATGATAAATTATCATTTGAATCTTTCTAATTGTCTTTATTGATTCATAGGTATTTCATCTTATACAATAGTCTTGGTTGGACACTTGATACGCAAATATTCTGTTTTGAAATCTACTGGACCATCGACAATGATAGCATGCCCGATTGGTGTTTGACAGCAACTGGCGTTGCTGATAATGTTTCAGTCAAAATTATACAAATCAATCATCTATGGCAAGATATGCATCCGTCAAACGAACCATTAGAAAAACGTCGTGAAATTTGTTTTCAACCCAAACTTGCACCTATTTCTCTTCAACAATATTGTATTGGAAATTGCCGATGTTCACCGGTTGATAGTCGCAGCTATCGACATCATGAAAAACATGAAAGTTTTGTCACATTATATAATTCTCACCGAGATTCGATGGTGGCAAAAAAACCATTTGATTATCACATTTTGTCACTCGTATCATCGGCTCCTAATACGACCATCGAAAATGAACGTATTCGTTTGACTTTTGATTCAACGTCCATGCACGGTCTATTGAAATCTTGGAGTTATTATAATTTTCAGACAAAAACATGGAATTCGATCGATATACAAATGGAGATAATGACTTTCGGTACCAGATCTGGTGGAAAAAATGTTCAAAAATCTGGTGCTTACATATTCTTGCCCGATGATCAGAATCCCGTTCCGTTCGAATGGACGGGCAAGCCAAAGATTCGAGTTACGATAGGAAACCTTGAATCTCGTTATGAATGGATGGTTGATGAACCATATCCGGTACATATTCGATTCAGTTTATACCGTGGACGACCAACAGTTGAAATGCAGACCGAATTCCATTTGCAAGGCAAACAAGGAGCCAATCGTGAATTATTGATTCGATTTAAAATACCTGGAATTGATAATGGTGATCGATTTTATACCGATTTGAATGGATTACAGATGATTGCTCGTAAACGTTATGCAAAAATACCTTTACAGGGTAATGTTTATCCGCTTACAACGATAGCTTGGATTGAAGATGATAAACATCGATTTACTGTAATTAGTGGCCAACCATTGGGTGTAACTAGTCTAAGTACTACAACAATGGAAATATTCATGGATCGTCGTTTGATGCAAGATGATTTCCGTGGTTTAAATCAAGGCGTTCTGGACAATCGTCAAACTCGAGAAATATTCAGATTAATGTTAGAGCCAAGACTATCAGCATCAATTATGACAAATTCGAGTCCATCATTGACAAGTGGGATGATGTTTGAATCACAAACATTATTGAATCCGATAATCGGTTTGAGTACCAAACAACTTGACGATGATCGGCCACTTATTAGCGAGAATTCTTTCTCAAAACTAAAATTATTACAATCTCCATTACCATGTGATTTACATTTGTTAAATTTACGACGATCAATCTCTCGTTATCGTCAATTTAGCCTTTGGTTACACCGAACAGCTTTGACTTGTGATTCTAAATGCCTTCAAACGTCTAACTCGTCAGATATGATAATCGATTTAACGAAATATTTATCCAAAGAGATTGTTGGACGTTTAGAGCCAAAAATTGAGCTAATGAATGGAATGTCTTGGTTTCATCATCCAAAGAATCTAACCTGGCATCCGTCGAATTTAACACTTAATATTGGGCCGATGCATTTATCATCTTATCGATTATATCTATTATCGTGATGAACATCATCTCTACAAGAAGTGGTCAACTTTTCGAAGATGATGATGGTGATGATTTTTCGAACCTAGTCTTTGGTGATTTACTACACACTGTTTTACATACACTGTTTCTGCTGATTCCCTTTTCTCTTTCTCTCTAACACACACATTAGTTTTTTTTGCCTGTTTTTTTTTTTATCAAATTAAAAAATTCTATTTTATTGTTTCTTTGGATTGTGAATCATCAGATGTAATTTTATTGCTCATTTCGCTGGCAGTGATTTTTTCATCCGACAAAATTTCTTTTCCTGAATCCGTTAATGATCGTTGTTTGGTTGCTGTTGTTGTTGTTGTTGTTTTGTTGTCCGACGATTTTGTCGATTTCGCGAACGACAATTGTGACGGTGATGATGATGATGGTTATGGAAATGGTGTTTGCTTCTACTAGAATTGGTGTTGTTATTTTTTTCAACATCAGACAAATCATTATTTTTATGGTGATGACAATGTTTGATTGGTTTATGTTTTTGTTGTTCACCACCAAAACCAATAGTCAGATCGTTCAATTCGAAAATAACCATAATGATTATGATGAAAGAGATGAATAAACCGAAATAATATGGTATTAAACGTACAACACTATCACCTGAAAATTTGGGCGCCAACAACCATCGGCCAAACAATATGCTCGAAATTAGACTTATGAATATGAACAATTTATAGATAAGACCATCGAATCTAAACAAATAGATCATACCGACAGCCATTACACTGCCCACTAAAAACAGAAATGTTGATGTTGGTACGGTCGATTTTTTGTCCATACGATATAGTTCCAAAAAATCATCGGCATACAATTCAAATGAATTGAATAGAATGAAAAATGCCGATATATAAAGTAGATAACGAAATAGATCAATATAATATAAACGATAACCAACATGTGGTGAGTATGTTGCTTCATCATCACTTAAAATCAAAGAGGATGATGATGTTGTATTATGGCGACATTGGCCATGCTGATGATGATGATGATGATGATGATGGCGATGACCATGACGATGATGATTACAATGACGGCGACTCATTTTCTGACCAACAACAACATTAATAGGCAAAACAAATTATATACTCATGAAGTGAAATAATTTAATTTAATTTATATTAAAATCAATTAATTAATTAATTTATCTCTTTATGTCGCTTAAATTAATTTTGAGCGTAAAAGCGAAGTAATGCTAATCTGGACAGCGTTAAGCGGGGTTTTACCGTATGATGAAATAGTTAATTCATATAATTTGTGTGTGAAAATTATAACACCACACATCCGAACAGCATTGGATATATTTTTCCTTTACATAAACTCTCTGCAAACTTATTCTACCATTTCATTACTACACAGGACACGGTTTTAAAATTTTTCTTATCTCTTAAATTATGTATTTTATTTATTCCTGGTACAAAAAGTCTCCTGAGACCTCGTACTTTTTCTGCAAAATAAATTATTATTATTTGTGGTGGAGAAACATGTAACTATTCAGTTACTTCGAAAACGTGGTCGTCCTAGAAAGGAGTCGTGATTTTCATCTATGTTTTTTTTCTCCTCGTGTTGAAGAATTCACTATATATTATTATTATTAGATATATTTTTTGTATCAAATTGAATCTCAATATCATCTTTAAACATTTTTTTTTTACAAAAAAAACATGCCATCATACAGAGGGCGACGACAGCGAACACTTCGTGCTGAAGAAACGGAAGAAGCAAGAAATCAAAAGCTCGAGGCAGATAGACAAAATACTACAGTCCAAGATAATCGTCGCCAGAATATACCATAACAAAAACATTATATTGGCTTGATGAACAAAGTGTGCAGCAAATGTAAGGCTTTGCATTTCGCTAAAGAACGTGTTGAAAATGGAACATATAATTCATGTTGTGACAAAGCAACAATAAGTTTGACCATCTTTCATAATTTGTTCCAGGACTATCCGAGCGAGAACTGCTGATTGGTCAACATCAAAAAAGCCGGAATTTCTTGGCAAATATACGAAACTTTAAAAGTGGTTTAGCGATGGCATCGACCATTGCCAAAATGGATACCCCTCGAGGCGGTGGTTGATACTGTTTCCGAATTCATAGCATAACTCAATGTGCGACGGATTTCATCCGTTTAATCAAAAGGATAAAGGAGGATGGTTGCCCGGTTCTGGTGGTTGCCGACCGATTTTCGGCAATAAATTCGAAAGAATTTAAACTTTATCTTGGAGGCGAGAATATTGAAATTTTATTTACACCTGTTGATCACCCACAGTCCAACGGGATGGTAGAGCGGGTAAATCAAACGTTAATTGGAAAATTACGTTGTATGATGTGTGAGTATCCCGACAAGGCGTGGACAACAGTAGCATTACATGCGATAGAAGCGTACAATGCCACGATTCACACGGTGACAAAATTCCCACCAGAATATATCATGTTTGGTCGGGACAGCAACCAGAGTTATGCTAATCATACCCTAGATCAAAATAGACGAATAGCAAAAACCAATAGTGATCGCAATCATGAACAAAACAAATTAAATTATGACAGAAGGATACAGAGAAATAATTTTGATAAGGGTGAGTGGGTGTTGGTTTGCAGAAAAAATCGTCTGAACCGACATAAGTTAGCCCCAATCTTCGAAGGGCCATATATGATAGTTGACAAGCTGTCAGAGCGATCATTTAAAGTTGACTTCGGCGGCAAAGTAGAAGTCGTACATGTATCCAAAATCAAAAAGAGCGAAAATTCAAATACAACACAACAAGATGAATAATACAAAACGACACAAACACGAACACCAGAAATGATACAACACAACCAAACAACAAAATACATACACCAACACAAAAAAAAAAAATAATACACCTACACTTACACAACAAAATGAACATACATCAACACAGAAAAATCCACCTACATCAAAACGACCAATACACATGTTCTGGTTATGCAATTTGCCGTGAACAAATATTGTTCAGTTTGGACCGGAAATGGACATCAAGAAAACCCAACCGAAAAGAAAAACATGAATCTCCTGGAATTGCCCCTATATCACTTTTTAAGGTGGGGGATGTAGGAAAATATACCCCACAACAACAGCACCATTGTGGATGAATCATCTATGAGTCGAAATGAGCTGGATTTGATTCACCGGCACTGATGGCAAGCCAGATTAACGATATATAAGTCGAAGCGATGAGAGAGATCGAACTAATCAATATTTTTTTTTTTTAATTTTCATTTTTGTTAAAAATTTTGCTGGTAAATGAATTTGTTTCAAAAACCAAACTTGAAAAATTAAAATGTGATTACGACGGGCCAATGGTCAACAATTTATACCAAGTATTCTATTTTTACATATATTATGGTGTAGGCGGGCTGATTCCAGCTAAGAAAATCCACGAGGAAATCGGACTCGAATTACACAGCGGAAATATTTTTATCATCGAAATCTCCGCCGTCCAAATGTGTGTTCATAAATAACAATCATAAATCATACTTGTTAGTTCGAATAAAGAAAAAAAATGGCACTCAACAGTGATGTGAGCGTTGCCGTTAGAATTCGACGTTAGTACTCAAACATCACAAATAAATTATCCGCCGATTTTTTCACATGGACAGTTGTACGTGGCACTGTCCAGAGCAAGAAGCCGTAATGGAATAAAAATAAAATCGGAAAATAACTTAATGCGGAATATTGTATACCAGGAAGTATCATTGAATCATCATTTTTTATAATTTTTTGTAAGATTTTGTAAAATAAAATAAATTAAATCAATTAAACCAGCCCTGCTGGCCAGCCAGGGCTGGTTTTGAAATAAAATCGAATGAATGAATCGAATAAATAATGGATAGCCCACGTGATGATATATAAATTTGATCTGATGATGATGATGATGATGGTTGATGGATGAATTTCGTTGATTGATATCACAGGAATCGATTGATGAAATGATAAAGCGTTTGTCATCTGTTTTTTTTCGTATATTCGGTCAGCATCGCAGACAGAGTATCCGGTTACGACGATTCTGTGCAAACAACCAGCCATGACAACGTTGAAAACGATTGAAAACATTTGAGCCAGATTCGAACCTTCGCATTGCTTCCAATATTTGTTCTGGTGTTATGGCGCCAAAAATATTTGCTTATTCGCGGGTGAGTTGATGATTGGACATTTTTGATTGATTTGATATTAGCTGCCGTGTCATTTGTCGATGTAGAGGCCGTTTGAAAAGCCATCACTTTTTCCGATGTTCGACGTAAGATGTCTACCATAAATTGCTGGTTGGAATTCGACCTTTGCCAACCATTCGCATTGTTATTGGAGGTTGTATGACCAGAATTAATCTGATTCATCATCGGATCACATTTGAAAACTTTAGCGGCAGAATCGGTTCCTATCGATACTGATTCTCGTCGAAATCGTTTCGTAGACATTGCTTGAGATTCGATTGTTGTAGGATAAAGTGGTCGACCTGCATCGATACCTGGCCTTGAAACGTGGCGGTTTTGATCATTGCGAACTATCAAAGCCAATTCGACTAGAATGGCAACAGTTTCGTGAGCGAAATATTGTACAACTTCCCATCCAAGTGAATTGGGCTTCAATTCCAGACGATCTATCTCGTCGAACGAACCAAGTATCCAGTCCTGGAATTTCTGGAACATTGAAGTTGTTATGATTTGTGAACCAGTGGAAGAGCCAAAAAATGTTACTGATCGACAGGATTGGTAATAGAGGTATTCTTTGACTGACATTTGTTCGGTAAATTTATTAAGTCGACGATTACGAGCCATTGTGTAATCATCAATCAGATCAATGGCAACATCAGGATGATGATACAGTAATCTTTCCATTTCGCAACGATTTTGTGGCGTTTGAATAACAGATCGAAGAATTTCCTGACAAGATTTTAGCCGTTTAGTAGATGCATTCGGTTGATTGTTTATCAAGGTTGATGATGATGTTTCAAAAGAACTCGATGATTTACTCTCACCATCACAGACATTGGCCTGTCCATTGGGCAAGCGAGGCCATTCGTCGGAATCATAGGCTTGTGATTCATTTTTAATATCATTATACAAGCATTCTAATTGTGACTTGGATATTTTCGATTGTTTTTGAGCAGATTTTTCCTTACTATCCACTAACGAAGATGATAATACTTTTAATTTCATATCTTTGAACTTTAGATATCGAATCAATTTGGCCAAACGGTGTCGATCGTGTTTGAGAAGAAAAATGAAATCTTCAACACTGATATGCGTTCGTGGTGGTGGGGTGGACAATGATTCTGAATGGCTCATTTGAGCTACATGTTGAGCTTCCAATAATAGCATGGTCATTTGATGGCGAACAATCGATTGGATCATACTAGCCGATTCGATTAATGGCTGACGAACATCACCGAAAGCGTGCATCATTCGACGAATCTCTTCCAGGTAGGAGGTTATTTTATTACCATTGTTCGATAATGATGATGATCGAGTTGGCCACGTAGACTTGGATGTTCGAAGATTTTGTTGGCATTTTGAATTAAATTGATCAGATGTTGTATCTGAAAATGAATTTAATACAAAACGTTTGGCAACGGTACGTTTCACGTTTTGTTTGCTGCTTGATGCAAATGCTTGATCGGAATTCGTTCGAATTGATGTGTTGGCCGACGATTCTTTTGCGTTCGAAGTGATATTTTTAGCCATGAAAAATTCTTGATTCAATTTCTTATCTACGTTATTGATAGATTTTGGTTTAGTAGAATGAAAACAATCTTCCGACCTCTACCAGTTGTTTTACACGACACTGAAACTAGATTTCAAAGCATTTGTCTGGAATACTTAAGCGGCCAGTTTACAATTTATTCGATTAATTAATCAATATCGATGATGGTGGTAGAATTGAATAATTTGGGGACAAATAAAAAGGCCCAATAAAAATTTTGAGTAAGCGCGAACAATGATACAAATGAAAACAATCGGCTCAAAACACGATAGTCAAAAAAAAAGAATGAAAATAAATAAAAAGAAAATGTCTTCAGTTGGACAGACCGACTGAAAGAAAACATGTACTGCTATATTCATATAGAACGTATATCAATCAAGCATACGAGCCGATTCGATTGACCATATGATCGTTAAACAATTGTCAACATGTTCCATCAATTGATTAACCATCTTGGATCGAATTTTCTTCTTAAATGTTCATGCACTCAGGTATCACGGCGATCAGTGGTCATCCTACGACGAAAAGTTCGTCTTCCTAGTCAACCATCATTAATCAGTCCGCTGATTGTTGGACCACTGTTGAAAGAACGACCACATTATCGTGAACCGAGACCGGTTGCGGATTTCATCTATGAAGAAGTTGAAAATAGTGAAAAATTGGAAGAAACAAAATTGAAGCTCATATTGTTGAAAACAGTCGATGAACTTGGTGTACCTGGTGAAATAGTTGAAGTTGAACGTGATTTTGGCCGTTTTTCATTGCTCAGTTCAAATAGTGCTGTTTATGCTTCACCGTACAATCTGAAAAAATTTCGACAACTAATCGAAGCTGGTTCCAAAGATCGTGTTGGACCTTCATCAGCATTTGTTGGACCAACATTGAAAAAATTGGCCAATGACGTCATAATCGTTGTAATGAACGATGAACATTCGTGGACATTGAAACCTTGTCATGTGAGAATCGCATTACGAGCTGCAGGTTATTTGGTTCCAGAAGAATGTATTCGATTACCCGATACTCCGATCGATGGACCAGACATTGAAGGCAAACAGGGTAAAGATTTTGCCGTTACTGTTACAATCAACAATCGTGAAACGGTCAACGTACGATGTTTGCTTCATCACAAAGGTCAAACATTGCGATTGAATTGGAATCGGAAACCACGTCACATTCTATTGGATGAACAGAAAAAGCTATTAGAATCAATGCCATGCAAAGATGCGCTAGAAGAGGATGAATATAATTTAGTAGATGAATCATAATATTTGTTTGTTTATTTTTAATTATTATAATAATTGAATTAATAAAAAAATAAAATTTTCTCATTATTTATCATGGAATGATGAGAGTGTTGAGAGAAAGAATGAATGACCAGATTTATTTGACAACCAGGATCATCTTTGAACGATGGATTTGCTTATGGATTGTGAATAAAGTTGAAGATCGTAGAACTGAATGCTATAATAATAGCATTGATGATTAAAATTGACGATCCATTTAAATTTAGAGAATGGTTTGCACCATCCTCCCATTCTCGTTCACCATAACGATCAAACGATGTGGTGCCCGTTCTACTGGAATCATCATTACGTTGTCGTTGTTGTCGATGACTTTGACGTTGGCTACAACGTGCACGGCATTCGATTTCGTTTTGGGGACAAATATCACAAAACTGTCAAATATAATATTTTAGATTTAGTTTCATTTATTTGAATAGAGCAGATAGATATAGAAAGAAAAGATAGATTTTATAAAAGCTATATATTTAGAAAGTAAATTCCAGAACAGTTGAAAAGAAACAGAAATAATTCATGCAGAGACAGTTAAGGAGCAGAAGCAGCAGTGGTGGTGGCTTCAGAAAATTCATTAGAAACAAGAGTGGGCAAAGGAGTGGTCGTTGAAAAAGAGGAAACAGAATTGTCGGCAGCCAATTCATTTACCGTCACTAAGTTTGGCTCATAGAATATCCGAGACAATTTGGAACGATCATAATAATCATAGATAGTGACCGGAACTGGTTTGTTGTTTGCAACATGATGAGTTCGATGTGCTGGTACAGTGATGCATAATTCATCACGTGTTACCTAATGTAAGGGAGGATTGAAAATGAATAATTAACAGAATAATCGAATAACTAGCCTTACCCTATCGAGATATACGATTACAGTGCCATCATTGTTGGCCGTATCGACACGTTTCACTTCTTTAGCTCGAGTAGCTGCCGGCAATGCATCGACATCTGCATTATAACCGGATGGTAATTCAACCTCCATGACGGCCATGTTGGTCGAGTTACCTTCTTTATAGCTATATGGTGATCAAGGTGTTTAATTACAAGTTCAAATAGAATAATCAAACATGTAAACTTACTATGTACAAATGCTGAGTTGGAGATAATTTTCTGTGGATGTTTTATCTTTTTGTGGATTGAGAAAAAAAGCTGGTTTTTCAGCCGAAACAGCTAGATTGTATTGATAAGAAACTTGAATAATAGCCGTACCAAAACCGGACGCTTCCAATTGAACCCAATCAGTCTTTTCAGGATCCAATTGAATTTGTTGCAATACAAGTGCATTGTCCGTATTGAAATACAATGCTTGCTGTGGTCCGGGATTGGTGCTTAGATCTCCATCTTTGACGTTTCCATGTTTGATATTCACTGCCATCTTAACGGTGGCCGTTGAGATCCGTTCTGCTATGGCGCCCAATGCTTGTAACCCGATAACAGTGTCCTGAGTGCTGGAGAAACCACCGTTTGAATTCTGTTTGGAAATTAACCAACGAACAGCCGGAATGGCTTGATCAATTTCGGATCGTAAAGCCATTGTGAGGATGGCATATGAAGTGGCTTCAATGTCAACGGCATTCGGATAGAGCAGATAATCTGATGCAACAACTTTCAAACGATCACTTGTTTTGTTTTGTTCTTGATCCGGTCGTATAGACCAATGCATCAGTCCATCCTGATCTCGTTTGGTCATGGCCATCAATTTTTTGTATGCCAAATCTTTATGTTGTGAATCGGCCAAATGTAATGCATAACTACCGATGGCAACTTCATACGGACTAGTCGAACTGGACACACGTGAATAAAGGAAATCTGTTGCACGTTGTAAAGTTGATTCATGGCGAACGCGAATTGGATCCGATTTTGTTTCGTGAAGAATAGCAATCAACACAAAAGCTGTTAGTGCACCGGCATTATCATTAGTTTCGGTTTCGTCACTTCCATCAACTGCTTTAGGTTTAATGGCAGAACCACCTTGTAGTGCTTTATTATGAACTTCACCATATTCAGCGAAACTTCCGTCTTTTCGCTGTCGAGTCAATAGCCATTCAATTGATTTGGTGATAACAGCATTGTCAACATCAATGTGCGGTCGTGCCTGTATGAATGTTTTGGCCACAAATGCTGTCAACCAAGTTGAACCGGCTTTATCCGATTGTCCGAAAGCCGAGAACGAACCATCATCACGTCGATACGTCAATTCACGTTGATAGCCTGTTTCAATGTGATTCTTGGTTTTGGAACGTATTGGATCTGTCATGCGATTGACACGTTCTAAGTAATTGGTGACAACAATGTTGGGCACCAAATTGATCATGTTCTGTTCACCACATCCATATGGCATGCGAAGTAGATCATCCAAGTGATTAACAGTTGGACCTAATATATCGCTGATACCAGAAACCATGACGCGAACTGAACCAGGTACGGCATTCGGTGGTATTTCCACCGAAATGTTTCGTTTGATCAATGTTCGATCTTGTTGGTTCACAGCATTGATGAACATGGCCTTGTTAAAGTATTGGGTTTGACCTTCTGGTTTGACAAGCAATTTCTGCACGACAGCATCACCGGCCATATCAGAACTGGCTCGAATACGAATGTTGATAAAACCAAGTTTTTTCGGTGTGATCAAAAAAGTAACTGAAACACCATCAAATGGAGCAATCGTAACCGATTTCCGTTTCTCAAGAATATTTTGTTCACCAGCAAATTCAATTTCGTTTGCAGCGTTAGTAAATTCAAATTCGTCAGCTGGATTTTCCATCACAACTTCAGCTTTGACCGGTTTGTTTTGATAATTAAAGACAATTGCTTGGATTGAAACCGATTCACCTCGTATGATCGAATAGGGCAACGAAAGTTTTATGAAAAATGGACGAAAAACATTAATCTATAATTTGATGAGAAATTCAACTTATCAGATTCAAGTGAATAAAATTATCAAATGATCAAACCTTTAGTGTATCTGGCGCAATGCCCAAACCGGTAATGGAATCAACTGCAAACGCTGACACATACCAAGAGGTTATTGTATCGGGAATAGAATCAGAATATCTTGCTACACCATCATTGCTAAGAAAATAAAACAAAACAAATTAGGTTCAAGTTCATCGATCAAAAGCAAAACATTAGCAACAAGCAAAAAGAGAAAGAAAAACAATTAATTCAAAATGAATACCCGGTGGTAACATTAGCCCAGATCCAAGTTTCCGGGAAAGTTTTTCGTAAAACGATTCGTGGTTCGAATTTCGGGGTTATTTTGAAATCAGGTGGCTGCAATCGATCTTCAAGTATTGTATCGTCCAATTTAATTGCAGCTAATGGCTTTGGATCTATGCAAAAAATATAGTCATTTTCAATGATCCAAACCGATAATTTGCAATCCTTACCTGGACGTCTTTGATTATTGACAATAACACCACCATCAGCAGTGAAAAAGATTCGTTTTCCTAATCCTGTGCGAAAATTTGGGCATTGACAAACAAACACAAATACACAACATGACAACAACAAGGGACAATAAATTGAGGCAACAAAGAGAATTGAAAGAGCGAAAAGCAAAGAATGATGGATAAAAAGAGAAACCTACTCAGAGGTTAAATTAGACCAGATCCATGTTTCAGGAAATTTTTTCCTTAATTTGGTCACAGATTTTGATTTCCGAGATGGATTAGTAGAACTTTTTTTAAACACACGATCGGCCATAATCAATTCTTCAGATTCTCCCATATTATTGGAACTTTCGAAATTTGCCGAACCTAATCTTGTAAAACTAGCGGATGCTGCCATTGGCATTGCGAAATATACTACAAGGAAATTTTGGAGGCAAAAAAGGAAATTTTTCATGCAATGATAATAGCATTGGAACTTACTTTTGTGTTCGTAACGATGAACTAGACTATTGGTCAATATGACCACACCAGAATCAGCGAATATTTCTGCAGCAGTTGTAGCGCCCGACCATAGCCAATATCTAGCCCATGGATAATAGCCACCATTGGATTGTCTACTACCCGAATCATATGATTCTAATTCATTGAGGACGTCTTGTTGTGTTATGTCGAAACCAGATTTGAGTAATAGAACACTTTGATCGACACCTAATAATCCAACGTAGGCGGATGGCTTTGTTCGCACCTGTATGTCAACCATACCACCGGGTTTTGTTTGATTTACATTCGATGAAATCGATACCGGTGTTTTGAATGTGCCATCCACATTAAAACTGAGAGAATCGGCTACTATTTCCTTGTTTTCATCACGAATATAATAGACTAGAAGACGAGCTCTTGGTGTCATACGATGATTTATTGTAATGACAATCTGTTCGGTTGTTCGTCTACGAATTGATCGAACGTTTCGAGCCAATACCAGGTCACCTTTGGCCATAACTTCGTAAACAAGATTATCGAATGGTTCGGTTGCATTCACGATGAATGTAATTTCGTCGCCAACACGAACTGGTTTCTGGTTGAAAATACTACTATCCTCTTGATCCTGTTGTTTTTGAATCACCTGGATAAAATTCATCGATGGTGATTGTGCCATATTGATCGATTCAAGGAAATAGGTTTGGCCACGAAATTCGGCACGCAATCCAATAACACCAATCTTTTCCGTATCTTTGGGTGGATATAGATCAATTTGAGTGATACCATTGTATGGTACTTTTTCTATGGTATTATTCCAATGATTTTCGTTATATGAATAACCATAACGAAGAATAACAGGTGGACCATCGTTATCGACTGGTGTGTCATCTTGATAGGCAACTTTAAGAAAAGCGGTATATTTCAATCCAGGTTTGAATGTTTTAGATGTTTTGATCATTTCAACTTTGACCTCTTTATGATAGATTTTCATCACCGATGATTTATTATATTTTCGTCCGGTCAACGTCTCTTCGACCAGTGCAAAGAATTCGATTTCACGTTCAAAGAAGTCAGATTTAAGATTTAAATCACGGACTATATTGACTGGAATGTCTACTTTGCCATCGGCTTCAAGACGTAATTTTGTTTGATATTGTTCCAACGGACGAAATGATATAGCTGCATGGCGAATTCGTGGTTGTACAGTGAGGGTGGCATCACCACGAACTGGCTTTCCATACGTATATGTGGCCTTCACAGTGGCCACAACATCCGAACGATTGTAGGTGGCATACGGTGGTAGCAATACATCCACTGAAAATGTGGGTAGCACATATTCAGCAACGGAAAACTTTTTCTCTGATTTCTGTCCACCGGCAACTTCGACAATAATGGTCCAATCGCCCAATGGTGGCTGATCGGAAAGAGCAAATTGTTCGGAAACAACGCCACGATGAGTAAATATACGTTTCCATTGTTTGATAAGATTATCTTTTGGATCCTGTATCAAATACAATGTTATATTGCATGTTATTTTTTATTCTAAACCACTTACTTTAATAAAAATATCCAAACTACCGGCCAGATTCGGTATCAATGATGGATTTACAATAATGGCGCGAAATCGAACAGTTTGTCCAGGTTTATAGACGGCTTTATCCGTCTGAACAAATATCGAATATGATTTTGAATCAAATTCTAAATCAGTTTCATTAGCGAATTCGTATCGTGGTTCACCATCGGTTCGACCTTTGATGATTAATTTATAGTTTCCTTTGGCCCATTCACCAATCTCTAAATTAAGAATTCGTGATTCATATGGTCGAACAATGACTGTAGTATCGATTCGATTGAAATTCGATTGAGTGGATGGGCCACTGATGCTCACATCGAATGATGCTGATTGTGTTGTATTTTCTAGCTGAATACTGAGATGATAATCTGAATTTGGACGTAATTTCGATGGAGCAACCACCGTATAAACCGGATCTGATGCATATGGCTTCAATATGGATAGAAAAATTAAAATAACAAAAATAAAATGGGCCCACATTTTGGACCAATTGGATTTTTGTTGTTGTTGTTGTTCGATGAATTCAATGAATGAGACAATTTAAGTGATGATGAAAAAAAAATGTTGAACGAATTTATATGGAACACTGGATCTTCGATTATTATTTCGAATATCCGTTGCAACCATTGAATGAATGAATGATGAATCAATGATCAATAACAATTAGTCATTACTATGATGGCACAAATATATGATTGTTTATCATCAGAACAAAAAAAAAAATAATCATCAACAAATGAATGATGAACTATTATTGGAAATCTAATCTTGAAGAAATTTGATGATGAGTTGGATGAGTTTTATTCTCTATTTGTATAATTGGCAATATATTTATCAATCAAGCCATTTGTAGATTTTTAATCATCATCATCATCATTTTTTATATTTTTAACACATATGCAAACATGTGAAACTATTATATGTGGGCAAAACCAATATATTGTCTTGTTTTCATTATGCGCTTGAATGAATTTAACTTTTTTTTCTGTTTGATGAAAATAGTCAATATAGAAAATATGATGCTGTTTGTCGAAAAGGAATCAATCAATCAATCAATCAATTTATATGCTTATTACTATTATTATTGTCAACATGGCAAGGTCGTTACCATAACCCAGAAAACAAAAAAAAATCGTTATGATATGAATTTTATACGATGATGGATAGTTCTTGATGGATATAAAAGAATAAAAATCCAAAAAATTTTTTTTTGGTCTGTTTGCTTGTTGTTGTTGTTGTTGTATTATTGAATGAATTTAGTAGGCGTCAATATGGCTGCTGCCTAATTCATTTTTTTTCTATTTTTTTCAGTGAATCTTTCTCTCACTTTGAATGTTTGTTTGACGAATCAATCATTTATAATGATGATATGTGGATGGACTTATATGGAAATTGAATTGTCATTAAGCCACTGTTTGAATTTTTTTTTTAATGAATATACTTGAAAACTAGCCCGATTGAAGGATCACTAATTGATGGTGAACGTTATAAATTCGACGAGAGAGCGAGTTACGGTTTTTTTTGTTGCTTACATCTGAATCATTGAATCAATTCTTGTCGATTTGATGAATAAAAAAAATGTTTTGAAGCTGATGGTGAAAACATTTATTTACATGTCATGCATAACATAGCAAAGACACGAATTGTGATGATGTAGTAATAAAACACAATGATGATGATGATGATTGTGCGACCAACAAATAAATATATGACAATGAGTAACAAACAACAGGTGTTTTTTCTTCTCTGTTGTCGTTTTTTGTTTCTTATGTTAAGATGTAAGATTCATCAACATTAATCACACCATGGTGATGATGATGATGATGATGATGAACACAATTATATATTTAGAAGATTTGAAGTGCCAAGGTGAAAAAAAGGATTGACACACAAAAAAAAATTCGAATCCTGTGTCTAAATGAACATAACAATGTCATATGAGGGTAACATTAGAATGTCGATTTGGTTTTTTTTTTTTTAAATTGACGACGACCACCACCATCATCACCACCACTTAAATCCAAATTGAGTTGATTTGCAAAACGACAAAAAAAAATTATAATAATTCTCTAAACAACAAACAAAACGGGAATATATCAACGTAACAGACAGGTTTTTTTTCTTATTATTTTCACAAAAAAAAATAAAGAGAAAAGAATGAAGAGAGAGACAGATGAGGTTGAAATAAGATAAAACTAGAAAATGATGATGATGATGAACCAAAACAAGATTCCATCTAGGTTATCTTTCTATTCATTCATTCATTCATTCATTCATTGTTGATTTTGTCCATTTCTCTGGTTTTCCCCGTTACCCTAATGACCTAGTCTCTATATATCGTTGTTCTCGTGTGTGTGTGTGTGTGTGTGTGTGTATGTATGTGAATATTGAATTAAATGATGATTCAATGTAAGGAAACACTTGACCTTTGTGATGGGCAATAAATAAAATGTTCGAATATGATGCGGATAAGAATATGAATGACAATCGATAGCATCGAAAATAAAAACTATGGTTAAATAACGGTGTAGAGTTTTTTTTTCATTTGTAAATCCTATATATTCCAAATATAGTTGAATGATGAACCAACGAATGGTAGTGTTAAAAAACCTACTCGTGTTTTTATTAGTTTCAAATAAACAAAAGTGGGAGTCAGGTGTTTGTCACACACACACACACACACACACAAACACATCATTTTGGATAAAAATGGCCTTGGATATATATTATTCTAGTTTTCATATTATTCAACCTTCATCATTCATTATTATAATCGCCATGGATGTTTGTTTGTCCATGACATGATATTATCGTCATGGTTGAAAAAAATAATAATATATAGTCTATAGATTCAAAAAAAAACAAGATTAATAATCATGTATAACGTTATCTATGAATGTGACCATACTCTAAAACCCTAATTATATCCGGTGTGTTTGGTTGTATATATAGTCGTCATCATCAATAATCAATAATAATAAAGATAAAGATTGTCTATGAAAGGTAATCCGCGGATTTTTTTTTTTTTTTTTTTTGATACAATAAGTGTGCGTATGAGTGTTTGAGTTGGCCACATTATAACATCATCACATACATAAAAGTAGTGGTATACAAATCAATTGGAAAACATATCATTTGAATTATTATAACATATACTAACATCACTAATGAGACGAATTTGTTGTATATGTATTTTTATTGCCACTACCTCAATGTGTGCACGTTTGATCGTTAATTAATAAATGTGGTATGCTGTTGTTGATACAAGTGTGTGTGTGTGTGTTGTGTATAGCAAAATAATGAAATTCGGTATATGTGAGCGGCGCGAGAAGTGCCCTGTTTGATCATCATAATCTCTATATTATAACGAACATCTATATTTTTTTTATTTTGTCTATTAAAATTTATATATTTGTTATTATATAAATTTTATTTAGATTCGGAAATTTAATACAAAGGTAATTTGAATAAAAATATTGATCATAGTGATTAAAACAAATATATATAATATAATGTTAAACAAATAGAATTCGAAAATCGTGTGGCGAAAAGAATCATGGATAGCCAAATGTGTGATAATGATAATAACGATAATGTAACGTCAATTATAAACACATCGACGACAACAACAACAACAACGATTATAAACATGGACCATGATCATGATAATCAGGCAATTGTGGATATTGTTCCAACATCAGCTACAACTGAATTGTCATCGGCTATGATTGAAACTGAATCATTATCGAATGTAGTTGATAATAATGATTACAATAATCAATCAAACAAAAACAAACAAATTGAAACCAATATTCCAGTATTCACTGAACAACAACAGCCAAATGAAGAAACTAAAACTGAACAAACGGTCATTTCAACCGATTCTGTTGTTGCTAGTTGGCCAGAGACCAATCCAATTGAACAACAGCAGCAGCAACAACAACAACAACAACCTACGTCGATTCAAATAGATGCGAACAATGAACCAAACAATCAGACATCTGGATCAATGGACAGTATGGTGCATGAACCAGAAATCAGCATTAATCTTGAGATGAATGCTGCCGGTAATAATCGGATTGAAGATGAAAATAAGCATTCGAATCTATTCGTTCCAACCATTCAACTTGACTCCAGTGATGATAATATAACCGATACAAATGATGTCAATTTAGTTTCGGAATCGAATCAGCAACAATCACAGCAGCAATCAATGTTAAATGTATCCACATCATTCATGTCGTTATCGAGCACTGGATCATCACCGATTGTATCGCCAACATTGCCAAATACTAGCCAGAATAATGGCCAACAAACAATTCTGATGTTGCCGCCTCAGCGAGCTTTTTTAAATATTAAAAAAGATATGCAAAATTTCCCGGTTGTCGATCTAGATCAACGTTCTTCATATTCGGATACAAACAATGGATGTGGTTTGGCAACAACCAGACATGAAAAATCATTAGGTCTATTGACCACTCGTTTCGTTACGCTGTTACAAGAATCAAAGAACGGCGTACTCGATCTAAAATCGGCTGCTGATTTGCTTGAAGTGAGACAAAAACGTAGAATCTACGATATAACCAATGTTTTGGAAGGTATCGGTTTGATTGAAAAGAAATCAAAGAATTCTATCCAATGGCTCGGTGGTGGACCGGGCTGTAATGCACGAGAAGTAACTGAACGTCTTATGACACTCAAAGATGAACTTATCGAATTGGACATTAAAGAAATGGAACTGGATGAACATCTGAGTTGGGCCAAACAATCGATGGTCAACATTATGGACGAGCAATGCTATGCCAACCACAAACGTTATGTATATTGTACACATGATGAATTATGTCGAATGTTTGGCAAAAATTGTAACATGATGATTATACAGGCACCACCAGGTGCCAAGATGCGTGTCGAAACGATGGCCCGATCTGACCAACAAAATGATGATCAGCTCAATGATGATAATAACTTTCAAGCTGATCAGGTATCCAATCTTAGCCAGCTTGGATTGCATGACACTCATGACTATAGTGATTATCAAAAATCTTTACGTCAAATTCAGATGCTCAGAAAACGTGGTTCATGTAATCAAATACATTTAAAATCCGATAATGATCCAGCTCATGTCATGATTGTCAATCAACAATTCGATGCTGACGATGATGAAAATTTCGATAAAAATGGAAAATCAACTGGACAACAGTCGAATCCGATTCCGGCGCTTATAAACGAAAAAAATACGCTCATCTTAAACGACTGATTGAATCACAAAGAATCGAAGCTCAACGTAATCAACCGATTGTGCAAGAAAAAGATCGTTTGATTTTGGAACAAAAAATACTCGAAGAGACTGGCATGACGATGGATGAGGCGAATAAGCCACCTTCCGAAGATGTGTCATCGAATACTGTGACCACAAGCAATAGTAAAACGAAAGTTACCCGAAAATCGTCGAATCGAACAACCAAACAGGAAGCTGCAAAGAATCGAAGAAAAAAAGAAAAAGATTCAGCACCCGTTTTACCATCTCGGCATCTATCACCTAGACGAGCAGCACAACATCATCTTTTCTGTCCAACAGCTAGAACAACATCATCCAGTAGATCCATCCAGGAATCGACATCATCATCGATAACCACTCGAGGTGGCCGAAAAGATCGCAATGAAATGGAACAAGATGAAAACAATGCTCAGCAATCACAACAACAATCGTCAAACATATTGATACAGCCTAGTGAACCTGTTTATGCTACGAAAAGTACACCAAATACAATTAAATCATCATCAACATCATCGATTACTACATCGACATCATACTCGTTGATTCCTGAAATAAAAGATGAAGATACGCCACCACCAACACTATACTACTACTACCACCACCACCACCACAAAAAGATGAAGATTCAACTGAATCTGAAACAAATTCTATGATTGATCAACCAGAAGAGATGACAACAACGATGGCCAACATTCGACAACCATTTTCTCAAGTACAAATTAAAGTTGATATCGATGATTTAGTCATACCGGATTGTCATCTACCATTTTTACGTTTATCACCACCAGCATCGAATCAAGATTATCATTTTAATTTAGCTAACAATGAAGGCATTTTGGATCTGTTCCTTTGCGATTGATAAAAAATTGTTTGTTCACTTCTTATTATTATCATAACACATACATACAGATGATTTTGATATTTTATTTGCTTGATTAGTATGAGTTTTTTTTTATTATTAATAATCTGATTAGTTAATTATCTGGTTATATATGATACATACAAATATAAAACGGATTACATCCCTTTTCTTTTTGTTTTGTTTAATAATGTCTAATTCTAAGCCTGTTCTAATTCAATGAGTACGCCGGAACAATCTTTTGGATGACAAAATATAACCGGTTTACCATGAGCACCGATTTTTGGACGTTCGGATAATAATCGTAAACCACGTTGACGTAAATCATTACAAGCGGCTTCAAGATCATCCACTTCAAAACAAAGATGATGAATACCACCTGTAGGATTTTTATCTAAAAAATTTTCAATTGGACTTTTACAATTGGCTATAGGATCAAGAAGTTCAATTTTGGTATTGCCACAATCAACGAACATGGTGTTGACACCATGATCTGGTTGTGCATGTTTATCCGATGTGATCATCTGAAATTTATCACGATACAATATTGACGATTCTTCGATGGCTTTACTGGCAATGGCTATATGATTGAGGCGTAAAATTTTCCACGACGATCCACTGCTACTATTAGAATTGTTATTATATCTATGAGATTTCATTCAAAATGTTAATAAAATTTCTTTTCATCAAAATATAAATAAATATACCGTTTAAAAATTTGAAGTGGCAATCTTTTTCGGTACATCATCGATATTGGCAAATTTTTCAAATGGATCTTCAACATTTCGATCTTCTTGTTTGTTGTTGTTGTTGTTGTTGCAATTGTCGGACAGTATGAAGTTTTTTCTGTTCTTGTACAAATTTATAATGATGATAGAATCGAACGCCAATGAATCCAGTTGTGATCAATGTAAATGCTATCGATGTATAAACAAAATATCGATGTGCCAAATTCAATGTTTTCTCAAAACGTCTTTTTGGATGTTTAATCATGGCTATAAATTTATTATATACACTCTTGCTCACTTTTTTTTCCTATATGATGAAGTTATCGTTGATCATTAGATTCATATATATAAAAAAAAATTCTTATCTAGCAAAATTAAAATAACGTGATGATGATGATGATATCCTTGATCAAATTTGTTGTTCAGCGTGCATTTTTATATATTATTATCGTCTGCCACAAGCAAGCATAACGTTGTAACGTTGTATGTGAATAGTGTTTAGATTTTCATTTCAAACATGTGTATATGTTGATAGCATCATCATCATATATATATATATATATATATAGCTTGTAACATTATGTAATGCTTCTACTTTTTTTCTCTATAAATGTATTCATCATTTATTACATTGATACAGTATTGCTCAATCATCATCATCGCCATAATATATTTATATTGCGTAGTAGTAGCATTTATATCTATTATAGTCAATATATTGTTGTCGTCGTTGTTGTTGTTGTTGTTGTATTTCTCTTTTATTGTAAACAACGGATTATTTTTATTTGTTTGATCAGAAAAATAACAAAAATTCTACTCAATGTTTTCTTAACACTGAATTGTCCTTTGTGATATGATCATTACCATTATCATCAATTTTTTTTTATTTATTAAAAACCGGTGATTACCGGACATAAATAAATTGCAATCATTATATTTGTTGTGTGTGTGTGTGTGTGTGTGTATGTATGAGAATATCGTTTAAATGTTGAATGGATCAAAGTCGTATATGCATTTTAGTCGGACAAAAAACATTTAGTGATAACCAACGTACTAATGGATCATATGTGCAGATTTGGATAAAAATTGGTATTTGAAATTAAGAATCATTGGGTTAAAATTTAATTTAATCCAATCACTCGATACTCTACTTTTTTTTATTTAATCAATCCAATATTCCAATATATACGTTTGAATGACAAATCAATTTCAAGTGTATCCATCAATCTATAGAATCAATCATCATTGTCATAAGTGGAGAATGATAATCGATTATAAATTGGCCACATGGTTTTTCTCTATCTGATTGTTGATTAATTGATTGGATGACCCACTTCAGTGATCAATTGATCAATGTCATCATCATCAATAAATTGATAGTTTACATAATAATCATTTATCATCAACCTTTTCAAAAATAAATTGTTTTCGAAAATTTTGAGCCAATTGAAATGTCTATTAGTGGCTTGGTGCCTCATAACAAAATGAATCGAACAATAATCGAAAAAAAAGATTGTATCATCAGAGAAAATACTTTCTTATCATGGATTTATCTCAACTATGAATTTGTTTTCATTTATTTTATTATGTTTATAATTTTATTGTCATCACCTGTGCTTAGTAATGATAGTTTCAATCAAACAATAATTGATTCATCATCATCATCATCCCAACGTTCCAATATCTATTCATCGGCTACAATCATGATGAATGATAAATCCTCAGTAGCAGCAACAGTAGCATCGCCGACAAATATGATCAATTCACCAGTAGATTTATTGAATCAAATTGATACATCGTTGAAAAAATTCACTACATCTAATCCTATGATGAATTTTCGCCATAAAGATCGACGTACAATATCGTCAAGAAATGTGAATAGCATTAGAACTCGTCATCATTCTTTGTTTTGGTCATCATCACCATCATCATCATCATCACTAGTTACAATGAGACAATCACAATCATCATTATCACCATTTTCTGATAATTCATGTCGATCCAATTGCTCGGGTCATGGTGATTGTTATAATGGTACTTGTTTCTGTGAGGTAAATATACTTTTATAAAAAAAATGGCAAAAAACCATAAATTGTTTGTCTGACTAATTGATTTTAGGTTGAATATAGCGGTGGAACGTGTGATCATCCAAATCTTAAATATTATATTTCCTTTTCAACCGTTTACTATATGATTTGTGTTGTATCATTCATTCAGCTTATGTTGTGTATTAATTCAGAGATTGCAAGACAAAAACCACGATCAATAACAAGAGCATTCCGTGTAAACATCCAAAAGGCATTGTATTTTTTCATCTGTATTGCAACAGCAATTCGTGGTTTTTATTTTAGTTCACCATCAAATGGTCAATTAGCATGGACCGAAAGTTTAATGTCTGCCTATTATCCAATACTGATGAGTGGATCATCATTGTTGGTCTGTTTTTGGGCCGAGGTATGTGTATTTTGTTGATTATTGTGATAGTTTGGAAATTGTCATATTGACGTATTATATTACAGGTTTTCCATTTGGATGCCAGTGTTGAACAATCTCATTTTTTGGACAAATCTTTTTTCGGATTCATTCTATTCAACGGTATTAGTTATTCACTTTATCTGGCTGAATTTCTTCTATTATCTTTTACGAATCCTACGGATACTGACAAGGTAATGATTGTTCATTTGAATCAATGTTTTTTAATCTCAAGCTTTTTATTTCTATTCGATACCAGGGTTTTTTCATGAGCATATTCAACAGTATCTATGCATTCTTAATGCTTGTTGTAGTCATATTCTTTCTCATCTATGGTGTTGAAGTTTATTTCAAAGTTCGTGGAGCATTCGCTCCTGATCGTGAAACTGAATCATCTGAATCGATAAGCGCCGATATTTCACAATTGCAACAATCCCGTTTAGGATTGATTTCACAAGCCGTATTATTGCTGGTGACAATTTTATTTATGCTTTCCGAAGTATTCGGTTTCCTTTGGAAAGATAAGGTTGCAGTTTTATCACGAAACTATCATCAAGTCATGTTTCGGGTGGTTGAATTTGGTGTTGCATTATGGTTTCCTTGTGTACTATGGAATTGTATACAGCCTGAACAGCTTTGGATTCTGAATCCACGAAGAATACTGAAACGAAGACAATCACAATTTGATCATCGATCTATGAAATCTTTGGATGATGATGATAAATGTCGTTTGGCCAATCAAAGTGTGGCCGAATCGGAATATCTGGTGGGAGGTCGTTTGGATGCTGCTAAAAGCATGACCACCATACCAGAATGTTGGATTTGTTATGAAACAGCTTTATCGAAGCCAGAAGCCGGTCCAATGATTCAACCATGTTTATGTCGAGGTGATGTATCGGCTGTACATCATAGCTGTTTACTACGATGGCTAATGGAATCATGTTCAAGTTCTACTGCTCCGGTTTCCTGTAAAGTTTGTGGCAGTGCTTACAAGGTTGAACATTCACAAGAAACTGTTTGGCTTCCAGCCGGTTTAACCATTGCTCATTGGTTTAAGACTGCTACCATCATAATGATCATGTGTTGTACGCTTGGTGGTTCCATTATGATCGTTAAGCTATTTCATCATATGTACGTCAAAATGATATCGGTTGGATCTGCAATTCTGGTCGAATATATTTGTCTCAGGTAAGGGATATGGTTCCATTTCATTCTTTTTTTTCATACTATTCAATGTCTCACTATAGATTTCTTGGATTCAATATGATTTCGGCTTATCATCGAGCCAAATTATCTGCAATCAAAATTATGGGACGACGAATTCAGATCAATCAACAACAAAATCAAAATATGAATAATAATCATCTAAATGATAATGGTGGTTCAATTGTTGAAGAATCATCATCGGTAAATTTTGCAGTGGCCAAAGAACAGGAAACGGTTCATACGAACAATACAAAAAATCATCATAACGATAAACAATCACATTCACAAGTAGAATTGGTATATATGAATCATACCGATAATAATTCTAATGATAATAATATGACAATTATTACCAATAATAATCAATCATCATCATCATCATCATCATCATCGATCAAACATTTAAATGTCGGTAGTAGTGAACAATCATTAACCGTTCAACAAGCGTCAATAGTTACTGTTTGTACAGAATCTAGATTATGTTGATGGCAAAACTGTTGAAACCAAAACAAATCAAATCAATAACTATGTAGTGATATATTTTGTTCGAGTGATCATTATAATAATTAATGGCAATCAATTAGCCATGATTATGATTTATTTTATTTATCATACTTACCGAAGCAATAAGTCTTTCTGTACATATTTATAATTCATCATTGATTTATATTCTTATTATTTGAACTTTGATTTTTTTCTTAAATTGATGATAATGATGATGTTTGTAAATTAGCCACAAATCCAAACCTATCTATATATATATATAGAGCATTGTATCCGATAAATAAATTCCGGTGAAAAAGTGCAAATAAATAATCAATTGAATTGAATTCGAATACAAAGTTTTTTTTTCTATTTTCCTTATGATTTTATGGAAATAGCTATGTAATGCTATGCACATTATTATTGGTTGGATAAAAAAAGAGTCGCCCATTCTATACAACCTTGAATGATGATTAAATTTTAATTGATTTTGATGATGATTGTTTTAAGTACAATAAATATCCACCGTCAACGCCATTCTATGATGAATAACATACTCAGACGACTATTTTTCAAGTGTTTTTTTCTCTCATATCAATCAATAAAAATAGCTTGCACTATTGTTTATCATTGTTAGTAACAATAATCACACTTGAGCGATCACAATCGTTTTAACAATAAACAACACAAGACAAGATGACAATTGTTGAATTTTTCTTTGATATTCGATCACCATTTTCAAGAATTCAATATGAATTACTTATTCGACAACAGAATCATTGGAAATCAATGACTCAATTACGAATGACGCCTGTTTTGATTCGAAATATTTTCGAAGCATCGGGTAATTTATCTCCGGCAATGAATCCAGCAAAACTAGCTTATCTTACACGAGATTTGGTCATGCTAGCCGATTATTACAAGGTAATTGAATCGGTTGTTTTTTAGATTTTAATTTTAAAAATTGTCATTACCGTTTGATAATGATCAGATGAAGTATGCCACACCCAAGGAATTCCGCAAAATTGTCACAGAATCTCCGATGGCTAACACACAGTTATTCTTGACGGCCATCCAGAATCATTCGGATGAAGCTACATTTAATCGTTTGGTGGGTGTTATTTTTGATGGTTTTTACCAGGAATCACCACAACAAGTCTGGCAAGTTGATGTTCTACGACAATTGGCCATGAAAAGAAGGAATAGCTTCTGATGTGGTTGAAAAAGCTATCAATGTAATGGAAAGCGATGAGAATCGAGCTCAATTGGAGAAAAATACTAAACGACCAATCGAATTGGGTGGATTTGGTCTTCCAATCACTCTAGTGCATAGTGATAATAATAATGCCAGTTGGGTTTTCGGTTCAGATCGTATGCACATTATTGGTCATTTGTTGGGTGAAAAAGAACCACCCATTCTTCGATCTTAATTTTTGTTTTTGATCATTAAAAACAAATGACAAAATTTTTTTGTTTCAAAAAATAAAATAAAGAAATTTATTTAACGAAAAATTTTATCCAAAATAAAACCAGAAAATGTAAGAATAACACCATACAAATGAATCAATAACACAGACATTACATTGTTCATGGCCATCGTATCAATGGTAAGATTGACGAGGCCTGTTATAAGATTGGCTATCAAAAATATCAATAATCCTTTTCGATTGATGACGGTAAAAACCAAACTTTCATAATCGGAAAAATTCGGTTTAGCTATCTGTATCCAAAGGAAATAGACTAGTTCGATCAAAATGTTTAAACATGCACAACAAATGATAAAACAAATGAATGACATATTTGCTTCACGTCGTGATACTGGTTCCAATAGATGATGAGCGGCAAACATTATTGCCAATGATTGTAAACCAATGATTATGATTTGCATGCTAATCGATAATAGTTCGGAAACTTTTTCTCTGTAAAATCAATTGTATCAATTTTATTAAATTTCTTCATTTGGTTTCCATATTACAATCAATCATATATACTAACCTTTTTGGAATGTAATTTCTACCCAATTGAACGAAAAATAAATAAATGGAAATGAATCCTGGCAATGACAATAGTCCTTCTTTGTTGGCTGTGAATACATTCAATGTACGATTCGATGAATCCATTATGAATTCGGTGCCAAATATTTTGAGCATCATTTGCTGTACAATCATCACCATTATCGATACAGCACAAAGATTGATTCTACTACCAAGAAAGGCACATAAAATTGAAGATAGAATCTATTTTTAGAACGAAAAAAAATTGTCAAATCAAATGAAACACATTTCAGATTAATATTACCTTGACAAAACTGATTGTAAAGAAAAAATTCCAATGAACACCATATTCAGTAACATGTTCTTGATAGTTTACCGATTTGACTGCTGCCAAACGAATGAATCCAATCACCAATAATGGAAATGAAGAGCGTAAAGTTTTCATAAATCTCGCTATCAAAGAAACATTGCTATTTATCAACCGAGATTCTGGAGACAATGCACCATTGATGGCGATGAAACAACCGACACCAACGTCCATCAAACTCCAACCGTACATTTCTGTTTTGGAAAAACGGCGATCAAATGAGCGAAAATCCACGGCAAATATGGCTAAACATGTGGCCAATAATAATGATGACATCATATTTGATATGTATGGAAATCTTTTTGAATCAGGATACTGTATTGATTGTTGGCCAATGTTTCGCCAACAAATACGTTTCGAATTGTACATGACATAAATGGAAAAATTGAACAATATCAATACTGAAATGGTTGTTAATAACAAAACAATATGATCATGCCAGACGGTTACAGCCATAATGAATGGTGAATATATCATCAAAAAATCGATGATAAACAACAGAATGGGCCATGTTTTTCGTAGATTTGGAAAAGCAAATATAAACGATTCGTACAAAATATGAGAAAATTGAGCGATTATAATCAATTGAAATATTTCCCAAGGTCCATTACTGCCGTGATTACCATGGATAAATTGTTCACGACGATGTTTCAGCTCTGCATTCATCATAATTATTCATTGAAAAAAAAAAGATTGATCAAAAAAATCAACAAAACATCAAATACCTATATCCACCTAAAGAGCTTTGACTTGGACTATTTCAATTGCATTTTTTTTTAATCATCCAAATTCAAAATTTTATCGTTGGCCTTCATGAATCTTCAATCAAAATATATATTATTGGCTAAATTTGAATTCCTAAGCGAAAAAAAACAAATTTTAAGAATAAATTAAGTCAAGATTGACGATTACGGTGTGTCAGTGAACAAGTGTTTTAAAACAAAAAAAAAAACAACAGAATTGATCAAAATGACCAAGATATATCGTATATCGCTTTTTCTTGTTCTATCTTAATCATGATAGTCATGAACGATTAAGCTCAAACAATGTAACCATTTTATTTATAATTGACTTATAAAATACAATTTAATTTATAAATCTTACATGAAATACAAATTCCATTCACAATTTAGTTCATTATATTTTGGGTAAAAGCGATGAGCATCGTATTTTTAGGAATGCTTGTCATATACAAGCAGTCGTTACTTGTTCCGCAAATATGTTTAAAATCTGATAATCAAATTCGGATTCAGCAAAAATACGTTTAAGTCATCATCAAATACCGGGAATTCATAATTATCCGGCACAAATGTGCCATTTGAATTTATAAGATTTCCTTCGTAATACTAAAATAAAATAAAATTCAACATTATTATTAACATAAATGTCTGCACGAAAATATCATATTCAACTTACAGAAAAATGAAATGTGAAATCTTTTTTCCATCAATGAAGACCTTTTGAATTGGAATAGTTGGATCGTTTTGTACCAAATTACCGTTTTTATCGACATGTACTCGCGATTTTGAGTATTCGGCTATTTTTAGCGACTTTTTTGTGTGGATTTCGATTGTTCGGCTATATACACTCAAATCTGCTTCCGTCACCAAAAATAGCCGAAATACTCGCCAAAAATCGCGAGTACTCGCGCACTTTCTTTTCTGTGTTGAAAAAACATTGATCAAAAAAATCAACAAAACATCAAATACCTATATCCACCTAAAGAGCTTTGACTTGGACTATTTCAATTTGTTTTTTTAATCATCCAAATTCAAAAATTTTATCATTGGCCTTCATGAATCTTCAATCAAATATATATTGTTGGCTAAATTTGGTGAATAAATTAAGTCAAGTGATGAACTGTCAGTGAACTTGAAACAGTAGTAGCAGCAAAAACAAAAATGAAGATTTTGATTATTAAATATATAACCAGTTTGAATCTGTTCACAATTTAAAGAGGGAAAACATTTGTTATTTTACCATTTGTTGTTACATTGAAACATTCAAAATGATCACATGCATGTGTGATTTTTCCATAAATAAAATGTACTCATTTGTTTAAATTCATCAAAATGGTGGTGATTTCTAGTGCAAAAAAAAACAAAAATTTATCGGAAAAACAACATTTGATTCGCTTGTTTTTGGTTATGTGAAAGAGCTTATCAGTGATCTTTATATATATAAAAATCAAAATATTTCAAGGGATAAGTCATTTTTATTTTTGTTCATTCACAAACGACCATCCTTTTTTTAAATTGTCGGATTTTTTTTTTTTTTGCTGACAATGGAAAATTTTTTAGACCCTCGGCCACCAAATCAAATATCCATTGCATGGCGTAATCTTTCCTATGATGTTAGTGGATCCGTTTTTCAACGATCCACAAAGAAAAAATCCATTTTAAATTGTTTGAATGGCCAATTTCATTATGGAACTATGAATGGTTTATTGGGACCAAGTGGTTCCGGTAAAACAACATTATTAAATTGTCTAAATGGTATGATTAATAAATCGGGTCTGAAAAATCATTCGGAAATTTATCTGAATAAATGTGAAAATAATTTACCATCCATACGTGTTATTGAACAACATTCACATGAAACCGTTATTATTCCGGGCATGAAAATTCGACATCTATTATGGTATTCATTTTGTTTTAAAAATAATCACCAACATCGTGAATGTGATGAACATATTCGCAGTGTTATAAAACAATTATCATTACCGGAATCGATTCTTGATAATCGATTTGATCAATGTTCCGGTGGTGAACAACGAAGAATTGTTATTGCACAAGAATTGATGTCATTATCACCGCCATCGTTTTTATTCATTGATGAACCAACCACAGGATTGGATAGTAATTCTGCACTGTTGGTCATGCAATGTTTAAATAAATTGGCTAAAAATAATCAAATGACCACCATTGTGGTTTCAATTCATTCACCAAATTCAGATATTCTGGAACTTTTTGATAAAATCTACATATTAGCTAAAGGTGGTGTTTGTATCTATTCTGATGCACCGAATCTGCTCGACGATAAGATCGACATTGAACGAATGGATCAACAACAGCAAAAACCACCAATTGAAGAATATATGAAAATTGCTTGTAATAATATCAATGACAATGATATTGTTCGTCGTTTAGCCATCGATGTGAATCGTGAAGAAAACGAACGTCTCACACAATCATTTATTGTTGATCATGAACAATTACTATTTCAACGAAATTGGATTATTATGCAAAATAGATCATTTTGTTTTCGAGATTTTTATCTACAATTTTATCGAATGTTTCACATTGTATTCTTGATACAATGGAGACAGTTAATTACTTTTCTACTATTTTATGCAATAAGTATACCATTCATTGCATCATTTTTTGATTCAAATATTGTTCAAACAAATATTTGTTATGATGATGAACGTACAACAAATCAAACATGTTTGGATCGATTACAAAATGAAGCCACTATAGATGATTATAAAAAATATCAATGGTATTGTCAAAGTATATCTGGATTTTCAATCATGTTGGTCAGTACAGTGGCTTTTACATCGTTGCTAAGAATTTTTCGTCATGAACATCGTAATCGTAAGTTGATAATCAATGAATCAAATTTTGAATAATTTTTTCTTCTTGAAATTCATTCATAGAATGGTATAGTACAAGTGTATTCTATATAACAACGTTGCTGATTCGATTCATTGAATTGATTATCATTGCTATTCATACTGGAATAATCATCTATTTTAGTGTTGATCATAGCTATGTTGATATGTCAACAGTGAATATTGACCGTCTATTACATTTTATCTATTTCATTTTCATCAATATCGTCTATTTACAAAGTTTTGGCCATTTATGGAGTGTAATATTCATACAACATGCTGAACTAGCCATTCTTATGGGAATGTTTTTCTATCAAACATTTCTATTATTCAGTGGTTATATGTTGAATTCATCATTAATGATTGATGATGATATTTTCTATCGTTTATTATCGGGATTAATAGCTGGAAAAATTATCACCAATGGATTGATGTATTCATTCTATGGTTTAGATCGTGATTGTCAAAATCAACGAAAATCATTTGTATTGGAAGATTTTGGTGTAAATATTGATCATGTTTATCTTGATGTATGGAAATTAATCATTCAAATTATTTTGCTAAGAATATTGAGTTTTCTATTACTTTGTTATCATTTTGGTGAAATAACGATTTGGATATTTACTAAACGTAAACAATTTAATCAACAACAACAAAATGATATACATTGTTTACAAAATGATGATAAACAACCAAATATTGATCCATCATCAATCGATATCGATTTATCTGTTATAAATAATCAACAAAGAATGAAAAAAGAAGCCGAATTAAATTTTCAACATTTTTCACGTGATAAAATCATCATTGGTTGGCGTTCATTATCGTTGTTTGCTAATGAATCAATTTATGAAACACGTTCAATTAATGATACCGATGATCGATTAATATTGAATAATCTAAATGGACAATTGAAATTTGGCACCATAAATGCATTGATGGGTCCATCTGGCTCTGGGAAGACATCATTATTGAAAATCCTGAATGGACAATATAAAACACGATTAAGTGATGAAAGTGAATTTTTTCTTAGTAAATTTATGCCAATTAATACATGTTATATAACGCAAGAAATTTCTGGACATTTATTACCCGGTCTAACCGTATTACAAAGTTTAATATTTGCATCACGTTTGAAAAATTCAAATGAATCAACTAATTCAACGATTAATCATGAATGTATTGCATGGAAAATTTTACAACAATTAGATATGAATGATGTTGCTCAAACATTTGTACAGAATTGTTCAGGTGGTCAACGAAAACGGCTAGCCGTAGGTTTGGAATTAACATCTTTACGAATGCCAAATTTAATCCTTATCGATGAACCAACAAGTGGATTAGATTCAAATTCAAGTGAAATTGTTATCACTTGTTTACGTAGAATCGCACATGAACATAATGTTACAATCGTTACATCAATTCATCAGCCACATACAGATTTATTGTTAATGTTTGATTCACTTTATGTTCTGGCTTATGGTGGACGATGTATATATTCTGGTCGATCAATCAATATATCACAATATTTACAAAGAATTGCCATTCCACAATCGAAAATGTTTCCAATTGAAAAATTGCTACAATATTGTAGTCAAGATTCAAATGATAATCAAATCGTACAGCGTATGATTGAAATGACAAATCAGGAAATCATTGATAATGGTGGACAATTATTACCACTGCAAACTCAGTTAATAATCGATGGTCTACAAACAAATCGTCACAGATTTTCATTGACATGTTCAAAAATATTATTTCATCGTAATTTATTATATATAATTAATTATCGTTGGAAAATGTTCTCAATGTTCATCATATTTCCGATCCTGTTGTCATTAGTATTACGATATTTTTTTCCAGCCAAAATTGCCATTGAAAATGGATGTATAAATCTGGAAGATGATTTTCAAAACATTTTTGTATCATTCAGATTTTGAAATCCGAAAAAATGATCTACAAAATAATGTGTTATATGGTTATTTTTCATTTTTTATGACAATCAATTTGATGATAATAATGGCTAGTGTAACGTTTTGCATCGATATGATCTATTTTCATAATGAACATCGTAATGGTAAGAATTTGACTGGATTTTTGTAAGATAAAATTGAACTAAAATTTTTTTTCTTTCATATAGGTTGGTATAGTACAGGAATGTTTTACTTGGTTAAATCGATAACGGAATTCATACCGATTATTGCAATAATATTGATCAATGCATTCATATTTGATATTTATGAATCTATAAAACCGGGCATCTATGTATGGATCGTAATATTTTTTCTATTATGTTCATTGGCCATGCAATCAATATGGTCATTTATTATCAATAATAACCAATGGCAATTTCAACTATCTTGCACCAATTATTGTTGGAGCACTTGTATTGAATTTTTTATTATCAAGTTATTCATCACCAATACAACATTTAAATTATTTTTATAAATTTTTGGCCAATTTTTCACCACTTCGTTTTGGTTTTGAAGGATTGTTATTATTGCAATATGGTTTCAATCGTTGCCACAGTGATAGGAAAGAAATTCAAATTATTCTCCATCAATTTGGCATTGTGAATGATGAAGAATATTTTTATACCTGTATATTGATGCTTGTGTTTAACATAATTTTTCATCGTTTCATTACATTTTTAGTATTAATGATCAAAATGAATCCATATAATAATCGTCGTAAACGTTCAGAAAGAATTCTTCGTCATCATAATGATTTAATTACAAAGAAAAATTGAATTCTATCTACCTGTGCCTGTAAATATAAACCGGTGAGTATATTTTGGATCGATTCCAAGATATTTGATTTGATACATTCTTATTATTATTCTTAGAATCACATGGATTGAATTGAATCAAAATGAAGAAATTTATTCATTTTTTTTGGAAATGATGTGATAGAAAAAACTGTTTGGTGCCCCGTGATGATTTCATCAATTTCTTGACATTTTTTTTTGTTATAAATTACACTCTATGGTTGGAATGATGTGATTGATTAATCATCATCAACATTGAAACGTTAACAAGCAATATACATATACATCTCAATATACGATCATATGACGACATTTTAATTTGAATGACATTTATATGACGCCTTTTTATGATCAAATGATGATGATGATGATTTTTTTCATTAAAATCCATATGGATCTTTAACAATTTTTGTTTTGTTTTGTTTTTGAAACGCAATCAAAAACGGATTTCATTCACCCGTGAGCGGATAAAGTTCAAAGACCATACTATGTTACCATGTTTAAAAAAAATCCTATATCATCTATAGTTATAACGCAATTTAACTTTCTCGAATATAAACACACGAATCATCTAGCAAAAACAAAAGATCAAGGAAGAAAAATCAAGAAAATTCTATAGTTATAAACATACACAAAATGGTATATATATAGTTTGTGGGTGTATGTATCAAAAATATGAAATGAAAAGAGGATTTCATTACTGCTTCTGCGTATTATATTTTTATAAAATGAAAAAAAACGTTTATCAATAATCATCATTGAACGGATACAAATGAAATACACAAGTGCAATAAAGTTTTTTTTGTGTAAAAAAAAATAACGATTGTGCCCATGGGCAACATTTAGACCCCCATCATACATAATGTACACGAGTACACAAACACACACATACACACACGTAATTCAATAATAATCATTCGATTCGATTTTTTTTCTGCCCTTCTTTTTTTTCCTCTTGTTTCGCCCTTTTTTCACCACCACCACCACCACTACTACTAAAATCCGAACCACCACCTACTTTTTTTTTCCTCAATTTTTGTACATGCGCACTATAGGCATTGAAAAAATTACATTCGTTTCTAGGTTTTTTTCTAAGAAATTTTAAAATTGTGATAATGTGATAGATTTGTTATCACTAATTTTAATTTTAATTAAATTTTATTATTGTTTTTTTTTATTGATTACATTAATAAAAAAAATGATTTAAATTATTTTTAAATTAAATTTAAAACAAAAAAAATGATAATCTTATCGATAATATAATCGAGCACACATCAACAAAATAAGCGAGTAATAACTGTTTTGTGTGTTTTAATAAGTAAAACAAGTATGGCGACACAATCGAACAATGAAAATGAGGAGGATATCGAATAGTAGTAGTGGTCAATAGTATTGGTGCAAAACAAGGCCATAATTTTTTATTTAAAAGCGATGAACAAAACGCCATTACTACATCATTTGTGATTTTTGTGTTAAGCTTGTTTAACGAATTTTTTTCTTCGACTCGTTTTTTTTGCTCTCTCTCTCTATTTCTATCTTGTTTTTGTGTGTGTCCTCGATTACAATTTTATTGCGTCGTATTTTTTCATCATTCAATCCAATTTTAAACAAATTCTTTTTGCTGTTTTGAAATTTGCAATTCTATTATCTCGATAATCATGCAAATCTTTGTGAAAACTTTGACCGGAAAAACCATCACTTTGGAAGTGGAACCATCGGATACCATCGAAAATGTTAAGGCCAAGATTCAGGATAAAGAAGGTATGTACTTTTTCTTTGTCTGTTTGATTCATAAATTGCTCATCATTGCATTTTCATTATATTATTTATAGGTATTCCACCAGATCAGCAACGATTGATCTTTGCTGGAAAACAATTGGAAGATGGCCGTACATTGTCCGATTATAACATTCAAAAAGAATCGACATTGCATTTGGTACTTCGTCTTCGTGGTGGTATGCAAATTTTCGTGAAAACTTTGACTGGTAAAACCATTACATTGGAAGTGGAACCATCGGACACAATCGAAAATGTTAAGGCTAAAATTCAAGATAAAGAAGGTAAGGTTTTTTCTATTAGTTCGATTTCATCATTGCTCACTTTTCTTTCGTTTCCCTTGAATTCTAATACAGGTATTCCACCAGATCAGCAACGTTTGATCTTTGCTGGCAAACAATTAGAAGATGGTCGAACTTTGTCCGATTATAATATTCAAAAAGAATCTACATTGCATTTGGTATTGCGTCTACGTGGTGGAATGCAAATTTTGTCAAAACATTAACTGGTAAAACCATTACATTGGAAGTGGAACCATCGGACACTATTGAAAATGTCAAAGCTAAAATCCAAGATAAAGAAGGTATCCCACCAGACCAGCAACGATTGATCTTTGCCGGAAAGCAATTGGAGGATGGTCGAACTTTGTCCGATTACAACATTCAAAAAGAATCCACCCTTCATCTCGTATTACGACTTCGTGGTGGTATGCAAATTTTTGTCAAAACCTTAACTGGTAAGACTATTACATTGGAAGTCGAACCATCGGACACGATTGAAAATGTGAAAGCAAAAATCCAAGATAAAGAGGGTATTCCACCAGATCAGCAACGATTGATTTTTGCTGGTAAACAACTTGAAGATGGCCGTACATTATCTGATTATAACATCCAAAAGAATCTACTCTCCATCTTGTCTTGCGTCTACGTGGTGGTATGCAAATTTTTGTCAAAACATTGACCGGCAAAACCATTACATTGGAAGTCGAGCCATCCGATACCATTGAAAATGTGAAAGCTAAAATCCAGGACAAAGAAGGAATCCCACCAGATCAACAACGTTTGATCTTTGCCGGTAAACAGTTGGAAGATGGCCGAACATTGAGTGATTATAATATCCAAAAAGAATCCACCCTCCATCTTGTCTTACGTCTACGTGGTGGTATGCAAATTTTCGTCAAGACTTTGACTGGTAAAACAATTACATTGGAAGTTGAGCCATCAGATACAATCGAAAATGTGAAAGCCAAAATTCAAGATAAAGAAGGAATCCCACCAGATCAGCAGCGATTGATTTTTGCCGGTAAACAGTTGGAAGATGGCCGAACCTTGAGTGATTACAACATCCAAAAAGAATCCACTCTCCATCTTGTGTTGCGTCTTCGTGGTGGTATGCAAATATTCGTAAAAACTTTGACTGGTAAAACAATCACCTTGGAAGTGGAACCATCGGATACCATTGAAAATGTAAAAGCTAAAATTCAAGACAAAGAAGGTATCCCACCAGATCAGCAACGGTTGATTTTTGCCGGTAAACAATTGGAAGATGGCCGTACTTTGTCCGATTACAACATTCAGAAAGAATCCACCCTCCATCTTGTACTGCGACTTCGTGGTGGAAACTAAAAATGATAATGGATGTCATCAAACCATCTGTTATTCGACAAAAAAAATTAAATTCCACTATATCATTTCATGAAAAAATTTAAATCCGAAAATTGTAGTTTTACAGTCAATGAAAAAAAAATTAAATTTAATTTGTAGTAGTCAAATTCTTTATCTGTGTGTGTAATTCCATCATACATTAAACATTCATAATTCAATTCAATTCAATAAAAAATCGAAATTGAAATTTTGAAAAATTTAAATTTTTAAATTCTTGAGTTTTTCTTTTTGTGATAATTTCAATGAAAAAATCTGAATAAAATCCATTGGGAAATATTCCTGGCAAATGGAATTGAACGTTTAATGGAAAGTTTTTGGAAAATTTTAGAGCATGCGTGTGCGCTTTACATGTGGCATGTTATTTTGTGTAAATGTTCCTGTTTCCTGTGGCTGTGTGTGCGTGTGTCTTTGAGTCTTTATTGTTTTCGTTTGGTAAACATTCGATTTAGTTTCGAAAAAATTTTGAAAAAATGAAAGCTTCTGGTGTGGTAAGTTTTAGATTTTTTTTGTCATTTTTTTCGATAAAAATCCATCTTGATTGGTCAAAATAATTAAACATAATCTTTCATTTAATGCTAACCATTGTTTGTTTGAAGGAAAAAGCTCAGGTTCTTTTCTATTTCTGTCAATTTTATTTTTGTTTCTCGAATTTCTTTTCATTCATGAATTGATTAATTAATTCTTGTTTATTATCTATATCAATAGCTTCGTCAATACCGAATCATTGGCCGACATTTGGTCAATGATAATAATCCACATCCACCATTGTATCGGATGACTATTTTTGCTCCCGATGCCATCATTGCTAAATCACGTTTTTGGTATTTTTTGGCTCGTTTGAAGAAAATTAAAAAAGCTAATGGTGAAATTGTCGAAATCAAAGAGATACAAGAATCGAATGCGGCTAAACGTGTAAAGAATTATGGTGTATGGTTACGTTATAATTCACGTACCGGTAGCCATAACATGTATCGTGAATATCGTGACATTTCCACCAACAATGCTATCACTGCTTGTTGTAAGTATTTATATACATTTTTAAAATGTTTAAATAAATTTTTATTTTGTAAATTTTTTTCAATTAATAAAATAAAAATAGATCGTGATATGGGTGCTCGTCATCGTGCACGTGCCGATTCTATCCAAATCATCAAAGTGGAAGAGATTGCCGCCAATCAATGTCGACGACCGCATATGAAACAATTTCATGATTCAAAGATTAAATTTCCGTTACCGAATCGGATTAGCAGAAATTTCCATAAATCTCGTTTCACAACACGTGTTCCACGGGCACGACTTTTGTAATTTGTTTGATTTCTTTCTTTTGAAAATTCATATAATTTTGCAAAAAAATAAAAAATGATGATATCTTTTTTTTCGGTTGAAATCAATCAATAAATGTGAAAGTTTTAATTTTCAAAAAAAAAATTCACAAAAATTGCAGATTCAGATTTCACTGTCATTCTCGTCGGAAGATGGCGCCAGTGTCTTGGCGAAAAAAAAATTCGAATTCTCACCGCTTTTGATGATGATCATGATCATGATGGATGATTAAAAAAACGGTGCAAGAAAATCATTTCATTTTTCATCTGGTTTTTTTTTCTCTGCTGTTCATCATCAATACCAATTTTTTTGTTCTTTATTTCACATTCAAATGATGGAATTTTGTTTATTTTGTTTGGCCATAATTCATTTGAACGAAAAATGTGTGTGTGTGTGATTGCTACAAAAACCATATAGTCACAAACAACCGAATTCAACAATTTTATTATTATCAGATTCACAAACAAACATTAACGCATTATCATCATCATCATTTCTCTTTCATTTTTTTTTCACTATCGCGCCATCCCATAAGCATCCACGACATACAAAAAAAACGACAATCCTGATTATGATGAGGATGGTGGATTTTATTATTTTGTTCGTTGTTCATCAAACACACATATATACACACACACACACACAAACAAACATCATCGTGTATGTATATTGTGTTGGCGTATTTTATTATGCTGCCATTGAGAATACTTTTGGTGAATTGGAGAATTTCATTTTTTTTTTGTTTTATTGTATAGTGAACATCAGAAATGATACTCACAATCTCTCTCACTTTCACTCACTTCTAAACATCAAATATTTGAATACAAAAACAGAAAAATTCATTACTTTGTTGTTGTCATCATTCACCGTTAACAGCAACAACAACAACAACAACGATCAGCATTTGATCTCGAATAGAATTAATTTGGCTGTATTTTTCTGTTTTCTCGTTAAACATCATCGTCGGAAAAAATTCTTTTTCATATATGAAATTCACTTATGCTGATTTCGGCTGATTCTGTGACTCGTGTCTTGTGTGTGTGTGTGTGTGTGCGATTTTTTTACCACCTTCTCATCTTGTGTGTTTTCATTGCAAAAAATTCGCATTGTAAAATTAATCGAATTGAATTCGATTCTGTCAATTTTAACTATTTTAACTCAATTTGTCTCAATTTGGATTTTTTTTTTCATTTTCTTTTTAAAAACAAGGAAAATTTTTTTCGAAATCACCTATAATTTTACATCTGTGTTTATGTGTGTGTGTGTGTGTGTTCCAGAAACAAACTTGTTTTTTTTCTGATACATCCTTGAATTTTGTCGTTTTTTTTTGCTTCATATCCATTTTTGTGAATGAATGAAATGGCATCAGATTTATTTCTAAATTTATCCTTTTTTTTCTCAGAAAAATAAATTTTGTCATTACCACCTTTATAAAACAAAAATGAAAAAAAAAAAAAATGATGATGATTATAATCAACAACATCATCTTCCTACACATGTTCGATGATCTTATGAAATGGTTTGCGATCATTTGCTAATCATACCACAATTTCCAAATGATGATTATATCCTCGTTGTTTTTTTGTTGGTGTCAAACAAACAAACAAACAAAAAAAGTCATGTTCCGGATATGTTTTCGAAACAATTATTTTTTTTCAATGAAATTTTAAATTTTTTTTTGATTTGATTTGTGCTACAATTGTCCATCCAATATGTCTTCATTGAATCAACGAATTTATCCAACGCCATCGCCATCATTATCATCATCATCATGGTCATCAACATTACCAAATCGGAAACGACAAACAAATGATGTGGCAACATCAGCAACAGCAGCGGCAATTGTTCGCCGTCGTAACAGTATAGAATCCTAGTAAGAAAATTTTGAATTCTTGTTGTTTGTTGACACCGTTTCTGTTTTTACTTTTTGTGTTTCAGAAATATATGTAGATTATGATATGTGTGTGTGTGTGTGTGTGTGTGTGTGAATAAACTATTCGATGAATGTGGCAAAGGCGCGGAATTTTTTTTTTTTATATCTAAAAATAACTTGAATTTTTTTTTGTTTTGTTTTGTTTACTACCATAATTGTAGAGTGTAACAAGTTTTGTTTTGTCACTATAGTGTTGTTTTTGTTGATGATTGAAATTTTGAGAATCTTGAAATTTTTTTTTTTTATAATAATTATCAGCCAAAAATATCTAGAGATTATTATTACGAAATAAGTAAAAAAAAAATTGATGACTCCTACGCTGTTTCATATTCAAAAAAAATATTGACTTCATAGAAATTTTGTGGTCCCGAAAAAAAATTACATCAATTAATTAATTGACTAAAAATCAATGGCAACAAGTTGACCATTAGAAGCGAAAAAAATCATCACTTTCACTTGTTGCATGCATGTTGTCATTCAAATTTTGTTTTTGATTTATTCATTCAACCATATAATGCATATATTCAAAATCAATCAATTGAATCGTATCAATCAATCAATCAATTTATTTATTGATTGTCAACATGACAAAATGATCATCATCATCATCATCATTGATGTTACATTTCAAATGTCATTCCTAGTTCCTTTCAAATTCATTGTGTGATGCATTCAGAAATCAAATTCGATGTCAAATCTATGAAAAACAAACACAATTTTATTATGACAAAAAAGAAAATTGTTTCCACCCGGATAAATCTTTTAGTGTTGTGAATGTTTGACATTTTGATATTTTTTTTTGCCAAAATGCTCAAAATGCATTTTTATATGTCGTCACATACAATAATGAGACCAAAACATTTGATATTTGAATGTATGAAACCGAAAAAAGGAATCTTTGAATGATTGATTGAATTTTTTAAATGTCTGTCTGTTTGCTTGAATGTTGAAGAAAAAAAAATGTCCATATTAAGTAATGATAAGGTCACCAAAACCATCAACATGCTGTTGTTATGTAAATGTTTTTTTTTTTTTTTTTTTTTGATTGCAATCATGTTGATGTTGTCGTTTGTCAATGAAATTTTTTCATCGTTTAATTTTCAATTTTTGTTTATATGGTCTCCGAGAAAAAAAATCGAACCGTTTTTGGCATAGAAAAAAAGGCCAACAAAACAAAACAAAAAACACGCGAATGAATCAAGACAATAGAGGACATTCTAAATTTAACTTTTTGTATCGATGAATTTCTTTTTTCTCCCTTTAATTTCATCGTCATTTTTTTATGTCGCCCACTTTATTATCAATGTTCCACTACCACCACTATACACACCCAATAAAGATTGTTTTCAATTTTTGATTGATTTTTTTGATGACTAGAACGATGATGAAACAAAAAAAAATCGACTAATTGACCTCAACATTAAACATATGGTCGATTTTGTTCGTCCATGTGTCATATAATTATTATTTCAATTACACAACAAGATACTTGAAGCAACAACCTGCTACCTGTATTTGTATTACACGTTTCAATAACATCATCAACACACAAAACAACATTATAATCACCAATTGACCAGAAAAAAAAAATCCTTAAAATTCACTAATAACACACAAGCATCGAAGCAACAAGTAAGCAACAGGTAATAACACTTGTTGTTTTTATTTGCATTTACATTACATTTTTTTTTCTTTCTTTGTTTATTTGTGAAATATTTTTTGTTTTCCAGTTATTAAATCATTTTTAAATGGTTTGTTCCTGGATCATCAAATGGATGTTTTGTTGTTGTTAAACATGGTCTCTCTCTCTCTCTTTTTCTCTCTGTTGCTTGATTCACACCCAGTTTATTTTATTTGTAAATTGCTTCACATTCATTCATTCATTCATACAAGCTGATGAAAGAATTGAAGAAAAAAAAAATTGTCTGTGGTTTTTCATTCAATTTCATTTGTTTATTTTCAATATATATAATATGGTTTTGCTCCATACACACACACACACACACGTTCATTTTTTTCCATATTTATATATAAAAATTAAGTAAATCTCACTGTCTGTCTGTTTGTCTGTTAGCTGTCGGTGTAGGTGGGAATCCATTTTAATATTTTTGTTTTTCTGTGTTTGTTTGTAACATAATTTTATATTTTCTGTAAAAAGAAAAAAAAATTTCTCTTCTTTTGGATTTTGTTTTTCGTTTGTTTTTGTATGTTGTTTGACGCTTCGGGTATTTCAGCAGCAAATTTTTTTTTTTTTGGTTTTAACATTCATGTGTTGGTTCATTTTTGAAAATTTTAACACTTTACCGTAATTTTTTTTTTTGTTGTTGTTTCAAGTTTTTATTTTTTTGTTGTTGTTGTTGTCCACGATAAGTCGGTTATTTTTCTTTCCAAAAAGTTTTTGGTGGTTGTGGTTGTTATTTGAACATATTGGAATATATCGACAGTAACAGTGAAAAGGAAAAATTTTTTTTTTTGACAAATCACCTTGGTGACCAGTGATAAATTTTTTTTTTTTTTTTTGATAACCGGCCTATATTTTTTTCGGTTGTTTTTGTTGCTATTTCACATTGATCGTTGAGCAAAAATTTTGTGGTGTGAAATTTTTTTGATTTTTTTTTGCAATTTTGAAATACGAGACCAAGTTTTTTTATTTTTATTTTCATTTTTAATTAAAATTTTTTTCTTTTTTTTGTTGATTAATCAATCACAAGTGACCGTAATCATCATCATCATCAACGTCCACAACAGCCACAACCACAACAACATCGTCTAGTTGTTTATACGAATCCACAGAAATATTATTCCATACGTATTGATCAACCACATTTACAGGCGATACATATTTTACCTGAAAATTATCAATTTTGTTCATTAGGACAAAAATTTCGTCATCCAAATATCAATGGTACAGAAATATTTGGTACATGTTCAGCTAAAGTTCATTTTGGTAAATGTACAGATTTTGATGTTTTTGTTGAACAACAACAACCACAAGAACCACAACAAATAGACGATTACGACGATACAGCAACAATAAGTGATTGTAAAAATTTTATTTATTATAAAATTAAAACGCCTACTACAAAAACGGCAACACCTACCACCATAGATATTGGTAGTAGAGGTGTTGGTGGTGGTCATCGATCCACCACTACGGCTACTACTGGTACTACTATTGCCAAAAAAACATCATCAACACCAATGATTAATCGATCCATATCACCAAACGATGATCATTTATCATCATCATCATCATCATCATCATCATCGTCCACATCTTCAACATCAATTTTATCAAAAATTGAAAGTTATCGTAATAATCTTGATGCTGCAATTGAATTATTAACAACCGAATTGAATAATCAAAATCAACCGGATGAACTTGAACATTTAATTCGGTAAGTTTGTTTTTTCTTTCATTTTCATTTTCATTTTTTTTTTGTTCAAATGGAATGTGGATGGAATGTTTGAGGAAAAAAAAAGAAGAAGAATAAAAGTTATCAAAAATCACACTCGACAATGACATTGAGAAATGTGAATTATTTTTTTCATAATTTTTTCATTTTCCTAAATGATTTATAGCAGTGATGATGATCATGATGATGATGATGATGATGATGACAATGCGAAAATGATTTCAGATCAATGTGTATGTATGTGTTTGTGTGTGTGTGTGTGTGTGTGTGTGGCATTCATTCATTCCACCACTAACAAACTAAACTACAAACCAAAACAAAACAATACAAAACATGAAGATTTATGTAGTGGTTTTTTTCCTAACGAAAAAATAAAATATAGATCAAATCTGCTTCAGTTTTTCTCTCTTTCTCGATATTTATTAATCTTTTTTAAAGAATCTTTCAAATAAAACAATGATGATTATGATCAATGAAATCAGAACAGCCATAGTAATCATCATTGTCGTCATCATTGTAGTCGTCGTTTTTTTCGGTTTGTTTTTGTTGTTGTTGTTGTTCTACATTATCATCATCATCATCATCATTTATATATAGCGGTTTTTTTATATTTCAAAATTCAACAATGTTCTAGTTTCATATATATACATCTACTACATGCCTTAATGAAAATTTGATGATGATGATGATGATGATAATCCTTCTACTACAGAATCATTTTCAGAATAGAAAAAAAAATGTTTGTGTTTGTGTGTGTGTGTTTTTTTTTCTTACAACAGCAAAAACGAAAACACAACAAGTGTTAAGTCTTTCCATCGCCATTTAGAATTTATGTTTACGATCATCAAAGAATGAATCAGTGAATCACAGAATAGATGAATTGTGTGAATTAGCATCAATTGTATATATGTTCATTTTAAATTTTGGCTTAATGTTTGTGTGTGTGTGTGTGTGTTGTGCAGTGTGTGATGTGTGATTGAGAAAAAAAAATGTAGCCAATCAATCCATGTTTGTATACAGTTTGTGTGTGTGTGTATAGTAATAGATTGTTTAAAATTTTCAAAAAAAAAAAAAAAATTTTTTCCTTTTTGTTCATCATCAAGCAATTAAATTTTTTTCCCTTGAAATTCATTCATTCATCGATTTTTTTTTCATTTGGTTTGGTTTTATTTTCGTGTTTCTTGCTCATTCGATGATGATGATGATGGTGATAGAGGCTGCTGTTTTTTTTTTGAAAATTTGATGAACAAAAAAAATTTTTTTCTAGCCTTTCTGGCTGTGTGTGTGAATAGACTTTCATTTTATTGATCTGATGACTACGTTTTGATTTAAAATTTTGTCGAAAAAAATCTGTTTTGTTTTCATTTTCATTCATAAATGATGAATAAACATAGGAATTTTGTACGTGAAGATCGACGACAAAGACAAGTTGATGATAATGGTAATTCATCGGTCAAAAATCATCTTAACTTGAGACAACAACGTTCTATTTCGTCAACGAAACCAACAATAACAACAACATCTGATACAGATGAATTGGAAAAATTGGCATTAGCTTTAGTGGCTGAATCTAGTCATCATAATAATAATGATAATAATGCTAATCCATTATCACCATCAATTGATTATCCATCAAATGGACGAAAAATTTTATTAAAAAAATCACAAGCTGATTTATTACGACAACAACAACAGAATGGTAACCTAAATTATTCTGAATCAAATCGATCATCATCACCAACACCATATCTAAGTACAAATCGTGATGGTGTTGTACAATCACGATTATTACGTTTTTCGAATAATCAAAATCCACAACCGTCATCGAATACATTATCATCATCATTGAAATCTGATGAATTATTACAACGGAAACGATGTTTATCACCGACATCGATACAGAATAATAATGGTAATGAAAATCCTGATCATCATCGTCATCAAATTGTATTTGGCATTAGTCCTAAATCAAGTTCACTTGCAAGGTAACAAAAAAAATCTATAAGTATCAATTAGCTACGTCATTTCATTGAAAATTTATTTATTTATTAGACAGCATTGTGTGTATGGTTGACATTTTTCATTTCATTTCATTCGCACACAATTCTCTCTAATTTTAGCCTCATGTGTTGACAACAACAACATTTGATTTTAGTTTCATATTTTTTTTCTCTGATCATAGTGACAAACTTTTTTTTTTGGCAAAAGTTTTAGTATTTAGTTGGTAAAGAAGAAGAATAAAACAAAGAAAAAAATTAGACAAGCAAAAAAATGAGAATATTTAGAGAATTTTTTTTTTTTGATTTTTGAAAAGTAAAATTAAATAGTACGATCAAATTACATTGCATTGCATTTACTTTTACCGGTTGTTTCCGGTGGTAGATGAATAAAAATTCACAAAAACATTCTGATGATTTTTTTTTCGTTTTTTAATAATAAATAGATATAAAAATCTTATCGAATCACGAAGTGAAACATCATCACCAATACAATTGAATTTTGCTACCGGAATCGATTTACATAATTTAAATATTGAATTAGAAAATCGACCACATGATAATGATCTAACTCGTAATACCATATCATCCGGATCATCATCATCGAATATAAAATCAAACAATCATTATACAACATTGACATCGAATAGAAAACAAAATTCTCTAGATGATACAATGATGGCAACGGCTATGATGATGTCGACGACAAACGATACATCATTGGATACGAGCCATTTTATTGGCAAGAATCGTGATAGTAGTAGTAGTGGTGGTGGTGGTGGTAAAATTCATGCAAAAATATTGGAAAATATTCATGGAAATTATTCAACAAGGAGGAATATGGAGGAATATCACGACAACATTGGTACCGATGTTATTGACACAAGCAAAGAAAAATGTATGATAAATGTACAGTAATTTATAATTTATTTAAAATATTTTCTTCTCTGATTCTTTAGCTTCTTCAACTTCTTCTTCTTCTTCTTCAATTACCACCGACAAATCTTCTAAATCTTCTTATTTATCATCATTATCGTATAATGTCGGCAACAGTAGTGGTGGCAGTAATGGTATTAACAGTAGTGGTGGCGGTGGTATAATAACAGCAAAATCTAGACAATTTCACCATAATCCACAACAACAACCATCATCATCATTAGTTGTTGTTGATTCATCTAAAACATCGGATCCATTGTTAGATTTTGTGGCAAGAAATCAAGAGTTTAATAATAATAATCGGCATCATCTTGGTACATCCTCATCATCATCATCATCATATCATTCCCCTTTGAATGTAATAAATGAAGATCATTATCGAAAGAATACGAATGATGACAGCGACAATAGCAACAACAACAACAACAACAAGAATAATGAATCATCAAATCTACTAACATCAAATACAATTGATTTATTTATAAAAGAAAATGAAAAATTTTTTCAGAGTGGTGGTCATCGTTTATCAAGAAGTTTAGGTTTAATTGAAAACGAAAAAGATTCAGAATCATCTCTATCGTCATTTGATCATTATTTGAATGACGAAATGAAATATTTACAAACTGAAAATTCAAAAATGTCATCATCATCATCATCAACAACAACAACAACAACAACAACATCGACGACAAAATCATCATTAACTGATGATGAAAAAGCATTATTACATGAAACACTTAAAGTTGGCCAATTATATAGTGCATCATCATCGTCATCATCATCATCACAATCATCAACAGGTTCCGGTTCAGATAGTTCATCTGATAATGAGAAAAATTCACAATCATCATCATCCATACAACAACAACAACAGAAAAAACGTATAATATTTGTATCGAAACCAGCACCAAAACCTGAACCAAAACCAGAACCAAAATATGTAAATGGAAAAATGGTATTTGGACAGGTACATGTCCAACAGCGGCATCAACATCATGGCCTACAAAAAGGTTCGGTAGCTGAACGTGTTATGTTATTTGAAAAATGTCCAGAAAAAACATCCGTAACGAAACATAAACTGACTGAATTACAACGTAATCGTATAACAAGTCCAAATAAGATTGGTAATTGGATGAAATTTACGGAAACACAAGCTGTGGTGAGTTTTGTTTTTCGAATCATTTGAATTTTAATTACATAAAACAAAAACAACAATAATCCACATGTTTTTATAGTTGAATTAAGTCATTAACCTTTTTTTTTATTTTCTGGCAAGCATTTAATGATTGTAGAGAAAAACAATAATGATGATTAGATTCATATTAATAAAGGAAGGATTATTATGATCAGCAGACCAAAAAGAATAACAGAATAGAGAATATTTTTTCCGGAAAGTTTCTTTGTATTGTTGGCAGAAAGGAAAAATCTTTGCCACCATCATATATTTTCTCAGACAATTTTTTTTCTCTAGTTGATTATTCTTTTTTTCTCCACAATGGAAGAATTTGTTGCCGTTTTTACTGTCAATCTTTTTTTTTTTTTTTTCTCTAATCCAAAACACCACCCTCATAATTTTTTGTGTTTGTTGTTCCCATTTTTTTCCGGCTGTTTGATTTCTTCAACTGTGTACATCTATGTATGGAAACATTTTTTTTTAGTTACCACAGAATGATACAACGAAAATTGGTAGAAATCTGAAAATAGCTGATGATTTGAATAATGTTGTTGGCGGGGAAGATTCTGGCAACAACAACAATCTTCAACCTGTCTCATCAACATCAACAACAACAACATCAGCATCTTCTGTAAAATCTTTGACAAAAAATAAAATTCATCATAAAGAAGATGAGCCAAAATCTCCGCAAACTATCGCATCGATACCAACATTTAGACGTTTTTCACGTACAAATTCTGGCATATTGCCCGGACAATTGCCTCGTTTCTATTATCCACTTGGACGGCCATATTCATCCAATGAAGTTGAAAGTCAAATTAAACGTATCGTATCAATTTTTGATCGTTTTCCAAATCGTAATGTTACGGTCAAAGAATTCGGTAATGTATTGAAATTATGTGGTATACCTGTTTATTGGAAAGAGCCATTATTTCGTTCAATATTGGCTGATGCGAAAAATAGTTCCATGGCCAATGGTAGTTGTGGTGGTAGTAATAATAGTATTATTCGTCGATCAAATTCAATCGATCATTCATCAAATAATGGCAAAAATGGTATCATAGCCAATGGAACCACAATGTCAAATGGCAGCAGTAGTAGTAAAAAAGAATACATTACTTGTGATCAATTTACAAATTATTGGAAAAAGTAAGTGGACAATTTTTTTTGAATGATGGGCATTCTGTATTAATTTTTTTTTTTGTTATTGTTGTTTTATAGATTAATTTCAATATGTTACGATGATTCTAGTCGTTTCATAAAAATCATGACGCAAGGACGAAGAAATTTTATAATTCCTGAAGATTTTGAACCACTCATACAGGATGTAATTGATACACATCCAGGATTATTATTCCTAAAAGAAGCGGAAGAATTTCATTCACGTTATGTGCATACGGTAATTGCAAGGATTTATTATTGTGTAGATAAAACATGGTCCGGTACGATAACATTACCTGAATTGAAAAAATCCAATCTTTTAAGGGTGATTCATCTGCTGGAAGAAGAAGATGATATTAATCAGATAACTGAATATTTTTCCTATGAACATTTTTATGTGATATATTGTAAATTCTGGGAACTAGATCAGGATCATGATCTATTCATCAGTAAATATGATCTTTCTAGACATAATGATTCTGGTATGATTTTTTTTATTGTTGTTGTTGTCGATTCTAAAAGTGAATGTTGCTAATTTATTACAGCCATCTCTTCACGAATGATTGATAGAATATTTAGTGGTGCTGTCACACGAACCACAACAACATCTCGTGGTTCACGTAATAATAATCAAATGTCATATACGGAATTTGTATGGTTTCTATTGGCCGATGAAGATAAACGTCATCCAAGAGCGATTGAATATTGGTTCCGTTGTATGGATTTGGATGGTGATGGTTGTCTTTCATTTTATGAATTAGAATATTTTTATAATGAACAAGTTAAACGTATGGAATCTGCCGGTATCGAAGCATTACCATTTACGGATTGTCTTTGTCAGGTATGACATTTTCCCTTTTTTTTATTCACCAAGTTTAATTAATCCATTTTAAAATGTTTTTTTCTTTTGTTAGATGATTGATTTAATTAGCCCGAAAGATCCATCACGAATAATGTTATCGGATCTGAAAAAATGTCGATTAACACCAATATTTTTTGATACATTCTTTAATCTGGAAAAATATCTTGATCATGAACAACGTGATCCATTCGCATCACAACGTGATGAAGATGGTGTCTCAATGTCCGATTGGGATCGTTATGCTGCTGAAGAATATGAATTATTAGTGGCCGAAGAAAGTGCACAAAATCAGTAAATGTTTTATTTTTTCTCATTGCTGTTGTTGAATATTCTGGATTCTTTTTCGTTCTGATTTCTGTCTCTCAATCAATCATTTTTAAATATTTATCTATTTCATTTCACTGTCAATTTGCAATGCCGAAATCTTTTGTCTTTCTTTTCTTTTTTTGTCAACATCATCCATCAGAATCTTATCTTTTTATTTATCTTCACCATTTTCTTGTAAACTTTCTTGTCTATAAATATTTTTCATTCTTTTTTTTCGTCTTTTTGTGCAATAATAACTTATTCAACTTTTACTATCTCTCTCTTTCACTTTTTTCCATTATGGATCATTTTAAATGAAATTCTTGATTTTTTATTTTTTTTTTTTTGTTGATGATTACACAGTAATTATTATCGTGCAAAAGCTTTGATCCACAATAATTTCATCCAATATCATCAAGAACCACATGTTGATTATATTAATCATGATGATGATGCTGATGACGAAGAAGATAATCGTGAATCTGATGAATTTGTTGATGCTGGTGATGGAGATGATGAAGATGATGTATTCGAATCGAATGAATCGGAAGAAGATTTTAGTACGACTAGTGGTGATGATGATGTTGATATGGCTAATGATGGTCGTGTATATTTAGTTATCGAGCCGACAATAAATCGTTTGAATCGAAACTTGGACAACAAATTCTCTGATAATCATAAATCAGATGAATCTATCAAAATTGATACGAATAACAACTGTACGATTGATGAAGAAACCACCTCTGTTGTCGATAAAAATGATGATGATTTCGTCGGAAATCTAGGTAAAGAATTCTATGAATATATACAAAATGAATTTGAAACTGACCACTGTTCATCACGTGCCATTCATTTTGATCAACGATCTATCAACAATCACAATCATAATCGACCAACGATGATTGTCAAACCAATCAAATTGGTAAAATTAGATCCAATCAATAGCCATGATATTGTTCAACGACATTCGATCCATGAACAACAAATGAAAACTGCAGAGATTTTAAAAATCACTAATGATAATGATGATTTTTTCTAATGATTCTATATTCTATAATTTTATAATTTTTGAAAAGAATGGATTTTTACATTTGTAAAGACAATTTTCAACAACAAAATAATGGATAAATTCTTGATGATAAATAAATACAATTTTTGAAAATGTCAAAAAAACTATGAAACTGTCGCCATCTATTATTGAAAATATAAAATCAAGATATTTTTCAAAAATTCAACCGCCATTTCAAATATCGAAGAGCATTTTTTTTTATTCATTAAATGATGATGATAATTTAGTTAATTAAGATTTAAAATATCAATATGAAAAAAAATTGCATCACATTCAATTTGATAAAGAGAATTGATTTGAAGAAAAAAAAATTAAAATATTTCTATGCAAAGTGAGTCATGTTGTTATAATGTGTTAAAAAGAATTCCCGAAAACGTAATTATAAGTGTGTTTGTATGTGTGTGGATGGATTAAAAATCTGGAAACGATTTGTTTGGTTTTCGGCCATTAAGAATGAGTATAAATAAATATATGTTCAGTATGTATTGTGTGTGTATGTTTATGTGTGTTTTGGATTCATGTTCCCAGAAAAAAAACATGAAAAAAATATAGGTAAAACATTTGCATCAATTTTTTTTTATTATTATATAGAAGTTAATAAAAAAGAAAAAAATTAGCTAATCTTTAAAAAAAATTTCTAGAATAGTGTAGTGGGTGTGTGTGTGTGTGTGTGTATGTGTATGACAAGGCAGAAAAAAAATGAAAATCAATTTGTTGATTTTTTGTCATCAATCAAACAAACAATAGCAGGAAAAGAAATAAAAATAAAGAAAGAAAAAGATAAAAAAGCTCCACAATGTAGGTGTCTGTGTTTGTCGATCATAGTGGTCACATCAAAAGAGGGAGAGAGAGAAAAAAAATGGTCGGGCACATTTTGAAAATTATCATCATCATGATATAATAATGAGTGGCAAGATCGGTAAATGATTAACAATGAAGCAATAAAATAATTTTGGTTATCGAACACGAAAAATAACGATGGCTAATATGAGAAAAAAGGCAATCCATGCCATTGTTATTAGATAACCATTCAATACGGCCGGTTTAGAAAGATCAAAACCACGTATTAATATATGACGAAATGATTCCATCGGTTTTGTTTGTGGCATTGCATAAGATATATAACGGAGTAAAGCGATCATTGTTTCGACTGGCCAGAAAATACCGGTAATAAAACAAAACATTAGCTGAGATCCGGCTCCTAATGCTAATGCTGTCATTTCGCTCGTACAAATAGCGGATAACATTAGGCCAAATGTCATTCCTAGGTTTCAAGAAAATGATGGAAAAAAATTTGCAATTTTAAAAGTTTTGTTTTTCACATTTTTTTAAAAAACGCTTACCACAAAGACCTTGTAGAAACATCATAGCAACAGCTAAAACATATGAACCTTTCATTGGAAAATCAAATATCCAGAAACCCATAACAACGGTCAATATAATCTGTACGATCAATAGGAATGTTATATTGATAATTTGTGCAATAATGAATTCGGTTGGCGTCATTCCAACGATCATTGAACGTTCCAATGTTCCTAAAAAAATCAAAAATTAGCTACTGAATGGATCATTCATTAATTAATGATAATTACCTTCACGGCGCTCCGAAAGAAAAGCCATCGATGTGATAGACATTGTGGCAAAGAATACAATGAAAACCATCAGACCAGGACCAACAAATTCAACCATATCGGTTTTTTCACCACCATAGATTGGTTTTTCAAATTTGATTGGCAATTTCAATGAACTCATTTGACCACCAAAAATTTGTCCGGCATTTTCAACAAATTTAAACAATGCACTAAACACTTCACGGCGAATTATGTTAACATGTAATGCATTCGATCCATCATAATAGATTCGAATGATTGAATCATCATCATCCGAACTGGTGATAATAGAACGATCGGTAGATGTAGTTACTGCTGTTGTTGTTAGCAGATCAGATATGCTACGTTTAAAACGTCGTGATCCGGAACTATCATTATCATCATCATCGTCAATCAACATCGATGGCGTTTTTAGCATTGATTGCGTTGGTTGTGATGGTGCAATATAAGGTGTCATCAATGGTGGTACTGGTTCATTTGTATTGGTTACCATTTTACCATTTGGCTGTGTATAACTCAATATAGGTGGTGCAATCGATGTCGATGTTGTTGTCGTCGTTGTTTGTGTTACAAATTGTTGCTGTTGAGCAATAATTGGAGGAAACGGTTGCCGTCCTAACCCTCCTGGTATACCACCACCACCCATTCGGCCAAAATGATTAAGAACACGTGAAAAATTCTTCCCCAGAACTATAGCCGAATATGTATCAGCATTCCGTACGGAATCGATAGCTTCTTCTGGTGTTCGATAATATTTCAATGAAATGAAATCCGAATCAATTGACTTGAGAAACATAAGACTAAGAAATGGAGGATCTTCTTGGTTACAAACAGCCATCTGTACTGATGTCGGATCACGACCCATACATAGACAGAACAGGGCCACTTCTAATGCAGGCAATAACATGGTGATAACCAATTCTGGTACACGTCGAAACAAACGTATACGATGTTTACGACATAGAACACCAACTTTTTGCATAGAATTTACTGAACGATTTTGTCCATGTACAGAATATGTACGAACTTTACTGTTATTACTATTATTATTACGACCAGAAGATGAATGGGTGGATTTTTTTGATCTTGTCGACGACGACGACGATGATGATGACGAAGATGAAGATGATGAATTATTGTTAAACAATGGTGAATCGGATGATGCATCCATATGATGAATATTATTATAATCATTATTGTTTAATCTACAATTATTTCCTGTCTTCGTTGTCGTATTTGATTCGATCAAAGAATCAGGATCCAATTGTTTATATTGTTCATGCACAATAACATGTTTGGCCGTATTTGTCGACGGTGGTGTGGCCACCAAATGTGAAAGTAAATTTGGTTTAGGTTTACCACCAACAAATGCCATCATTGAATTACCACCACCACTACCACCATTAGAGGTGAACATTACCGATTGATTTGTTGGTTCAATTGTAGCCGCAATAGCAACGGCTTGTGGCGATGTTCCACCATTTTCCATGACATAATTATTATGATGGATATGATGATTATTCATATTAAGAATTTTATGATTCTTTTGAGGATCCAGTTGCAATAAAATATCTTTTGGATATGGAGATTCATTTTCTAATTGGCTTGTACTATTTGAATGATGACGAAAATCATCCTGTTGAGATAATTTTAAAAATAAACGTTCCATCGATACTACATTATGCTGTAACATTAGATAATTTGGATTTCCTTCGGCCAATATACGACCTTGTCGCATGAAGCCAACTTTATCGGCCGATCCGGCTTCTTCAATATAATGTGTGGTTACTATGACCTAATAGAACGACAAAAGGAAAAATATCACTTGCATTACAAAAAATATGAATACACAAAAACACATACCGTAAGGCCATTTTTACTTTGATCCACTAGATATGACCAGATAGATTCACGTACAATAGGATCAACACCTACGGTTGGTTCATCCAATATCAATAATGGTGGCTCATTAATCATTGCAACAGCTAATGAAACACGACGCTGTTGACCACCGGATAAACGATCCGTATAACAATGTTCAAAATCACTTATATCCAATAATTTTAATAAAAATTCAATACGTGATTCTAATGATTGCATATGTGATGTTTGTTTAGCGAAACCGGCATAATACTCGAGTGTTTCTCTTACGGTAAATTGTGATATTAATGATAATTCTTGTGGCATATAGCCAATATTTGGTCCAGGTATACCACATTCTTTTGTGCCTATATATACAAAAAACAACAACAACAACAAAAACAATAAATAAATTGGAAAAGATTTTGCAACATAGGAAAAACATCCACATGGAAAAAAAAGAGATATATAGAGTGAAAACAACATAAAAACAACAAAACAAAAATGCAAAATACAGGAAATAGATTAGGATTCACATTTTTATATTCAAATATACGTCTCAAGGTTTCTATATTTCTATATAGATCGATTGATGACCTGAATTATTATTATTAATGTCATGTACGTCATTTAACCTAGACCTGAACTGATAAGATTGAAATCAAAAAAAAAATGAATAAATAAACCAAATTGTGCAAAAAAAAAACTAAAAATCAAAATCAAACAAGGGTGTAAAGATCTTAAATGATGTCAAGGAAAAAAAAAAAAATAAAAAATTTATGACTAAAAACATCTCAACTACAAACAAACAATCTAACACACTTGAACGGATGCTAATGGATCGAAAAGTGTTTTTTTTTTTTGAATATTTCGATGATGATGATCAATATTTGTTTGCATTGTAGCCAATGTCATATTTACATGTGTATAAGAAGTTGATGTGTTTAAAAAAAATCATTGTATCCGGTTGGCATTGAAATTTGAAAAAAAAAATTTTATTTTGAATTTTCGTGCACTTAACAGTGAACAAAAATTTAAATTAATGGCCACTACAATATAATATTCTGCATTGTTTTTGAACTTTTGAATAAATGATGATGGTGATAATTGACTAAATATAATTAAATATAAATCCATCGATCCATCTATCTATCTATCTATTCTATTCACATGAATTAAATGCGCATCAATGTATCATCATTACACATTGATGAATTATTCAAATTTTTATTATCATTGAAATGATTGATTGATTGATTGATTGATTCACAAACAAACAAACAAACAAAAAATCATCAAATGTGTGCAATCATGCATTGATGCATAATATAATGAAATTATTTTAAGAAAATTTCATTCTTTTTTTTTCATTGATGATCAGTCATCTTCTCTTTTTTTAAAGAAATCTTTACTACCACTACTACCACTACAATGGGAAAAAAATCAACAAACACTGAATTATTATTATTGAAAATAATGGACAGAAAGTTTTTGTTTTGTTCGAAATTTCATACCTGGTCGATAGCCAAAAACTGTTACATTACCACAACGTGGTTTCAAACGGCCAACAATACAACGTAATAATGTTGTTTTACCACAACCGGATGGACCTAATAGACCATATATTGTACCACGTGGTACATGCATATTAATTGATTCTAAATTCAATCCATGACGTTTATAAGCGAATGTCAAATTTTCGACATCAACTGCTGATGAATTTGTTAATGCCATTTTTTAAATTAGTCGTATTTTGTTAATTGATTATAAATTAAATATAGCTTCTTTATGACGAATCATTCGTGAATCCAATAGAAAAAAAATCGTTGTCGTCGTCGCTGTTGTTGTTGTTGTTGTTGTTGTCAAATCAGAATCAATTAAAAAAAATTTCTAGCGAATTGAAAGACTTGAAAAACACACACGTATAAAAAAAAGTAGTGAGAAAAAAAAATGAGATCGAAATTTTTGTCGTTGTCTTCAAATTATGAAATTGATGAGGATGATCAAGCTGTTGTGGTTGTTGTTGTTGTTGATTTGGGCAAATGATGATGATAATGATGATGAAAAGATTTTTTTTTCTGTTGTCAATGATCAATGTGAAAAGAAGAAAGAAAACAAGAAGAACAAAACTTGGCAATTTTTTGTTATGCCCCACACTGTGTTGATGTTCTTTTGTTGTCGTTTTTCTTTGTTCAGCAAAACCAAAAAAAAAAAAAAAAATTATGACCAATTAGAAGCTTATTATTACTTGTTAAATACTATGATGATGATGATGATCATCATTGATTGATTATTGAATCAAACGAATTATTACATCTTAAAGTCCATTGATCGATTGATGATGGCATGATTTTTTTTTTTTTTCTTGCTCTTCGGTTCCTTTTTTTTTATTTTTGGATTTTATATGCTAATTCAGCAGAAATGATGATAATTATGATGATGATGATGATGAAAATGTTTAATTTTGCAAATGATAAAAATGAACAGAATAAAAAAGAGAAAAGAGAAAAAAAAAATTATTAAAACATTTGAATAAAGAAAAAAAAAAATTTCAACGAAAACAAAAAAAAATCATCTACGAATCAGATTTCCATAATAATGTCTAAATGATTTATATATGTATTCGGATTGTGTGTGTTTGTGTCTGAATATCGAATATAAAATGGGAGTTGTCCATGGTGTTGATATAATGGCCCTATCACATATATATGGCAATATATAAAACAAATCTTGTCAATTCAATCAAATCAAATCATCAATAATTATAAAACGATGATGATAATGTCATCGAATCGATATATGATGAGCAGAGAGGGGCACACAATATCATTGAGAATTGTATTATTGAAGCAAAAATAAAAACAAAAAATAATTCAATTTTCATCATTTTCAGATGTACAAAAACAAAAGATAAAAATCGAAAAACGACGCATCATATTTATAATAGTTTGTTGTTGTTGTTGTTTCATCATCAATAAATATATTGATTGATGATTGATTGAATAAAGAAAATCAATGGATGGGCGGATATGAAGCGCAAGTAAATTTTTTTTCTTGTGCATATTTTCTACCGATAGTATGGAATAATGACTAGATTATCATTATAGCCGAATATGATGACAACAACAACAACAACAACAACAATGGAAATACGAAACTGGCAAAGCAGAAAAATTTATATCATCGATGGATGAATTGATTCATTGGTGATAGTGAAACTTTAATTTTTTTTTTAAATATCAAAGTTCATTAATGAACAATTAATGAAGAAAGAGACAAAAATTAGAAAAAAAAGTCAATTGATAATACACATACGCACACACCCGAAAAAAAAATCACTGAATTGAATTGATGATTGATGGTGGATGTGATCGATTGATTTACACACACACACACACGCATATACATCAATTAATAATTAATCATCAAAACAAACAAATGATTGGAAAAATGGATGCCTTTGTCGTCGTGTGTTTTCAAGATGGAAAAGAAATGAAAAGTCGACTGCTTCTGGTGGTAATTGTTTTTTTTTTTTTTTTTTGATAAAAAAAAAGAAGAATCACAATAATTGGAAAAAAATGACAAATTGATTGATTTTTTTTTCTGGACAATCACAAATTTAGATCGATTTTTAAAAAAAATCTCCAGCTCATTTGATGACGTTTTGTCGGTCGAAATTTTTTTTTTATTTTGTTTTGGTTTGGTTTGTGTTCCAGATTTTTATATTTGTTCATTCATTTGCATCTCACTAGTGGTGGTAAACGTACACAGGCACATATATATCACATAATAATCGTCATCAATTTGACGCGTGCACTTTTTTTTCTGGTTGCCAATCAATAGAAAAAAAAATCGATCCATTTGTTTTTTCGATTGATTCATTGAGTTATCGTTCATTTGATTTTTGTTTCGTTGTGCATTTATACTTGTTGATTGAAAATTTTTTTTTTTAAAAATTTTCCTCATATTTGATGATTGAAAATTTTGATTTTTTGATATCAAATGATCGATCGATTTGATTGATTGGTTGTACCCTTTTGTGCTTTGGTTTCTTTGAAATTTTTTTTTTTTGTTTGTTTATTGAAAAAATTTCAACAAAAAACTCTTGAAAAAAATGATTTCTTCTTTTTCGTTTTTGATTTTCTTCACACCAACAGTGCCACACTCTAAATGGTGATAGTTTCAAATTTCACATATTGAAATGTGAATTGATAAAATTCCAGTTAATTGATCAAATCAATCAATCAAATAGAAATGAACTTTGATTTTTTTTTTGTCAGTAGATAATTTACGAGTAGAATATGTGAGTGAAAATGAAAATGAAATATATACATACCATGAACAAAAAAAAGATGATTTGATTTGGCAATGGATATGAAATAATTAATGAAAGAAAGAAAAAAAAATTAAATCGAGATCGATTAGTCGCTAGTGGTTCATTGATTGATTGGTTGTATTGTTTTTTTCATTGATAACCATACAATGATGAAAAAATTAGAAACTAATGAACCATTCCGATGATTAAGCATTTGGCCATGGATTCCATTATTTTTCTGGAATGATTCAATGATTCAATGGTGATGATGATAAAAAGAACCCAGGAAGAAAAAGAAAAGAAAAAACAGAACCAAAAACATTCGAAAATCGATAGTTAATTTCGATTGTTTTTTTCTTGCAAAAAAAAACAATCGATAATTCAATCATCGAACATTTTTTTGTTTATTATTAAGTTCGATCATGATGATGATGATGATTACTACACACATTTTCAAAGTCGTTTTCGGTTCACTCATTGAGAATTGAATTGATGTGATGTGATGTGATTTGAAAAAAATGGCCATATTGAGTTCAAGTTCATCAAAAAAAAAAAAACATTCATCATTCATTAACATTCAGCAAACGGAAAACAAAATTCAATGGAAATGACAAAAAAAAAAAAATTTTTTAAACAAACAAAACAAAACAAAAAATGTAAATAAAGAAGAAAAAAAATATGAATTCAAACAATTGGACTTTGGACAACAACATCTTCTATAGAAGATGTTGTTGCAACAAAAAAAAAAGAAAAAAACTTGTTGCATGTTTGGAACATCATCAACAAACAAACAAACAAACAAGTTGTACAAATAATCAGAATAGAAAAGAAGAAAAATCCAACAAACACAGTGTGTGTGTGTGTGTGTGTTTGTTTGTTTGTAGAAACATTATTCAAATGTGTGAAAATGGCCAAACTAGAGAGAGAGAGAGAGAGACAGAGAGACTTGATCCAAAAAAAGGTCCACACACACACACACACACTGGTTGGAAAAAAAATCCATGGGGAGAACGAGCAAATTATCTAAATTCAAATTTTTTTTTTAATTTGAATTTAGATAATTTTTATTAAAATTTTGTTTCAAAAAAAAAAATTTTACCACCAGTGATGATGATTGGTTCGGCTTCAGGCAGATTGAATTCAAAACAAAACAAAACAAAAAAGAGAAAAATACAGAAAACAAAAATCGGGCCAGAAAAAAAAACGAACTAAACGACAGACCGGTATTGGTGTATGGTGTGTGTGTGGGTGGTTTGTATTTCCAAGGATGATGATAAGTCCACCTGTTGCTACTGTGATTCAATTTTTGTTTTTTTTCTGTTTGGCGGTTTAATTTAAATAAATACTCTCTTTCCGTTCCGGTTAATAAAAAAATTTGGCGGTTTCATTCATTTATTCATGTGCAACTTTAGATTTTTGTCACCTGTGCATGTGTGTGTGCGTTTGCGTTTTGTAGGTCGTTTTTTCGTTTTTCGTCATCAATCGTATCTTCGGATATCAAAATTATCATCACCATCATCATCATCGTTAATTTCGTAAAATGTGATATTTTAATTTTGTCACCGAAGACTCGAAAAAAATCATCATCATCATCATCATTTATGATTATTGTCTTGTCGCTTTTGGATGGTTGATCACCACCACCACCACCGAAAAAAAAGAAAGAACGACGACAAGAAAATAAAAACTTGAATGAACCAGATATATCAACATTCATAATAATGTGGACCAAATCGAATACGGCCCCCGAAAAAAAATGGTAATGTGTGAAAAAAAAACCAGCCAAAAAGTAGTAGTAAAAGAAAAAAAAATGAAAAACCGGGCCATCGTCGTCGTCGTCGTCGTCGATGTTTTTGTGCGTATGAAGAGAAAAATATTAAATTTCATGCACACCGTTATCAATAATAAAAAAATAGAAAAGAAAACCTTCGTTTACATGATGTCATTTGTGGATGGTGAAAAAAAAGGCAAATTTTTCAACAACAAAAAAAAAACAAAATTCAACAAGGTCAATGCACATCTAATTTAAGTGATTGAACTTTACAAACAAAACAAAATTCTAAACAAAACAAAACATGGTATGGTATATGGTAGACAAAATAGGAAGTGTTAAAAGTGAATCACGATCATCATTTAGTGGTGAAAAGTGAAAATTAAACCAAAAAAAAAACGAATAACAAAAAAACCAAATCATCATAGAATGATTCTATTTTTATCAACAAAAAAAAAATCCATTGACCTTATACACACACACACAAAAATATTGAATTTTAGCTGGCCATCATCAATGGAAAAAAAAATCAAACAATTTTTTTGTTCAATGATAACAATTCAATGATAACAACAACAGCACACACAAAAAAAATCCAATCGATCATCACATCATTCATATATATAGATAGCATTATGTCACTTGTTGCCATCGTTTTCGTTGTTATTGCCACAATTCAATGACGTAAGGTTTTCGTCGTCGTCGTTGTTGTTGTTGTTGTTGATTAAATATTATTTACCTAGATATATATGATTTTTATGTTCTGATTGCCATGTTCAATGTCGATTTCAATTTCAAACAAACAAAAATTTTTTTGATGATAAACACACAACAGCAACATTATTATTATTAATAAAAATAATAATGAATTATCACATAAGCAGAAGGTATTATTTTCAACAATATTGTCA